TGCGGAACAAAACTGCCTTGGTTTCAATTTGTGAGGAATTTTGATTTAAATTGTATTTTTATACTAGGAGGATATTATGGATTCAAAAAGAGGTTCTAAACCATAAATATTACAGCAAAAGTCCTTTAAACAAGAATAAACCTGATTTATTAAGCAGAACTCTTGTATGATTCAATTAATCACTAAAATGTTGACAGCATTCAAATCAAAAATATTACAATCTTAACCCTCACCCCTTCTTCCGTAATAAAAGTCAACTTAGACATAATGAATAGTCGCAAAGATCGTATAACACAATGATCAATCTTTTTTGCAATAAACTCATGAGAAATTTCCTCCTTCATGGACTGACATCTCATCTATTTTATCACAAACACTTCATGTTTAAGATTAATTATGATTTATAATGGCATAAAAGTAATGAATTTTTTTTGCACAAATTAGAATCATAAACATCAGATATAATGCGATTATATCTCATTAGCAATGTTAATCATATTACCATAAATACCAATTTCCATTTAAATTCAAGATCGAAAAAGTACCGAAAAGGGATTTTTAAAGACATAAATTCATGATCAGTTCCATTTTTGAATGTTATGGCATTTAGCATAATTTAATGATCGATCGAATTATTTAATGAAAATCTCATAATCGTATTTAGCACGAAAATGGCTGGATTCAATTGAATATTATACAACACAGACACGTCCACGTTCATTTTACGCATTAAAGATCTATTTTGATTAGATCCGTTTTGTTAGGCATTTAAGACATAACTTGTTGGTGTTTTCTTTTTAATTTGATGCTGGATTAGCTTTTGAATTGATTTTCGGGAATTTTTACAGCAATCAAGGTCGACTTTTGCTATAGTCTTGTTGTGATTCTCAACTGGAAGCATTAATTCCTCTATTAACTTAGATCTTTGTTGCTTTATTAATAATTGAACTATTTTTTTTTACTCAGCCACAACTGCTTCTGACTTTAGACATGTCTATCAACCTCTTATTTATTATTTTTATAATCCATGTAACAATCCACGTTGTTGCCTTGATTACACCCTGCTGATGGAGCTGTTTCTATTTTATTTTACTTGCATTTCAACTTTATTGTAATCCCTATAATTTAATCTTAGTGTATTACTAAGAGGATATTAAAAGAATCATAATTAAATGAACTTAAAAATCCATTTGTGCTCTACAAATAAGGAATAATTAGTCATAAACATATGAGATATGATTTTTCTGTTAATAACTTAATTACATACAGCGTGCTAATCTATATCAACGATTCTAATTGAATTTAACAAGGTGCTGATTTTAAAATTAAATATCGAAATAGGGCATATGCGGATTAATATGTAGATATAAAATTAAAGCAGTAAATTCTGATTCATACCAACGCATGTGTCTCATTGAATATAAGGAAGGAATTAATCGCATTTTTTATGTGCATGTTACAAATTGCTTGGTCTGTAATTTACTGACCATTTCATTGTGTGTAGCTTGTTGATTAAAATAGGGAAATATTGTCGAGAATTTATTGTCTCAGTATTGTCATGAACTTATCGATATCCTGCTCATTCATGAAATATTTATAAAGCTTTTAGCTAGTAAGTGAAAGATACAAGATCCTTGATTACTGGATATCTTAATAAATGTTTGTTGTCTCTAATGATTATTGTATGTCCATTAATTTCCAAGATTACATCTCAAACTCAACTTGTTCAAAAAAGCAAGCTAAGTTGAAGTTAAATTTTATTGAAAAAGTTCAAAGCCTTCATGTCATTTTACTTACATCTTATCTTGAATTGACTTGTTTTAATTTCTTATTTATTATCCTTAAATGTATATCAGCTTCACTTTCAAGGTGTTCAAGATGACAGAAATCATTGAATATAAACTTTCTAAATCTTGTTAATATTAATTAAGTGATAATGATGGTCAATTTCTTTATATTTCCACTTTAAAATGGATCTTTTAATTTAGACATCCTGTAGAATACCTTGGAAATGTCAATGATACATTTAAGAATGATTTTGAAATTGGATTGAACGATAAAGTAATTTAGATTGGTATATTTTGAATGAATTATCTGAAATCTTGTCTAATTTGCATTTAAATGATTAAATATCATCAAAATTGATCAAAAATTAACAAATCGTGATTTATCAGTTCCGCACCCTTGTTTTGCATTTACAAATCTAAACTTACATATCACATAGTCATGATTTCGATCAGACTCTAAGAATGTCAATCTTTATATTAACAAAGCATCATAAGAAACCCCACGATTACCAATAAAATATTCTCGGAATGTCCTGTCCGATTCTATTAAAATAATCTTGAATTGAATGAAATGTCTTGCTAATTTTATAGTTCAATAAAAAATTTTCTTCTTAAATTCTTAATCGCAACAAAAAGAACCTTAGTCTTTTATTCTTAGAATTCTTCTTATTAGAAACTAAATCTCTGTGTAACGTAAAAAAATGTTAAGGTTAAATTTTTATTTCACCAGCACAATTTACACTCATCTATTAGCAATTCTTGCATATAATTTAATCTGATTCCTCTTTCTCTTCAACTGAAATGAGTGTTCATACAGCTGACTATTTGTAATATGCATATTTTAAATAGTTGTAAACCTCATCAGCACTTAATGATGCGGCATTCAAAGAAGGAATCTGATTATTTATGCAATTACAGAATTTATTAATAAGAGATTTAAAGGTCAGGATATTCCATATCCAATTCGTCACCATCATTACTCACAAAGCTTTAGTTTTCTTACCTTATGTGCTGTACAAAAAATGACTTAATTTCATGCGAATTTTGTATGAAATTATATGTAAAAATTTAGCTCAAGGAAAGAAAGATTAATCATCGACCATAAATCATAAAGAACAATTTTTTCTGGTTGAATGCACTATCCGGGTTAATAATCGAGAGTAATGTTTTTGCATTTTTATACTAATTTATAGTTCGAGCTCATAATAAGGCAATAAAAACATTCAAAAAGTTTACACACAACTTGCTTTCCTACCTATTTATTATATTACAACCTCACCGACCTATCCTTAAATCCATTTTGACTTGAGCTGTTGAAAAGAAATTGCGTAAAAATATACAGCAAAAAAAAGTTGTTATTAAGAAATTTTTTAATTCGATTTCTATGAAATTCTACAAGCACAATGCAGTTTCGAGTTTCTTAACATTACGATTCAGTGCCTTAGTAACAAACCAGTTTAAAATAACTTCCATGTGACGCAGAAAAATGAAATGATTATAAAATAGAGCAGGAAGAAAATAAATGAATGTCTTTTTCTCGTTGCACGGCAATATATCGCAAGCCTAGGCTTGATATAAGGAATTAATGAACGTCGTTTGGGTGTCTAGCCATGTACATTACAGCAGCTGTGCCCTCGCATATGTTTCACTTTCGCAATCACAATGAAAAATGATCCACAAAGGTAACAAGGAGAATGAGAGGAAAAAAAATCTCTGTCCATTGTCTTGTGGATATTCTGGGTGATTCTATAGATGCAGCTGAGGGTTTACTTTTAATTTTAGTCATGTAGGGTTAGTAAAACATTATAATTACTTACCCTCGAAACCAAAGAATTTAATTTGTCATCAGCATAGGTTTTCAACTTTAATTCAGAACATTTTTGATATCACAGAAATTATGCAATCAGATTTTATTGCAATCATGAGTTTTTATGATATTTAAGTGTCTTATTATTACTTAATTCCATAGTAACCAAGAAAATTGACCTTACGGACATAAATCAAACATAACAACATCACAATACACACCTATCCCACCCATAGAACTGCCCGCAGAGCTTTTAAACCGCTCATTACATTCATCTGACAAAAACAGCAATTTTAATTGCAAAGCGGCGTACTAAAATGAAATTCGTGCAAAAAAAATACCATTGATATGCTCATATTGAGTTTTTATGACCCTATGGATATACTCTTATATTATCCAATCAAAAAAGCTTTTATGTATATGGTTGCATACACAATGTATTCAATAAAAAGAAAAAAAGAGACTTATAAAAAATAGTTTTAAAATTTTAATCGCAAATTCATATGTATATCCACATCTAGTATATGAAATGACAACAAAAAGCAATATTATAAACCCGATACCCTACCCAATAAACTGAGTATGTATAGAAAATAAATTTAAAGCATATTTCAATAGCATGCAAGAAAATAAAAAAATTCTCTCGCCTGACTGAGCTGTTGTGTGTTGCGAATATATGCTATACTTACACTCCATTGGCATCGATCGCTGACGACCTTGCACACTAAAACTATATTAAATATATATTTTTTTTCTTCTTTGGTGTTGCTGTTTATTTCTCTTATTTCTTAAGCGAGTTCCTGCAAAAAAGCAGTCATTCTGGTCTGATTTATAGCTGGTTTTGTGTGAGATTGGCTGTTGAAATGCGAGCAGTTTGCCAATTGGACTGAATATTTGTTCAAATTAAGATTTAAAGCAGTAGGGACTTCAAACGTGTTGCTAGAATGTCACTAGACTTTGGAACTATTTTTAAAATTACCTTAGATTCAAAATGGTTCCCTCAGTTATGTTCAATATTCCACAAATTAAAAAATGCGTCACTATCAATAATACTCACAACATTCTCTACTCACAATTCCATATATTATTTTCGTATATCTTATAAATAAATATTTTTTCATATTTACGTATTGGCGCATGGCTTGATCGACTTCAATTTAGCCTTCCCCGAACCAGTTCACTTTCGTTACCCTCGCAAGATAGATTGATAGTAAGACTTTAAATTGTGAGTTTCTTGAGTTGTGGAATAAAAAATGTTACTGATTTTACAAAAAAATAATAATTGCTACTTTGCTGCTGTGCTTTTGTGCCATAACTTTAAACTTTTATTTTATTTTTTTTTGCTGAGTAATTTTTGTGATTATGAAATAATTTTTATTTATTACTATTTTTTCAAATAATTATAGTGCGCGAATAAGGAAAAAAAGACGGTGACAAATACAAGATAAACGATGTCTGCAATCAGACATCGGCCGCTTCAGGCAGGACCTGGCGGTGAGAGCGATGATGGAAATTTTTCGGATGATGAGAGCACACCACTCACCCACGATATTTATGGTGGCAGGTAATTATCACTTTTTGAATACTTTTTTATCTTATGATTTATTGTGTGAAATTTGTAATCAATCATAATCAAATATTTTGAATTGATTGGCAAATATCTATCAACATGTATCTCAATATCGATTCATCTTTTGTTTTTTGATGTCAAATCCATAAATTTCAAAGTCTCCAAACAAATGTATCAATGACCAATATCACTACTGAAATATGACAATCATAAATTTTATAAAACACGTGAAGTGATATTGTGAGCTAATGATGAATGACTTTCAATTTCAATTCAACATAAAGGGCTGTTTATAAATTATGTACAATTTTTGGAAAAATACATGAGGGTGCTAGAGTGTCTCGAGGAGAAATAAGACCAACTGACTTTTGATCATATTTAATGTATTCCACAACCTTAGTTTGGCACTTTACTACCAGAAAGACCAGATGGGATTAAAGTGATTTAAAAATCAGAATTAATACGAATAGCACAAGCCGGTTAATCGAATAGAAATCCAGCACCATGCCAGAGTCATAACGGCTTGGTGCTCGATTTCTGATTGATTGATCGACTTGTGCCATTCGGGTAAGGTATTTAAGGTGACCTAGAGTTGATCTAGCGAGTATTTAGAAGTTTAAGGTATTTAAAGTGATCAACAAAATAGGTTCTGGCAATCTATTGAGGTCTAGATGGACCTAGTGTCACTCGACCTGTGTGACACTCTACAGATTTTATTTGAGTAAACAATTCCAAAACATGGCCATTTTTTGGTAGACATAACTTGAGCATAACCTCACCTCCCAAAGCCCTGAATGCTTCTGTAAAAATCTTTCAATCAATCCATTAATACCTGACCAAACTAAATCAAGGCGCGCTAAGTCAATCGTATTAAACTTAATCAAATTTATTTGTATTGGAAATCAATCTTGAAGCCAGCGAAAAGTAAATTTTTTAAGTTCATTATCTTCTGTTTGTTGTTCCTTACTGTAATAATTTATTTATTCATTAATTCACTCATTTTCAATAAAGTCATCCATAAAATTGTAAATGTTTATGACATCCGAATTAATAAGTGAGATTTAAGTCTACAGAATCCATGTCGGTGATTTAACAATATCTTGTCCTCCTTTTCTTCGTTCCTTGAATTAAAAATAATAATATAAAGACATGAATTTTAATATTATGTTTCGAGTAATTGAGAAAATATTACTATAATTTATGATTAACAAGAGATTATTATGAGGAAATTTACATTTATGGAAATCACGATGTTGATTTTAGTCCTCCTATAAAATTTTTGAAAGCTTACATTGTTTCACATAGTTTTGAAAGTATGTGCAGAAAAAATTGAGAATTTTTGCATTAAAAATTGTCCAGAATGCAGTTTTGTTTCTTAGAATAGAGTTGTTACTAAGTTGCATGTCTTAAGCTAGGTTGAAATTTTTGTATTTTTATTACAAACTCATTTTTGAGTTAATCCGTGATTTTTCTACTTCGTAGATATTTTGTTCAGCTCAAACTGCATATGGATGACTTCATTCGACTCTTCCCATGCAGCTAGTTCATGAATTTATAAAATTACTCACAAAATTGTTTTAATAGCACTCGGTTTTAACTAAATTTAGTAATATTGACACCCATTAGCATGTCCATTTCTCTAAACTCTCAAAAGATATTATGAACCTAATGTAAAAAAATTCCATTATCGACTACAGTAAAAAAAATGTTAAAAATTTTCTCACATTTACAGCATTTGAAATAAATCACACCAAAATTTCATTCCCATCAAAACTTATCATATCCATCAGTGCCCTTTAAAAAGAAATCAATAAAATTCAATATTTGTTTCCACTCAATTTAAATGAAACATAAAACTGTTTCATAATGAACAGTTTTTTTTTATGGGTCTGTATGATTTATATCAATAGACAATTTTTTTTATTTTAAAGGTTTACGGACAATGCAATAAAAAGCACGGCACTAAACAGAATTCGATTATTCAATGTTATTTTATTGTGTGTTTAGTTCAGGGGTGTATGCAAGAAATTCTAGGGAGAGTTATATTTTGTTGACTGTAAAGTGCTTAACATTGGGATTTATTGGAGTTGCTTCAAGCTTCACTCCCAAGGGCACAGCCAGAAATTTGAAGAGGGCGAAGAGGGGGAGGGGGAAATTTTATATGTAAAATTAAGGAGGGGGGATTTTTAGGGTACCCCCTTTGGATACGCGCCTGTTCACTCCAAAAATCTGCTCAGAACGGCCCTTAAGGCAACCCATACTGCAAGCTATGCTAGTTCTATAGCTAAGGTGTTGATTATAGTAGTTGATTCTAGTGCTAGTACCTACTCTAGCATTAGAATATGTTTTTTTGATTCAAAATTTAAACCCAAAGTATTAATGAAACTAGTGGACGCAGCATCCGTCACTTCCCTCTTGCTTGCAACTCTTTTAAATCAACACAGTCTCCCTGAATATGCACCTTATTTTAACCATTTTATAGCAACTGTAAAAATAGTTTAAAATTTGCATGCATAATAATAAAACTAGCCAAACGAGATTGATAAATTCTTGAGGGAATTCAAATTTGTCTGACAATAAACATTTCAATTTTTTCAATAACAAATAAACATAAAATAAAACAAAAAAGCTCATAAATGTAAATTATTGACATCGACGAGACGAATGTTTTTACCTTCACAGTTCACACAAAGGTAAAATACTATAATTAGAGCCCTTTAAAACGTACGAAAGCATAAACAACAATAAAAGCGAAAATATTTCTTCTTTTGCTCATTCGAACGCTTAAACATGCACGAAGAAAAATATCTTAAAGCTCTTTGTTTTAGTTATTTTTTTTTATTTTCCTTCTTTTTCCTCTTCTTTACGTTACATAAAGCAACAGAAACGCTTTTTGTGTTTCACTTTCACTTCAACACAAAGCATAATGCAACAACAACTAATGATACATACAAACGAAAAGCAGCCACAGAAGTAGAGTAAAGTGACTGTAAATGATGATAGATAAACACATTGAGATAATATGGTAAAATGGAATACAATCATAATCTTAGCATTTTTTTTCTCACAATATTTCCGCTCTCTTATTAGCATGGGGCTGAGCTGGACTCAGACTGTAGGCAATTAATTATAAAGGTCTTTATGGGTGTATTTTGTATGCCGTGCTATTGGAGAAAATGTTTATTTTGAGAAATTGATGAAACGATTTTGATTCTGGTAGAATTATGTAGGAGAAAAAAAATGAAAGTGTGTAATTGTTTAATGCTGTTTTGATGGATTATTAATCATGGCATTATTCGTATTAATTTTTCAATTCTGAAATAAATTTGGTTGAATTTTGAATGTTCATTTATTGCAAATTTAGACTTGCGGATTCTAGGTTGGGGTGATTCTATTCTTGAATCTATCAATTTATTTGTTTCAGACTCGAATAAGTGAGTGATTTGTTCAGTATCAAAGATAAGTTTTCATGGTCGAGTGTCAATGATACAGATCTCAAAGACTGATCAATAAGCCAAGTTGAATTTAATAAAAATATCAACTCAACTTAAGTCGACTCCAACTTGACTCAAACAAATTAAGATCCTAAATACAACTTCGAGCTTTGGTTAATTCTGAGAGTGACTCAGAATAGATCTATGAAATTCTAATCTTTAAATTCTTACTTAGCATGTTATTGATGAAATAAAATTTTCATAATTCTCAAAACATCCCAAAATTAAAAAAAACTAGTCTAATTAATAGAACGAAATTATCTACATCGAAATTGAAACTTGTAGACCACCCAACCCATAATATCAAGTTCAGAATAAATTTAAAAATATATCCATTAAACACTGTTCTGAATACTTAATTATAATATGCTGTAGTTATTCATTTATTATCTGAAATATGCCAATTAATAATTATAATGTAATTGGCTTCCATTCAGAATTCTCACAGTAAAAGCAAAAAGTCATGATTTACAAAAATATTCTAATAGTTTTATGTCTCGATCTCATTCTTAACACGTTTATTAAATATCATCGCAACAATGTAAACAGCAAAGTATCGTTTACAAAACTGTAAATGCGCCAAAGATTATTTTATGCTAATTATTACGTTGACTTTATTGCCTTGGAACTTCATAAGTTAATAAATAGGGCTTGAAGTGTTATGCAAAAGAGATGAAGTACCTCTCGTAAATTAAATACTCTGAATTGTATATTTTTTTAAGTCCATGAATATGCATTCATTCGTCAAAGTATGTAATTATATTAATTTTATGTCTTAACACACAATTCTTCGAGATATTTATGGAATTTCATTTCTTCATGTCTCAGAAAAATTACAAAAGAAGTAGCTTAGGAAGTTCAATACACAAAAAAAAGCTGCGTGATGTAATAAATCACGAAAAAATAGATCAAAAATTGTGGATAATTGAAATTCTTTTTTCTCACATTTCACTTTCATTTTGACCCAAAATTCGTTGAGGCAGGCGGAATTTCATGAGTTTGGCTTTTCAGCCAACGCAAAAAATAATTTTATTGGTCGATGTATTGCAGCTGATTATTCATTCAATTCAGAAAGATATTACAACACAACTCGATATGATATTTTAATTTTTTTTTGTGTATTTTAAAGGTTAAGGTAAATTTTTTGCTACATTTTCTTATAACCAAAATTGACTACGATGGCGAATAGGATCTGCTGATTTTTGGAACTCCGACCATAATCACATATGCCGTATGACGACCTTAACAATTCCATGAGCAAAGCTAGAATTTTTCTAGATCTTCGACTAGCGATTTAAGTCTTCATCGTCCCCATCTCATTCATAGCTATGTCTCTGACACTCCTCATTCATCATCCCAACACCGACAAATTTAAATTTTCTTTTTCGTGCTCCGATTACGTCAATCGAAATTGTCTAGTCCAAACAACAAAATTAGAAATAATTGAAATTTTTCACTATTTTCATTTTATTTATTCAATCGCGCAAAATATAATAATGGAAAGCCAAGTTTCACATTTTGCGTAAAATACTTCAATTCATTCTTTAATTCGATATTATTTTCTCTCTCTATTCGACGTGGCTTTCATTGTTAATCGATCACACAGAGGCAAAAAATTTTAAAATTTAAGAAGAAAAGGGCCTTTTGGCAATTTCTAATACAATAAATCACGATCCAAATGTAGTGCATGTCTGGTAATTACATGTTAAATGATGTGTTAATATTCAAATGAAATAAAGTAACAATTAATTTGAAGAAATAAATTTTCGGTTTGTGAAATAACTGCGGTTTCTTTGACGGATTGTCTGTATTTTCAAAAAAAAGTATTGGATGTTTGTTGTTGGAATGAAATATTTGTGTCATGTTAGGTTCATGGTGAATGTGCGTTGAAAATTGAAATTTGATAGTTGTTAACAATCGGCTTTTGAGTATTTTATTGTTCACTTGACTGATATTAATGGGATATAGAAGTGTAGATATTAATTAATGAGAGTAAAACTTTTATCGGATATCCTGGGATATTACAGCTTTATCGTGATAGTGTTATTACATCCAAAACACTATAATGTAATAATTAAAGCTTGATTCTTGATAAGAATCGAACCTACTTCCCTAGAGTGCTGTATATTATAAGGACAACCCTAGAAACCGGTCTAATAAATTAAATTGAAGAACTAAAGTTGATTCCTATAAACTACCTAATTCCTGAATGAGTCTAAATCAATATAACATCAAGACAAGCATAAAAAAAATCTGAAAAATTTTGAATATCCATAAAATATGCGCTCAAATTCATCATTAACTTCCGGACTCCTATAATAAATAATTGTAAACGGCTTTAAAATAAATTTAATAGTTTCTTTTTACGTATGCATAAGAAGGCACTTACTCACAAAATAATTTCGAAATTCCCTCGCAAAATCACTTCAATGCAATTAGTTTTAGTACAACCACCTAAGCAATTTTTTTTATTAAATATTTCCATTATAATTTTTTGGTGGATTCGTAATAACTAATGAAATGATCGAGCAGCAGTTTGCTGTCGTAATTTGATGAGTTCGAACGTGCTGTGTGTTAAACAGTTTTGTGTTTAAAAATCTTTTTGAGTCAATAGATTAGTAATGAATTAGTATTTGATACATATGACAATTAGTACAAAAAGAAGACATTTCATAAGCAAAGAAATGAAGTCAGATATGTCAACATTTAAAAGCTTCTATAGTCATCATTATGAAGTGTGTAGTGATGATGACGAAGAAGATGACGAGGATGAAGAAATTCCATTAATTGAAAATAAAAGGTTGAATCACTCGAGACACTTAAGACAAGCACATTAAAAACTAGAATTTCTTATTGTTCATTCTTTTTTTCTCATTTACAGTACGCGTACAGTCCAAGAAACAAAAGGATGGGATGTGTTTCGAGATCCACCGATCAAAATCGATTCCGGTTCAATGGCCAATCAGGCATGCATGGAAATAACGGCGAAAATACTTAAAATTGTCGCTTATGTAATAACATTTATACTTGTTCTATGTGGAGGCGTTATTGCAAAAGGCTGTGTACTTTTTATGTCTGCTCAATTAAAGCGCGATAGAAAAATTCAATATTGTAATAAAGATTTGGCGCGCGATAAGCAATTTATAGCAATTTTACCCGAAGAGGAACGAGTCGCGTGGATGTGGGCAGTAATAATTGCATTTGCTGTGCCTGAAATTGGTGCATTTATCAGATCTGCTCGTATATGTTTCTTCAAATCATGGAAATTACCACAAAAGTCACATTTTCTGTTCATATTTCTCATGGAGACGTTCCATGCTGCCGGATTAGTTCTGCTTCTTTTTGTTGTTCTTCCAGAACTCGACTCTGTTAAAGGTGCAATGTTGACGAACTGTGTATGTGTCATACCCGGTATTCTTGGCCTTTTATCTCGCACATCAAAGGAAGGTAAACGAGCTGCAAAAGTATTAGTGGATTTAGCAGCTGTTGCTGGACAAGTTACAAGTTTTGTTGTATGGCCATTACTTGAAGATCGTCCCGTATTATGGATGATACCTGTCTCATGTGTAATGATTTCATGTGGATGGTGGGAGAATTATGTATCCATACAAAGTCCATTCTCGATGGTTCGTGCATTGGGACGTGTAAAGGAAGACTTAAGATATACAAGATACTTTGCTTACATGTTCTTGTCTGTATGGAAGGTATGTAACATATAATTGCATGTAACACGATTTTTGATGAGTCATCATAATAAATTATTACACATCTCACACACATTTTTCTTATTTTTATATTTATAGATCATGATCTTTGTCTTTACTATTATTGTACTACAATGGTTTGAGGGTGATGACCCAACAAACATCTTCAGTCTATTTAGTAAAGGCTTCGGTCCACACAAGATTGTTGTTGAAGAATTAACAACGTCCTTCGGCAAGTCACTTCCTGATCTTATTGATCCATCACAAATTGGAGATATTATACAGATTGATGCATCATACAACACAGTTATTCATGTGCTCATAATTCAAATTCTTGCTGCTTATGTTTGCTACATATTCGGAAAGTTTGCATGTAAAATCTTAATTCAGGGCTTCAGTTATGCATTTCCAGTTAATCTAACAATTCCAATTTCAATATCATTGTTAATCGCTGCATGTGGTATTCGTAGCAGTGATCCATGCTTCTATCACGGAACCATACCCGATTATTTGTTTTTCGAAAGTCCACCCGTTTTCAAACTCAGCGATTTAGCATCTAAGCAAATGGCGTGGGCATGGCTCTTATGGTTATTCTCGCAATTTTGGATTACACTACACATATGGATGCCAAAATGTGAGCGTTTAGCAACAACGGAAAAATTGTTTGTATCACCTATGTACAATGCTATTTTAATCGACCAGTCTATGGCACTTAATCGTCGACGTGACGATCAAGCTGATGTAAAAACTGAGGATCTTGCAGAAATTGAGAAAGAAAAAGGCGATGAATATTATGAGACAATATCTGTCCACACAGATGGGTCTGCAATGCCTAAATCAAATGTCAAATCGAGTGATCATATTACGAGAATTTATGCTTGTGCAACTATGTGGCATGAGACAAAAGATGAGATGATAGAGTTCTTAAAGTCTATCTTGCGACTTGATGAAGATCAATGTGCACGTCGTGTGGCTCAAAAATATTTGAGAATTGTCGATCCTGATTATTATGAATTTGAAAGTGAGTATTTTTGGAATTAGAAAGTTTTTTTTTGTGGTTAAGCAATTTTAAGTAGATTTTTGAGCAGCTTTGAACATTTAATTACCTTAAAAGTGTTAAAAGTGTTTGCTCTCAATTTTTGTTTGATTTTGTCTGACAACTAGTGTTTAATTATGCGTTACTGCATACAAATTAGTAAACAAAAACTTGATATGAGAAAGTCTAATCCAAAGTCAATAATGTTAAATTTTCTTAATCTTCCAGCTCACATTTTCTTCGATGATGCTTTTGAAATTTCTGACCACAGTGATGATGATATTCAAGTTAATCGATTCGTTAAGCTTCTCGTCACAACTCTCGATGAAGCCGCGTCAGACGTCCATCAAACGCAAATTCGCTTAAGAGCACCGAAGAAATATCCAGCTCCATATGGTGGACGACTTGTATGGACATTACCTGGAAAGACAAAGATGATTGCCCATTTGAAAGATAAGGACCGTATTAGGCATCGTAAGCGATGGTCACAAGTTATGTATATGTACTATTTGCTTGGTCATCGATTAATAGAATTGCCAATCAGTGTTGACAGAAAAGATTGTATTGCTGAAAATACTTACCTTTTGACACTTGACGGTGACATTGATTTCCAACCTAGTGCTGTAACACTTCTTGTTGATTTGATGAAAAAGAATAAAAACCTGGGAGCTGCTTGTGGACGTATTCATCCTGTTGGATCAGGTCCAATGGTGTGGTATCAAAAATTCGAATATGCTATTGGTCATTGGCTGCAAAAAGCTACTGAACATATGATTGGATGTGTACTCTGTTCGCCTGGATGTTTCTCACTTTTCCGTGGTAAAGCTTTGATGGATGATAATGTCATGAAGAAATACACAACAAGATCTGATGAAGCTCGTCATTACGTACAATACGATCAGGGAGAAGATCGTTGGTTATGTACATTATTGCTACAAAGAGGATATCGTGTCGAATACTCAGCTGCTTCAGATGCCTATACTCATTGTCCAGAAGGATTTAATGAGTTCTACAATCAACGTCGTCGTTGGGTACCGTCTACGATTGCTAACATTATGGACTTGCTTGTTGATTATAAAAGAACAATTGAGGTCAATGACAACATTTCATTGCTGTATATATTTTATCAAATGTTGTTGATGGGCGGTACAATCCTCGGTCCTGGTACGATATTTCTTATGTTGGTGGGGGCTTTCGTCGCTGCTTTTCGTATTGACAATTGGACTTCATTCTACTACAACATTATTCCTATATTCTTGTTCATGTTCGTCTGTTTCACATGCAAATCAAATATCCAATTACTTCTGGCACAAATTCTATCAACATTATATGCGCTTATTATGATGGCTGTAATTGTCGGTACTGCGTTACAGTTAGGCGAGGACGGTATTGGAAGTCCATCAGCTATTTTCTTGATGTCTATGGTGGGGTCGTTCTTTATAGCGGCGTGTCTGCATCCTCAAGAGTTTTGGTGTATAGCAGCCGGTATCATTTATTTACTTTCCATTCCATCTATGTACTTGCTCTTGATTCTCTACTCAATCATCAACCTGAATGTCGTCTCATGGGGAACACGTGAAGTCGTCGCTAAGAAAACAAAGAAAGAACTTGAACAAGAAAAGAAAGAGGCAGAAGAGGTGCAAAAGCAAGCCAAACAAAAATCACTTCTCGGATTTCTTCAAGGCGGTGTTGGTTCTAGTAATGATGAAGAAGGTTCTATCGACATTTCAGTTGCTGGCTTATTCAGGCTTCTTTTATGTACACATGGAAAGACGAGTGATGAAAAGGCACAATTGATTCATATTGCTGAGTCATTGGATACAATGAAGAAGAAGATTGATAGCATTGAGAGACATATTGATCCTCATGTTGGTCATCATGGAAGGAGGAGAACTGCATCAACTGGATCAAAAGATCATCATTTAGGATCTGTTGCTGAGGTTGCTTCCGAAGAGGATAGGTAAGTTTTGTAGATTTGGTGAGTGTAACTGATATTGATTGGTTCGTCAAATTTGACAGCAGCAGTAATGAAGATTCAGAATCGGACACATCAACAGCACCACAAAATGAAAGAGATTTTCTTACAAATCCATACTGGATTGAAGATGCGGAGTTGAAAAAGGGTGAAGTTGATTTCCTGTCGAGTGCTGAAGTACAGTTCTGGAAGGATTTGATTGATAAATATTTATATCCAATTGATCAAGATAAGGCAGAACAGGTGAGTCATTGTTGGATGTGATTTAGAATAATGGAAGTAACGTTTGTAACTTTACATACTAGGCACGTATTGCTCACGACTTAAAAGATTTGAGAAATTCCTCAGTCTTTGGATTTTTCATGATTAATGCCCTCTTTGTCCTCATTGTGTTCTTGTTGCAATTAAACAAGGATAATTTACATGTTAAATGGCCCATCTCTGCTCGTATTAATGTTACCTATGATGAAGTCACCCAAGAGGTAATTGCTTGTAGGGACATCGAACTTGTTGCGATCGAATAGCTTTAATTTAGTTGCTTTTTTTTAATCACCAATCTAGAGGTTTTAGGTATATCTCTTGTAAATATCAATCAACGGGCCGTAAACTTTTGAGTATTTTGTGCTACGATTCTGTGACTGTCGATGTCCCATTTTAAGAATATTTATTAATTTTTGTTTTTTTCTTTTTTTTCTTTTTTGCTTTTCATTAACTTCTTATACACAACTACACACTACAAAATTATATATAAATTTTTTTAAAATATTTTATCTCGACTCTACTTATTTTTGGACTATCAAAAAATATTACGAAAAAAAAATTACTTTTTTGACCAACAAAATTTTTTTTGCATCTTCTTTAAATTTTCTAATTTTACACACCAAAAAAAAAATTGACAAAAAAAATTGGCATCGGTAAAAAAAATGTAAATTATTTGCATCATAAACAGGATCGCATAGCAAGCGATTTGATAGAGCTTAGAAACAAATCAGTATTCGCATTCTTCATGTTCAACGCATTATTCGTACTGATTGTCTTCTTGTTGCAACTTAATAAAGACAAACTTCATATTTTGTGGCCATTGGCGCCACGCATAAATGTTACATTCGTTGAGGAAACAGCTGAGGTTTGATTACTTATTTTCTCACACAAAAAAATCGAAAAAAAAATTAACTTTTTTTAATGTGTTTGGCCAAAATATTTTTTTTTGTTTTCTTTTTTCTATTTCCTCTATCTCTCATCTCTTCCTTACCTCATAATTATTTTATTTAGAGTGAATAATAATGTGAGGTTTAATGCTAAGTATCCCAATGTGATAATATCTTCCTTCCCACCACTTATTTATTTTACTTTACCAAACATCCACGGGTTTGGCTTGTATAAAACCTTCCTTCTCTCACCTCTTACCCATAACTGATGGATTAATGAGTGAGGCTGTGTTTATTTGATTTATTATTATTTCCACTGTGTTTTTAATAGACTTTTTTTTAATCATACAATTTAAGTTTGTTTTCCTTACTAGATCTTATCTAATTTAAGGCTGGTGAATAATTTATAAGCACAAAATATGTTATTTCAAATAGGATTTAAGATTAATGTTCATTAATGCTCCTTATCCATGCATAATGTGCGATATTTACTTGACGTGAGTCTGTAAAATTAGTTGAGTTGCAATTGGGCAGGGTTTGGCGTGTTATTCAATTGCAGACTGAGCTAAGGCTTGCGTTATGATTAATTTGTGATAAACTTGTCTGTTTAAAGTATCAAGTTTCATTAGAATTTGCTTTATAAGCAATCAGGTTGTTGTTTGTGCAGCTAGTTGTAATAAACAACTGCTTTTATTGATCATACTGTTGTTAAGCAGCATTTGAGGATTTTTGGCTTCTTGCTAGTTTACGAACTTATTAGATTTCAATTTTTTTGTATGAAAAGACTTCAATGACCGAAATAGCAACGAAACTTTAATTGAATTAGGTTGACAACTTCATTTCTATTCTGAAATTGTTCAAAAGAGGGTTGACTTCACCGAAAAACCACAGGTCCTTCTAATATTTTCTGCCTAGTGTCTTTGATGAATTTTTCAGACTGTTCATAAGCAACTTTACAATACATATTTGTATACTTAGTATAGATACAAAGAAATGCCAAAGTACCTAAAATGATACAAACCCTTGCTTAACCTAAGCTTAGGCAAGCCAGTTCTGCTACTGCCACTTGAATGTAGCCCGTGATTTACAAGCAATTGGACTCTATTTTGTAGATAAATGTCCATAAAACAACAAATTCCACTTTGGTGTACAGACCCTGCTCGCAAGAAATGTCAAGTAAATTCCAACACATTTGCTTGAAAAAAAAAATCCTTTACCTCAAAAATTCCTTCAATCAAAAAAATTCCAATTTATGTAGCTGTTAATGCAAATAATGTCCTCATAATTACACAACCATAACTGCATAACAGGCATAGAAAAATGAGAAGAATTTGTAAATTTGGAGAAAATTGTCTCATTTTTGATGCCAAAATGCTAAAAAATGACCTTTGACTAAATGCAACATTTTTTTGTGACTTGACATATAACTTATACATGTGATAACATACAATATATAACTTTTTCAAATGCCAATCAACATCAATCATTTTTTGTCATACAATAAAACATATTCACATAAAAATTATATACACCTACATACACATAGCACATCATACATTATTCATGCTAATCATTTTGAGTCATCATTCATTAAAAATATGCAAATAATTCACACAATTCCCACATGTGACAAAATTTATTATTTTTTGAAATTTTTTAACACAAAAGATTTGTACAGAAATCGGATTAAATGGTTTGATGATTATTGTCGATTGACTGAGATTTTTTGCAAGAAGTTTCTGATGGATTTTCAGTTCTTCCTGGTTTTAATTAAAGGTTTCATGGTTTATATTGAGAATCTCTGATTTATGGACTATAAATGAGATTTGATAAAGAATTTTTGTTGAAAAAAAAAGGCTTGAGATTGGAGCTCACGTCCTAGTCAAATTCATTTTAATTGACCACTTGTTTTTGAATCCTATTGAATTTGGAATAATATTCAGAAAACTCAATTTTAAAAATTTCATAGACTGAGTTTGATTGCTTTCAACAGCTCACCAATTTATAATATCAAATAAGAACTCAATTCCAATAAGAATCTCATTCAACCAACAAAAATCCAAAACAACCCTCATCAATTTTGGCCAAAAAATCCTGTTAACAAAAGATTTATTCAAAATTTGGGAACTAATTATGTGTATATTTTGTGTTTCATTCATCATCCCGCTATTAATCATATTAAATTAATTCACAATGTCTTTAATATCTCAAAGTAAATAGCTAATGCTGATTTATTTTCTTTAATTCCATCTTCTTAAATGTCAACAACCAAAATTTTAGGTTCATATCTCGAAAGAATATCTTCAACTTGAACCAATCGGTTTGGTCTTTGTGTTCTTCTTTGCATTGATTTTGATTATTCAGTTTACTGCTATGTTGTTCCATCGTTTTGGAACTATATCGCACATTTTGGCATCAACTGAATTGAACTTAACATGCAACAAGAAGAGCGAGGAATTGTCACAAGATGCTCTGATAGATAAGGTGAGCTTTTGCGTTATTTTAAGTATGTATCACATTAGACATTCTTTATAAAAATCATTCCAGCACGCGGTAGAAATTGTCAAAAATCTACAACGACTGCAAGGTATCGATGGCGATTATGATAATGATTCGGGAAGTGGACCGGATCGAATAGCACGTCGAAAAACAATTCAGAATCTCGAAAAGGCACGACAACCACGTCGACAAATTGGCACGCTTGATGTGGCCTTTAAGAAACGTTTCCTTAAATTGACAGCTGCCAATGAGGAGAATAATGTAGGAACTCCAATTTTGACAAGACGTATGACAATGAGAGCTGAAACAATTAGAGCATTGGAGGTTCGAAAGAACTCTGTTATGGCTGAGAAGAGGAAATCTCAGATGCAAACTTTAGGAGCTAATAATGAATATGGAATTACAGGAAATGTAAGTTTGGTAAAATTCATAAAATTTAAAGCTTGAAGTTCAATTTTTAATTGATTCAAAATTCCATTTTAGCATAATAACAATCTCCAACTGCCAAGTCGTCCAGTACGTAGTTCAAATGCCGGCATGAGTGTTAAGGAACTCTTCAACGCAAATGGCGCTGCAAATCATACAATTTATGGCGCAACAGGTGCTGTAAATCAAGCCTATGAGCATGTAGAAGAAGAAGATGGAAATTCAATACGATTAACACCTAGAAATCAATCGTCATGGGCCACGAATTCGTCAAGTACTCAACGACTGTAGGAAATTAAATTATAAATAGCAATTATACTCAAATTTAAAAAAAAAATGAAATGAAATTAATCATGTGATTCAATTTTAAATAAGATAATTAAAAATTTTCAAAGAGAAATTAATGTTGAAATTTCAACTACAACATAATTTAGTCATTGCAAACTGCCGTCCATCAAATAAATGAAATTTTATATATATATTAAATGTTTTATTGATATTAAGAAATACTCAAATGATTTTTGTAAAGAAATAATCGATTGAATTCAGGGCTGATGATTGATATTGTCTTGAATTACGGGATTGGAGTTGACAGATCTATAGATCCTTAGTTTGTTGTCAAGAGATTATAGATTATGCTACAATTTATGTAAGAAATTTGAGTACTGAATTTAAAGATATTTAGTGCCTTAAATTAGCTTAGCAGCTTAAATTTATTATTTAAAAAAATTCTATCGTTTTTGAGCTTTTTTAGTTCAAATAGTTTATAGAGCTAGTACCTTCGCACCTACTCAATTTATGGTATGAAAAATTATGTCGTATACGTACTTAAATGTTAAGAAAACTTAAACTTTCTTTTAAAATGTAACTACAGTAATGCACTTTCGGACCCAAATTTTTCCGCTTTTAGATTTATCTGACCGATGTCTGCTTATTTTCTTAAAAAATTTCCAATTTAAATTTTAAGTAGCATTTTTTATTTCAAAATTGCATTAGAAATTGTAAGTCTTTTAAACCCATGAAATTAATGTGTGCAAGATCCAATTTGAATTAGGAATCGAAGTCAAACATTTCATAAGATTTCTTACCTAAACCATCCGTAGCTGATTCTTTAAGTCACTCTGGATACTATCCATATTATTTTACTCAATAAATCTACAAATACTCCAAAACAGCATTAAATTAAGACCCACTCGATCACCAGCTCTGGCAACCACATGCAAATAATTCATCCGCACATATTGTTGTAAGCAGAAAGTCTGATAAAATTTCTTTTTTTTATAAATGTTAATGTCATAACGTAATTATGCGCTGCCGTCAAATCTTTCAAGCTTTTTATCTCATTTATGTGATTTTTTTTCGACAGTAAGAGTTGATTATTGATGAAAGATGACTCCTGATTAGTAACTTATCTAAAAGCATGAATTTTGTTGACATGCTGTCTGTTGACTACATGAAAATTAAATAATCAAATTATTGAATCTCATTCCAAATCTACTGTCAAAAAAATCACTTCCACAGCTTTTGTAGAAATTTTTTTTAAAAAAATAATTTTCCTGCCATTTTTTTACGTAAAGAAATTTTTTATTTTTCACATTTATTTTACTATGCAAACTTTATTGTAATTATTATTGAAAAGAAATAAATCGACAAGAACTTAAGAAATTTGTAAAATAAGAAGAAATAAAGAGGAAGAAATTTAGACAAAATTAATATTTTTTTTTCATTTTAGCCATAATAATAGCTTATTAAGTCAAACCTAGAACATCCTTCACCCACCTTAACCAGTACCTCATTAAAACTAATCTGACTACGCTCTTATTCCAATCCAAATGGCCAATAAGACAGCAAAAATACTAAGTTTTAATGTTGATCCACTATCTGGAGTTGTTGTTGGAATTTCTGTTGATGAAGATGACAGTGCAGTTGTAGAATCTGTTGTTGTTGTAGGAGGAGTAGGAGTAGTTATATCAAATTCTCTTTCAAGTAGCTTAACAACCAAACTCAACTGTTTAGAGTTAAGTGGCAGTTCCTGATCGCTTAAACGTTGACTTGTGACCTTAACAGCTTCATCAGTATCTCCTTTAACCAAACCTGTGTAATTTAAATTCTGAATATATTCCAAGAATCGGAATCGGTCAGATTCAGTGTAGACAGAACTGGCAATATTCTTCAAAATGTCAGCCCACGACCAGCCATAGCTTGTTGGTAATTCGTTTCTGGAATATTTTTGAATAAGTTTAAAGGCTGTGGACATTCCATTTAGATTTTTGAGTGCGCCATTAAAGACTGCTCGTTTTTCAGACTGAGTGTAATTTACGTTATTGCTATTTGTACCGAGCGAAGTTTCAAGGAATGCATACAAATAATCAGAATTCTTCGTGCAAGTCAAAGCATTGATCAGTCTTGATTTATATCGTGATTCCGATGGTTGATAAAGTTTGTTCATTCTGTTGTAAATATTGATGAATTCATCTTGATCCTCTGTGTGCCTAAAATAGTTGCATAGAATTTCTTCTTCCAAGCCTGGTGGGATTCTTTGTTCTCCTTTTACATCCTTGGCACCAAACTTGATTGCATCTCTAATACAATCTTGATTTCCAGAATTACAAGCTATAGCATTAGCTAATTGTCTTTCATAACGAACTGGAACTTCTTCTTTTGGAATTGTTTCTTTGTCGGACAACTCATAATGATTGTAGAAAGTTTTGGAAAGATGGAGCAAAAATATCTGAAAAATAAAAGTTCTGGAACTATCTTTTATTTAAAAACCTACAACTTACATTAAGTATCTCATTCCTCGATCCATAAACACTGAACAATCTATTGACATAGTCTATAGCAGTATCCCATGCAAAATAATCGGTTTCCTTCTTTAAATACATTAAAATTTCATAAGGAACTTCCATGTCAATATATCCAGCAGTAGCAAGTCTAAAGGCATCATCAATCAACTGAACTCTATTTGCAATGTGAATTTTCTTAAAATCTTCACTATTCAAGGCTGTTATCAATGCATTCCAATTATTTAAATCATAATTGACTCGATAATATCCGACTTGCTGTTTATTGAAGATAAACCATTCCTCGCCATCATAATTTGAATCTACGAATGAAAATTCGTTTACTCCATCAGGGAAGAATTGAGATGGACTTGTATCCTCAAAGTCGATGTTCGATGCAGTTCCATAATTGAGTGGTATGTACCAGCTACTTGTATCATCGACGTTCCTCGATTTATTGTTGAAGAATCGTTCCTGAGTCAGATGGAATGTCGAATCAGTATGATTGAAATGGACACTGACGAGTGGGAATCCTTCTTGCATTTCCCAAGTTCTGAAGATGCGTTTGAAGTCATAAGGAAGTGGTTTTTTGTCTAGTACTTCTTGGAATGCATCAATAAGATCATCTGATGTAACTGATCCATACTGACTGAAAAGTTTTGGAATTAAAAATCGTTCTTATGACTTCTAGTGTCATCCACTTACTTTTTGGTGAGATATCTGTTAATTGCATCCTTGAAAATTAAGTCGCCTACTGTATGGTTCAACATCCTCAACACACAACCTGCTTTATCGTATGTGATATCATCAAAAGAGTTATTGATTTCTTCAACTGTGTTCAAATCTGCTGACATCGAGTGGGTGTTCTCAGATGCATCAGTTCGGAATGCATAGTATAACATGACGTTCCTTTGATAAAATTCATTCATCTTCCATTCTGGATAGATCTGATCTGTTAAGTAGTATGCCATGAATGTGGCGAATCCTTCATTGAGCCTAAATTGATTTTACTTACTAAGATAAAACGAAAGGAATGAAACGAACTTACCATAAATAATTCCACCATTTTGCTGAAAAAAAATGAAAAATTAGGGTTAAAGATCTAACTTAAGAAACTTTATTTACCTGTCACCAAATCTCCAAAGAACATATGTGCCCTGAAAAATAAGGTTTAATATCTAAGTGCATGTTAATTAAAAAACTTCTCTTACACTTCATGAGCAATGAGTCGGACTCCTCTCTGTTTCAAGTCATGTGCAATTTCTTCCTCCTCATCTTCGTAAACTAGAGCTTCCTCACGATATATAATCAAGCCCCTAAAAAAAAAATCTTATTTTCAATTCATTATTTTTTTAACATCTATCTTACCAATTTTCCATGCCACCACTTTTTCCAGGAACAGCGCCAGAGTCAAGTTTTGGTAAACTGAAATTCATTCCTGCAAACTTTTCGAGTTCATTCAAAACCTTTACAGAATTTTCTAATCCATATTTTGCATTTTGCTCCTTTCCTGGTCTTGTGTAAATGCTTTGAAGTGCTTCTCCTTCAAGTCTTCTATTATTATTTGAAAGATATTTGAAGTCAGATACTAAAAATGCTAATAGATATGTGCTCATCTTGGCTGTTGGGTTGAAAATTGTGTCTGTTGTTCCGTCGTCACTAAAAAATAATTTTGAATTTTTTGTTTAATTCTTTAAAATAAATTTACACATTTTTACTCACTTAGCCATTGTCTTATTTACTGGAGCATTGGAAACTGCATTGTATGTCGATGGATGGCGGATAGTTACATCAAATTCGGTTCTAAACTCAGGTTCTGCAATGAAATTTACCTAGTTCATTCAATATTATCTGGAATTTCAATAGTTTGTCTCACCATCAAAGCATGGGAAAGCCCGTCGAGCTTCAACAGCTTGGAATTGAGTTGTTGCCAAGTATTTTGTCTTCGGAGATTGATTTTCATCAAATTCTATATAAGAATCTCTGTAGAATCCATCAGTTATCGTTTGTAAATTTGCAGAATATTTGATGTTGACTTCAATGGAAGTGTCTACTTCAAGGAAGTCAACAAAGTAAATGGCCAATGTATCGACATCATGGTTTTGATGGAAGTCAAGCATTTGAATAGTCTGCATTGAGATTTTATTTGTGACAGTAATTTCATCAATTTTATGATCTTTTGAATGAAGAATAATTCTGTCAATTCTTTCTTCAATTTGGACATCAATCTTAACTTCTGCAGTATATGGAAGGGCTCCAGTATCAATGTTGCTGACATCAAGATAAATACTATAATGTTCAGGTCTTGCGATTTTGGGAAGTCTCAACATATTTTCAAAATCATCTATGGATTTCAGAACATTGTAGATGTAAATAGATGCTGTATTAGCCATAGGACTTGCTATCCAATCCTTATTGAACTTAATGTTTTTAACGATTTTATCTTTTGTTCCTTGGTTAAAGGCTTTAGCTTTATTTTCTAGTCTAGCCAAAAGATCCATGATCAATTTTTCATCTTTTTCTGTTGAGATGCGACTTGAAGCACCTACTAGCATTCCATCGATAAACCCAGCATCAGTGCTTTAAAAATTAAAATTCAATATTTTCTGCCTTAAAATTTTATAAAATTGTATTTACCGTTCAATAATTTTGTCAAAACTTTCCTCGATAATTTCTCCCAGAACTTCCAACCCAACTGAACTTTTTTGCAAAGCACCTTCAAGAACTGTGTAGATCTCTTGTTCCCTATAGAATGTCTGACCATCAATAGCAGTAAGGATAAATTTCTTCAATATTTCATGATCATTTGAGCACAGAAGTCCATACATGATTCTCAATCTTTCAGTGTGGAGAATGGATCTATCCATTCTATCAAATAAATGTTTGTATTCTTCATCTAGGTCGGTTCCTTTCATTCCATTACAAATAAAAGTGATCTCCAAAGGTTTGAGCATATTTCTAGATTTCATATTCGTGTATGCATTTGTCAGGCATTTTTCGTCACCAAATCGGCACATCAAATCAATAGCAAGTTCAGCTGATAATTGTTCAGAAGGAGTAAGATTATTGATTTCTTTTAAGTCATACTTATTATACAATCGTCTTACTAAAAACTTTACAAATTTCTGGAAATCTTCATAAAATTCACTTCCTTTAAGAATATAATCAAGTTTATCAAATGCGACCATTGCTGTGTACCAAGGAATGTAGTCAGTCTCGCGTCTTAAATAACTCACAATGCCTAATGCAATGTCATAAGAAATAACACCATCGAATGCAAAAGTCATTGCATCATCAATAAGCTGTGCACGATTAAGGACATGAATTTGATCAAAATTTTTGCTATTTAGGATTTGAATGATTTTGTTCCAGTTACTTTCATCATAATTGACTCGATAGTAGCCGAGTTGCTGGATGTTAAAGATGAACCATTGAGTTTCATTAAAATCTGTGATAATTTCTGTAGAAATTGTTTTTTGAGCAGTTCCATCATCAAAATAATCAGTAAACATTTTGTTTTCAAAGTTTGGGTTAGCTCCAGTCGTGTAACTTAATGGAATAAACCAAGTAGATGGATCTTCTTGTGGAACTTCTCCAGTTGACGACAAATAACGCTTTTGTGTAACAAGGAACTCTTTATTAGTAGCATTAAAGTTGACTGTAATCATTGGATATCCTTTGTTTAATTCCCAAGTGCGGAATGCTTGCTTAAAGTTGATGTTTAGAGATGCAGGAACAAAGTCTTCAATTATTGTGAGCAAGTCTTCAGAAGTTACTGAATCATATTCGCTAAGGATAAAAGTTTTGTTATTTATTTTGAATGCTATGACATTAGGATTTCATATCTTACTATGTATTTAAATATTTGGAAATTGCGTCAGTCCATTGATCTTCACCGATTAAATTTAAAAACATTCTTAAAATTGCAGCAGCTACAAAGAGTTGTAATTTAAGTCTTAAATAGCCTTTATTTACTTAAAAGGAATTTACGTTTATCATAGTTGATTTCATCAAGCAATCCCATTATTTCAGAAGGAGTGTTGCCATCAGATGCAATTGGTCGTGTTGATTCTAATGAATCCATTCGAAAAACAACATGTGTTTTACGAATATTGAAGAAGTCATCAAATCTCAAAGTATTTGTCATACTTGAAATTTCTGGAAGTTTATGTTCAAGCCATGTTGCAAATCCTTCGTTAAGCCTGTAAAATGAGAATCTTAGGTAACCAAATTGTCATAAAATGTCATAACCGATCTTACCAGATTTGATCCCACCATTTACATGTTACCGCATTGCCGAAAAATTGATGCGCTCTAAACAGAAATTTAATAAGTAAATTGATTATGAATGTTAACTGATATAAACCCAGTAAGGGTTAATTTGCTGCAAAAGAATATATGAAAGATTAAGTTTGTGTTTCTAGTATTAACTTACGTTGAATGAGCAATTGTTCCAATGAGATTCAACAAATCTTGAGGATGTGGCTGATCTTCTAAAACAAAGAATTGTTCTTTATACAAACTAACACCCCTATGAAGAAGAAGATTACAGTTTAAGTTATTACCTATGGCTTTAAAGGTATTCCTTACCAATTCTCAATAGCACTAACGTGATCTGGAAGTGCTACGCTATCTGCTTTTCCAATTATTTCACTATAGTTGAATGAGAATTTAGCTTCTAAAGTTTCAAGGAAGTTGATTGAATATAACAGTGGCTGTAATGTATATTCTTTGTCTAAATGTTCCTTTCTAGCATAAACTCGGTACTTCCTTTTTCCTTCTGGTTGTTCATAAAATCCCAAATCAGATATAACAAAAGCAACTGAATATATTGGAATCTTTGGGGTTTCACTAAACGTTGTGATTGATAATCCGTCGCCTCTAATAAATTTTTAATAAAATAATTAAGTCAAATAAAGGTTGCTAATAAAGTTAAATTACATGACTACTTTATTGCCAACTGTATGCGATAAAGCATGATAATCTGATCCATGAGTAATGCTTATTTTGAATGTCACCTTATATTCAGGCTCTATAATTATATTTACGATAAGATACTTATTTAATTCGAGTTAATTTTGATAATAAATTTTTAAAGTACCATCAAAACAGGGAAAAGCTTCACGGGCTTGTGTAGGCTTCAACTGTGTTGCCGCTAAATATCTAAATAAAATTTATTAGAGTTGCTTTTAATTGACTGATTATCGGATTATTTTTTTTTATCAGTACACACCTCGGCGAAATTTCACCATTAACTTGATATTGGGATCTATAAAATCCACTTGTGGTTGTTGTTCTTAGATTGCCACTAAAGCTGATTTCTAGGAAATATGTGAAGTCGTTCAGAAGTTGATCAGAGGAGTGAATTTTCAAAAAATCTCTTTCGATGTCAAACGTATGAGTTTGATTAATATTTGTTTCATTTGTATTAAAAATGCTAATCTGTCTGATAGCTAGCCCACTACTGTGTAGTATCACAAGATTAGTATCTTCAGTGACATTCACTTCAATTTTTACAGTTCCTTCAAATGTTGTATTGCCTTCTAAATGAACTTCCGATTTTATAGACAATTCATAAGATAGAGGAACAACATATTTCGGCAATCTATAGCTGCTATCAAAAGTTGATGGTTTTTGAGGTGCGGCACTTATAACTGATATTATCGCTGCCACTATGAGCACTTGTGCACTTTTTTTCTTCCACTTTTTCATTTTCCTTTACTCACCTGAATCAAAAAGTAAACTGAGGGTTTCCGATTTATTGTATGGCAATATATTACAGTAAACTATGTATGACTGTATTGCTTTTAAGATTAGGATGCCTAATCTAGAGTGACTTTCGAGTGTGTTAGATTGGATTAAAGCTTTTTTCCTATCAGTTGTCATTCGAAAGCTTTGGGTTAATTTTATTACCTAGGTTAAGTTTTAATAAATTAAGTTCAATGACTGATAGCATAACATAGAATGCAATCATCGAAATAAAGTCCTTGCGGTGCTCGAGCTTGCAGGTTTTACTTCAGATACTAAGAAAATTTTAATTTGTTGATTAAAATTGTTTTATTCAAAGTATTTAAATTTCTTTTAAAACATTTAAGTGACATCAAATATAAAGTAGGAACCAATAGAATTGAAATAAATATTTATACTAATGCTGCATGACTATTCCTAATGTAATTGCTAATAAAAATGCAAGAATACTGATTTTAATAGATGATGCACTGTCTGGAGTGGTGGTTGGGAGTTCTGATGTCGATGATGAGCCTGTTGTTGAATCTAAAGTTGTAGATTCCTTGGTGGTTATTTCTTCAGTTGTTCTAGAATCGAATCTTGTTGTTGTAGTAGGCTCCGTAGTTGTTGTAGACTCAGTTGTTGTGGATTCAGTTGTTGTAGACTCAGTTGTTGTAGACTTAGTTGTTGTAGACTCAGTTGTTGTAGACTCAGTTGTTGTAGACTCAGTTGTTGTAGACTCAGTTGTTGTTGAATCAGTAATATCGGTTGTAGTTGATTCCAAAAATTCTCTTTCGATAAGTTCATTAATTAGTTCCATCTGTTTTGAATACGATGTTAATCCTTGGTTGTTTATATTACCATCAGCAGCTAATTGGGCATTTACAATATCTTGTCTTAACAGTCCAGTGTAGTTGACATTATTCATATATTCTAGGAATCTGTATTTGTCTTGATCTGTATAAACATATCCAGCAATATTTGTGAAAATGCTAGACCATGACCAGCCATAACTAGTAGGTAATTCTTGTCCTTGATAATTCTCAATTAGTTCAAAAATAGCACCCATTCCGTTCGGGTTTGCAACAACCCCGTTGAAAATCGCTCGCTTTTCAGATCGAGTATAGTTTACATTATTTTCGTGCATTCCAAGGGAAGTTTCCAGGAATTCATACAAATATTCCGAATTTTTAGTACAAGCAAGAGCACCAATGAGCCTAGACTTATATCTTGACTCCGATGGCTGATAAAGTTGATTCATTCTGTTGAAAACATTAATATATTCATCACGATCTTCGGTGTGCCTGAAATAATTGCAAAGAATTTCTTCTTCCAAGCCTGGTGGGATTCTTTGTTCACCTCTAACATCTTTGGATCCAATTTTAATTACATCTCTTATACAGTCCTCATTTCCAGCTCCACATGCGATAAGTATAGCATATTGTCGACCGTACCGCTCAGGCATGCTTTCCTTCGGAATCGAATCCTTGCCATATAGTTCATAATGATTGTAGAAAGTTTTGGATAGATGATACATAAAAAGCTAAAATTTAATTAAGAATTAACAAATTGTCATGATTTGTAGCAACTAAAACTTACATTCAAAGCTTCATTGCGTGCACCAAAAACTTCAAACATATCAAGTAAGTGCTCAAATCCAATATCCCATGCAAAGAAATCAGTTTCTTGTCTTAAGTACAATAAAATCTCATAAGGAACTTCCATGTCAATATATCCAGCAGTAGCAAGTCTAAAGGCATCATCAATCAACTGAACTCTATTTGCAATGTGAATTTTCTTAAAATCTTCACTATTCAAGGCTGTTATCAATGCATTCCAATTCTTTGATCCATAATTGACTCGATAGTATCCGACTTGCTGTTTATTAAAGATAAACCATTCCTCGCCATCGTAATTTGCATCTACAAATGAAAATTCATTTGATCCATCAGGGAAATATTGAGATGGACTTGTATCCTCAAAGTTGATGTTCGATGCAGTTCCATAATTGAGTGGTATGTACCAGCTGCTTGTATCATTGACATTCCTCGATTTATTGTTGAAGAATCGTTCCTGAGTCAGATGGAATGTCGAATCAGTTGGATGGAAATGGACACTTACGAGTGGGAATCCTTCTTGCATTTCCCAAGTTCTGAAGATGCGTTTAAAGTCATAAGGAAGTGTTTTTTTGTCTAGTACTTCTTGGAATGCATCAATAAGATCATCTGATGTAACTGATCCATATTGACTGAAAAGATTTTAAATTAAATTAAAAATCATTCTTATGATTTTAACTGTCATCGACTTACTTTTTGATGAGATATCTGTTAATTGCATCCCTGAAAATTAAATCTCCAAATGTATGATGCATCATTCGAAGCACACAACTTGCTGTAAAATTAAATCAAATTATAAGCAATTTAGAAACAAAAAAGATAAAAGCAGTCAATAGCCTTAATTTGTTCAATTAAGATAAGACAAAAAAAACAATAGTAACGGTTAATTAATTTCAATTTACCTTTATCATAAGCGATATCATCAAACGAGTCATTAATGTCATCAACAGTAATCAGTTCCGATGACATTGATCGAGTGTGTTCGGAGGCATCAGTCAAAAATGCGTAAGATAACATGATGTTTCTCAAATAAAATTGCTTCATATTCCAATCAGGGTACAGTAAGTCTGTGATATGATACATGACGTATGTGGCGAATCCCTCATTTAACCTTATTGATAAGGAAAGTCAAGCACAGTTTATGATACTTTTAAGATTGTTTACTCACCAAAGATAATTCCACCATTCAGCTATTATTGGATTGAATGCAAATATAGTCAGATAATGAAAAGATTTTGAAACTTAAGGTCATTCTTACCTGTTACTAAATTTCCAAAGAACATGTGGACACTGTAAAAAATGGTTTAATGGTTTTAGGTTCTTTTTAACTAATTGAAAGTCACTTACACTTCATGAGCAATCAGTCGAACTCCTCTTTGCATTAAGTCATGTGCAATGTCTTCGTCATCATCTTCATAAACTAAAGCTTCTTCGCGATATAAAATCAATCCCCTGGAAATCATTATGTGAGATAAAAAAATAAAACTTAATGAATGCATCTGAACTCACCAATTTTCCATTCCACCTCCTTTACCGGGAATCGCGCCTGAATCAAGTTTAGGTAAATCAAATTTAATTCCACCGAACTTTTCAAGCTCATTTAGAAGTTTCACAGAATTATTCAATCCATATTTTGCCTTCTGTTCCTTTCCAGGTCTTGTATAGATGCTTTGAAGTGCTTCTCCTACAAGTCTTGTATTATTATTTGAAAGATATTTGAAGTCAGATACCAAAAATGCTATAAGATATGTGCTCATCTTGGCTGTTGGATTGAAAATTGTGTCTGTTGTTCCGTCGTCACTAGAAAAGGATTTTTAGTTTTTTGTGTAAGTTCTTATATAAATATTCACTTACTTAGTCTCTGTCATATTCACTGGTGCATTGGATACTGCATTATAAGTCGATGGATGGCGGATAGTTATATCGAATTCGGTTCTAAACCCAGGTTCTGTAATGAAATTTAAATAGTTCATTCAATATTTTCTAGAATTTCAATAGTTTGTCTCACCATCAAAGCATGGGAAAGCCCGTCGAGCTTCAACAGCTTGGAATTGAGTTGTGGCTAAATATCTTGTCTTTGGTGACTGATTTGCATCAAATTCGACGTAGGAATCTCGGTAGAATCCATCTATATCTGTCAGTAATTCAGCAGAATATTTAATGTTGACTTGAATGGAAGTGTTCACTGGAAGGAAGTCAACAAAATAAATGGCCAATGTATCGACATCATGGTTTTGATGAAAATCGAGGATTTGAATAGACTGCATTGAGATTTTGTTTGTGACAATGATTTCATAAATTTTATGATCTTTTGAATGAAGAATAATTCTGTCAGTTCTTTCTTCAATTTGGACATCAATCTTAACTTCTCCAGTATATGGAAGGGCTCCAGTATCAATGTTGCTGACATCTAGATAAATACTATAATGTGCAGGTCTTGCGATTTTAGGAAGTCTCAACACATTTTCAAAATCATCTATGGATTTCAGAACATTGTAGATGTAGACAGATGCAGCATTAGCTTTTGAGCTTGCTGCCCAATCTTTGTTGAACTTAATGTTCTTCTTGATTTTATCTACAGTATCTGGGTTAACAGTTTTATTGCTATTTTGAAGCCTAGTTAAAAGTTCCATGATCAATTTTTCATCCTTATCGGATGCGATGCGACTTGAAGCTGCTGCCAGTAATCCGTTGACAGTACCGTCTTCTGTGCTGTGGATATATAAGCAATAAAATTACAACTTAAGTTTGTTAAATTGACTCTTACCGATTAATCAATGCATCATAATGCTCGTCTATGATTTCTATTAAAACTTCTAGACCAATTTCACTTTTTTGTGTTACAGCTCCAAGGATTCTTCGGGTTTCATGATGACGATAGGAGGTTTCACCATTAACAGCTGTTAAAACGAATTTCTTTAATATTTCATGATCATTTGAGCATAACAATCCATTGATGATTCTTAGTCTTTCAGTTTGTACGACGGACTTCTCCATTCTATCGAAAAGATAGTTGTACTCATCAGTTCTATTTGGACCTTTCATTCCGTTGCAAATATAAGCGATTTCCAATGGTTTTAACATTTTTCTAGACTTTAAGTTGCTGTAAGAATTGTCTAAGCATCTTTTATCTCCAGTCCTACATGACCACATGATACCAAGTTCAATTGCTAATTGCTCAGAGTTTGACAGGAAGTTAACTCTGTCAAAGTCATACTCGATATACAATCGTCTGACCAAAGTTCTTACAAATTTTTGGAAATCTTCATAAAATTCACTTCCTTTAAGAATATAATCAAGTTTATCAAATGCGACCATTGCTGTGTACCAAGGAATGTAGTCAGTCTCGCGTCTTAAATAACTCACAATGCCTAATGCAATGTCATAAGAAATGACACCATCGAATGCAAAAGTCATTGCATCATCAATAAGCTGTGCACGATTAAGGACATGAATTTGATCAAAATTTTTGCTATTTAGGATTTGAATGATTTTGTTCCAATTACTTTCATCATAATTGACTCGATAGTAGCCGAGTTGCTGAATGTTAAAAATGTACCATTGAGTTTCATTAAAATCTGTGATATTTTCTGTAGAAATTGTTTTTTGAGCAGTTCCATCATCAAAATAATCAGTGAACATTTTGTTTTCAAAGTTTATGTTAGCTCCAGTCGTGTAACTTAATGGAATATACCAAGTAGATGGATCTTCTTGTGGAACTTCTTCAGTTGACGATATATAACGCTTTTGTGTAACAAGGAACTCTTTATTAGTAGCATTAAAGTTGACTGTAATCATTGGATATCCTTTAGTCAATTCCCAAGATCTAAATGCTCTTGCAAAATCGAAACCAAAATTTGTAGGCAAAACGCTTTTAATTGCTGTTATTAATTCATCCGATGTGACCGAGTTGTATTGACTAATAAATCAGAAATGGATGTTTAAGTTAAGTAGTTGATAAGGTATAACAAAACATTCATACTTGTCTGTTAAGTACTTCTTAATCCCAGTTATAAATAATTCATCGCCAATTGCAAATTGAAACATTCTTAAGACGGCACCAGCTATAATCAATTTTTGGACATTAATATATCAATTAAAAATTATCAATTAATTATATTTAATTATTGGTACTTTACCCTTATCATATGCAATATTATCAAATAAGTCACTTATTTCGGAAGGCGTGTTGACGCTATGTGTCATAGGACGAGTTGATTCCAGGGAATCTGAACGAAGTGCTACGTGTGTTTTTCGAATGTTGAACATATCATAAAATCTAAGACTTTTTGTCATGCTTGATAATTCTGGTAACATGAATTCGATCCATGTAGCGAATCCCTCATTTAACCTAAAAGGGAGAAAATCATGAATTTTGAATAAAATCTAGTCGAGTTAATTTCAAACTCTGAATTCCACTAAAAATTTTTCTCAATCAATTTATGGCTTAATATCGATGGTTCGACTCTTGAGACTGCCTTATCTAGATTAATTTTAAATAGCTTGCAAGTAACAATCCCGGGTGGACACAGCCAGTTAAAGTCCATTATTGGACAATCATTTAACAGTCTTTTAACTTGTCGAAATATATACGATATAGAGAACTATACGTTAACTAGACTTTAACTGGACATTCATGCTAATCAATCAAGTGTTCGAAACTCAAAAATAATTTTCCTTACTTTTTTGACCATATACTTCACAAGCGCTTACAGAAATCACTTATATAAGGTCCACCAAAATTTGTATGAAACTTTTAAGTAAATATAATTGTTTCACGCGCAAGTGTTCGAGACTCAATTTTTACTAGAGATTTTTCATAAGTGATAGTGTACTTTAATTAATTAATTACACTAATACAATAATAAAATTTTACAAAAGAAAAAAATATGGAGAAAAAGACACGTGTTATTTATTTTATTTCGATTTTTTTGTAACTGGACATTAACTAGACATAATTGCAATTCCTATGTCCAGTTAAATGGAAAGCGCAAAATATGTCATTAGTCGTCCCTAAGTCTAGTTGCAAAGGCACGTCAATGGATACTTACTCGCCGTGAAAAGGCAAGTCAATGGCAAGCTTTTAACTAGTACTTTGTCCACTCGGGAATCAATCAAAAAATACGTGGTTCGATTCTTGTTTTGATAAATCCAACTTATGTCCCATAAAACATTTGGCGACACACCTGATATGGTGACGCGACACATTGACATGTTTACTTGTCATATTGCTGTGCATAAACACTTGTTATGTTTTGAGAACAACTGTGCAAAATTGAAGGGGTCGATAACAATTGATGTTGAAATTTAATAAGGAAGAGAGTCTTAGACTGTGTGACAAGCTAGTATTTTCTGACAAAGTGGGAGGAGGTTCTCAAAAAAATTGTGACACAAACCAAATCTTAGAACTTCAGCCATTTCTTTCACTTACCAAATCTGATCCCACCATTTGCACGTCACTACATTTCCGAAAAATTGATGTGCTCTACACGATGAAATTAAATAAATTGCTAGTAAATTTAATTGAAAATCCAAACTTTTCTACATACATTTCATGTGAAATCGTTCCAGCCACATCATAAAATTCATAAGGATGAGGATTGTCTTCCAAAATTAAATACTGTTCTTTATACAAAATTAAACCCCTGAGAAGAATTTGAGACATTACATAAAATTTATAGCATTATATTACCAACTTACCAGTTCTCCATAGCACTGCCATGATCAGGAACTGCAACACTGTCTACTTTTTCAATAGTTCTATCATATTGGAAGGAAAATGTTGTTTCTAGTAAATCGAGGTATTCCTTTGAAAATGCAAGACCCGGCAAATTAAAAAACTTATTAACATGTTCTTGTCTAGCAAATACTCGATGTCTGATATCCCCTGACATAACTTCAGTTGATTTCAAATCAGAAATAACAAAAGCAAGCAGATAAGTTGGCATTTTTGGAGTTTCTATGAATGTTGTCGTAGCCCATTCGGCATCGCTATCAAAACAGTCATATATTACTAAACGACACTTAATGACAATATGATATTATTACATGTTTTTTTTTATTCCCTCCGTGTTAGATAACGCAGTATAATTCAAACCATGAGTAATTGCCAATTGGAAAGTAGCTCTTAAATCAGGCTCTATCCAATAAAGAAGATAAGATAAATTTTTTGACAAAATCATTTTCAATCAGTTTTTAATTACCGTCAAAACAAGGAAAAGCTTCACGTGCTCTGGTTGGTTCAAATTGGGTAGCTGCTAGATATCTATTGCACAATAAATTGTTTATGGATTAAAATCTGTCAAGTTTGATTATTTCTTATCAATTAATACCTTGGCTCAATTTCACCAGCTACTTGATATTTGGATCTATAAAATCCATTTGGGGCTGTCGTTTTAAGCTTTCCGGTGAAGGCTATGTCTAAGTAGTATGTTCCATTTGATAGTGTGTTCAATGAATTAATAATAAGGAAGTCTCGATCTTCGACTGAAGTGTAATTTGAATTATGCCATGTTGATTGAGAATCTGTTACTTTAGGTTCGCCTTCAATTGTTAATCCTTTGCTGTGTAGGACTATAACATCAGTAGCTCCAACAATCTCAAACTTAATCTTCACACTTCCATGGAAATTTGTGAATCCTTGATTATGAACAGCCGTTTGGTAAGACAACTCATAAGAATGGGGAATCACTGTTTTCGGCAATCTATAGCTGATATCATCTGTAGATGATTTATGAGGTGCAGCACTTATAACTGATATTATCACTGCCACTACAAGCACTTGTGCACTTTTTTTCTTCCACTTTTCCATTTTCCTTTACTCACCTGAACCAAAATATGAACTGAGAGCTTCAAATTCATTGTATGGCAATATATTTTGTGGAATAGTTCATTTGTATTTGCTTTACAATGCAAAAGTTATCTAATCAGTTCCAAAAAAGTGACTACCAATATTGTGTATTACACTCAATAGAAATATTGATAAGGGAATTTTTTTGGACTGTAGATTTTCTATTACTTCTGTGGATCAAAAAGCAAGCTGAGTTCTTTTAAACGATAAGTTGTGTAATGATTGATAAGTGACAAAAAAAAAATTACGAAGCTTTTTTTATAGAATTAATTCGAATTTTTAAGAGTCAATTCTTATTATCACATAGCTTTACAGACCAAGAGCATTGTCAGCAGCAGAGCGACCACTATCACAAATAAATCTTATTCAACTTCGCCCTTTAATAAGCGGTGTCGAAGCTTAAGTTCTGTACTTCGGTGGTTTCTGTATCTTTTGAAACGCTCTTTGGCTATGGTCATGGTGCTCATGAGCTTCACTACGATACAGTCAATCGCACTCTTTGTTTGATAGGAAGGTAAATTAAAAATGTAATTAGAGCAGTTCAATGCTTATCGAAACAAATTTATTAGTTCATATCTACGTAAAACAATCTATTAGATAAATATTCAAAATAGTGCGTAAATAGTAAGCTTGCAATAATTTTCCCATAGAACTTTGTATGTGCCATTTGCTGTCTTGATTTATTTGAAATCCGAGAAAGTAGAGAGGCTTCCTGAAGGGTGGATGAAGCACGTCTCTTTCCAACGGCACTGCACATTAGAGTAACATGATGAATAGTTTGACATCCACTTTTCTAAAGAGTCATCTTATTGATCGTCAGAAATGAATAACTAGTTTTCTCAATTGTCATGATGATCTTTTAATGACGCAAGCAGCAAACGAATTTTTGTGCTTTAAAAACTCCACTATTGTTGACAATTTATAAGTTTTTGAGGTTTAAACGAGAATCCATCCAAAATGTGCACAACCTTGAGACATTGAACTTGGTATTAAAATAAATAAATCACCGATTCACAATAGACAATAAACTTACAATAGACTTAAAGTGATTAAAATGCTTTGTTTCATTTACTTCGGTATTTCCATCTTTACTTTAGTACTTAATTTCAAAAAATTGTCTTTAACTTTGCAATATAATTCGCTTTTGTTTTTAATTCTAAAGAACAGAATTTTATTATGGCAAATCGGGAATTTTTGCACAGCTGATGAACAAGTTTGGAAGGAATAAAACATTATTTTTGGATTTTTATCTGATTTAATTAAATTTTTTATTAAATGAATAATTTTTTTTGTGACTTGAAAGATCTTATTGACAATTTTCAATGTCATGCGATAAAAAATTAAGTTTTTTTGAGGAATAGAATAAGATTAACATATTTGAGCAATCATTAAATCGATTGAACGAGAATTAATTGATCTGAAGAGTATTTTAATATTATTTTAATGTCTGATGGCTCCTCTGAATTCTCATTGTTGGTTTTAAAGCTGTCGCGAGTTTATTTATTATCTTTAATTATTAAAATTCAACTCTTTACTAAAGTTGCACTTGAATTCTAATCAATTTCCAATTTTCGAAAACTTCCAACACCTTCAAATTCCTGAATTTTGCTAAAATTCACTTCAAATTTGGTAAATAAACTCGCGAATTTTGCACCAGCTTCAAATGATTCATATTCCATTAATTCATTTGATGATCCACCGTATTCTTTTGGCAGGACTGACACATCCATAACCTTTTTAAGATCTTCGACATTTTGTAATAAATTAAATCTTCCTAAAACTTTTGCACTCGTGAATGATTTTCCGACTTCAAAGATTGGCTTAATAAATGTTGGCATTCCAATAAAGTTGACTTGTTTAGGTTTCAATGCACAATATTTGGATATTTTGAAGAAATCATAAATAAAGTTAATTGGGATTTTGCTGAATTTTTTTAAATTAATATCTTGAAAGTCAAAAATTATGATAAATCCTTTCGTTTGTGTCTCGACATCATAAATTGATAAATGAGGCGTCAAATAATTTCTTCTCATAAATTTCTCACTGAAATCGAAATATTTTCCTTTGTAGATGTAAATTGCACGGCCTTCCTTATCACGATTCTTCATTAGAACTATTGGCGAATCTGGCTGTCTTGTGTATTCATAGTCATCTATTGTTATATTATCATAAAATTCTGGATGTGATTTTATGAATTTCATCGTAAATTCAAAGCTCTCGTATGTTTTGTCCATTGAAAAGTTCTTGGCGCGTAAAAATGACAGTAGAAGATCATCAACATTATCTGTATCAATAGATTTAAGTCATTCGATTAGTAAAGTCTTGAATAATCGGATAATTAAGTTATTAAACGGTGAATATTGATTGAAAACCGATATTTTAGTATAAATAAGAAGTTGTAGTAAAGTCTATAAATCAATCATACAGGGCGAAGTGGCGAATTCTAGTCTTAGTCAAACAAACTTGCTACTTAGGTATGGAACACTTCAATCAAGGAGTGGAGCTGGTTGAAAATAATCAAAAATAATTTAATCATTCCCATCCCACTGCCTTACATCTCCACTATTTCCATTAATGCATGAATGAACAAATAATAAATTTGAAACTCACAAAAGATCACAAAATTTAAAGAATTAGAAGTTGACATGAATTTTGAATAAAATCATAGCGAATCAAACTTTCTTTAAAAATTCCAACCAATCCTAAATTGACTTTGAGGTGTAGCTATTGATGAAAACTGATTTGAACTAGACACTATTAACAAGAATACGATAGCTAGTAAAAGAGCTAGTTTCAAGCGACACATATCACAATTAATTTGTGTAACCAGCGAAATTCAATGTAAGGAAGTAATTAAAACATTTCAAATCATTTAATTCTCACCTTTTTTATTAAAACTTATATACGGATGCTTATCTATCCACTTTTTAAACAATTCCAAAGATTGCTTCTCACGTAGATCTTGTTTTACCATTTTTTTTATTGAATATAGCTTCTAACTTGAGTGAAGAGTCAAACGCGACTGAATTCTGTTGAGTTAAAATATTTGCGGTTAAGATGTTTTTCTTTGTGCAATCTAACACATGTAAAGTAATTTTATTTATTGCGTAAACAAATGCTCAGCAAGGTCCAGACACTATTGAAAAATTTAAAATCAGAAAAAAATTTAAAATTTCAGAATAGATTTAAAAAGATTTCAAAATTTTTAAAAAGAAATCTAACATTTTTACTGTATTTAAGATTTTGTCTTACCTTGATTGATTGATAACATTACTGAAGGTTTTGAAGCGCTTGTTCAAATTATTCTTATTCGTAATCATGTGTTAAACTGTTAAGCAGACAACTATTTAAACACATTATAGACTGAAAGTGATTTTTTTTCAAAATTATTTTAATTTTGGTTTATTTTTGAAAGAGATAAACTTGTTTCTTCACCAGCTGCTTTTATTTCTTTATGTATGAGGAAATAGTCGTGATGTCAAGTTCACGAGAGTTTTTTGTTTGCTTTCGTTAACTTTTAAAAGTGAAATTTGAAGTTTAATGATAATTTCAAGTAGATCTTTTTAGTAGATTTTAAAGAAGATTAATCGAATCGTGAATTTCTTTCTGAGGCAATTGGTTTAACAAAAAGATGCTTAAAACTAAACTCTAAAAAGAACTTCAATAATTCAATGCGAACTTTCTTTTATTGAAATTGCTTTTTATCTTTTAAATGTAGCAAACGTTCAGGATCAAATTTAAAGACTTTAATTTAAACTAAGACATTTTAATCAAGATCATTTGTTAAGCTTTAACTGCGCTGTTTTGATATTTTAAAGCTTCAAACACAAAGTTCATTTGCATTTTCTTAAAACTTTCAATGTTGATGTCACGAAAATCGATACTGAGGATCGACTAATAATTGACTCCGCTATACAAAATCGATGAAAATTTCGAGTCTCCTTCGAGCTCTGCTGAAGACAAATCCATTTAGAGATTTGACCTTGAGCATCGCGATTTTTTAGAAGATTATTGGCGAATCTGGTTTTTTGAAGTCGTAGTCATGTTATGGAGGATTTGTGTACAATTCTGTATGTTATTTTGCAGGAAATATATGAGTAAATCGTGGATGTTATCTACAAGAAGTTTGAAAGTTCTGTTACTTAAATTCGAACAAATTATTAAAAATTTTACCTTCTCAATCGAGTTTGATGTATTTATGTTTCGACAGTCAAATTTTATGCAGTTCTAATGACTGTTTTACGTGCATTTCAATTTTTATGGATTGTTTGGTCATCGTTTATCACATTGGATAGCCAAAATGATACTGAACACACAATAAGATTTGGCATTTGAATCTAATTTTGCTAAAACTATGCATTTAAAAAGTTATAGACTAGTATTGGTAAAAATTAAAAAATCAAGAGTCAGATAATTTTCTGGAGAGCAGATATTTTACTTGTTTTTATACATATTTGATGATTTTCTTTTTATTTCATTTCTTTCAGTATAAATATCAAGTTTCGGTCACTACAAAAGAGGAGGACTCAAAAAACCTTAATAAATTAAAAACTTTACTCATCGCTTCGATACGCCTTTGCATTGGATACGCTTTTGCACATAAAAAACTATTTTTTAAGTCACCAGTAATTCTTCAAAATTTCAATCAATTTCTAATTTTCTAAAACTTCCAACATTTTCATATGCTTGAATTTTACTAAAGTTCACATCAAACTTACGAATTTTATTAATACAAGCTACACCCAACTCAAATGATTTGTAATCCAACAACTCAACGGATGATCCTCCATATTCCTTAGGTAGCACAGACACATCCATATACTTAGGTAGCTCCGTCACATCATTTAGAAAGTTTATTCTTTCTAGAATTTTTGCGGACGTAAAAGATTTCGCAAATTCAAAAATTGGTTTGAGAAACGAAGGAAATCCGATAATGTTTAGTTGTTTAAGTCGCATCACACCGTATTTGCTCAATTTCATCGCATTGTAAATCATTGGAACAGGAACTTTCATCAACTTTCCTAAATTAACATCACTATAGTCCATGACAACTACAACACCATTAAGTTGTGCCTCCATGTCAAAAATACAAAGCAGTGGCGTCAAAAAATTTCTACGCAAATACTCGACATTATCAAAATTTTTAAAGTTCTTCATCTTATAGATATAAATTCTTTGTCCTTCAGCATTAGGATTTTTCAAAAATATTAATGGTGAATTTGCTTTGACTGTGAATTCATAATCAGCTGGACCTGGATTCGAATAAAGATCAGAATGTGAGTTGATGAATGGAATTGTAAATTCGAAGCTCTCAAAAGTTTTCTGCATTGAGAATTTTTTGACTCTCAAATAAAACATCAAAAGGTCATCGATGCTATCTGCGAACATTCAAAAACAAAAATAGATTTTTATTTTTTTGTATTTATTAATTATGTGGATGAGATTGAATTTTAGACCTAAATATAGAATATTTACCAGTTCCTGTATATTTCAAGAAACGATGCTTAGATAGCCAATTTTTAAAGAGTTCCAATGACTGTTTCCCTCGAATATCATTGTCTGTAATTTTATTTGACATATCAAACACGTTCTATGCATGGAGTCTCAATTAGAACTGAGAGTTAAATACAAGTTTCAGCTTTGATGCTCACACGTGAATTCATCTAATTCATTGCATTAGTATTGTTCTGTAGATTCTCATTTAAAAATCGCGAGACTTTTCTTTAGTGATGCAATATTTTAAATCAAAGAAGAGCGTTCGGAAAGAGAATATGAGAAAATACAATAAGGATTTGTAAACCTCATTAAGGAGAAAACAGCATGATGGTGAAAAGCTTTAATAAGAAAAATTCAAGCATTCCAGACCAAAATTTCGACATAAATTTCGATTAGTAACAAATGACATTATTTGATGACTTAGCACTTTATTGAAATAATTTTCAATAATTTATTACACATTTGAAACAATCTTCATGACTTTATACAATTAATATGTCCATAATTAAAGATTCCTAACAATTTCAGTCAATTTCTAGCTTCCTGAAACTTCCAACATTTTCATATTCTTGAATTTTGCTGAAGTTCACATCAAATTTGTGAATTTTATTCATATAAGCTATTCCAAACTTAAATGCTTCATAATCTTGGAATTCAACTGAAGATCCTCCATATTCCTTAGGTAGCACAGACACATCCATATGCTTCGTAAGCTCCGTCACATCATTAATAAAATTCATTCTCCCAAGAATTTTTGCTGAAGTAAATATCTTTGCAAATTCAAAAATTGGTTTGAGGAACGAAGGAAATCCGATAATATTTAATTGTTGGAGTCGTACCAAACCGTATTTGCTCAATTTCATTGCATCGTAGATCTGTTGAATAGGAATTTTCCTTACTTTTCCTAAATTCACATCACTAAAGTCCACAACAACTACAACACCATTAAGTTGTACATCCATGTCAAACATGCAAAGCAGTGGAGTCAAGAAATATCTACGCAAAAATTCAATATTATCAAAATTTTCAAAGTTCTTCATCTTATAGATGTAAATTCTTCTTTTTTCAGAATCGAGATTTTTCAAAAATATTAAAGGTGAATTTGCTTTGTCTGTGAATTCATAATCAGCTGGACCTGGATTTAAGAACCAATCTGGATGAGAATGGATAAATGGAATTGTAAATTCAAAGCTCTCAAAAGTTTTCTGCATTGAGAATTTTTTGACTCTCAAATAAAACATCAAAAGGTCATCGATGCTATCTGCAAACATTCAAAAACAAAAATAGATTTTAATTTTTTTATATTTATTAATTTTGTGGATGAGATTGAATTTCAGACCCGAATAAAGAACATTTACCAGTTCCTGTATATTTTAAGAAACGATGCTTAGCTAGCCAACTTTTAAAAAGTTCCAATGACTGTTTCCCTCGAATATCAATGTCTGTAATTTTATTTGACATATTCAACATGTTGTGTGCATGAAGTCTCAATTAAAACTGAGAGTTTAATACAAATTTTTGTTGTGCTGCTCTGAATATGAGAAAATACAGAAAGGAGTTTCATCGTTAAAGATGTTTTAAGTTAAAACTTTTAACCCCATCAATGAGTAACAAATGATGTTATTTGATGATTAAGCACTTTATTAAAATAGTTTTGGAAGTTTTAGCAATAATTTTAATCCAAAAAGATCTAGATCTGATCTCAATAATCCTCAAATATCTATCACAGATCTAGTTCATTGTTAATCTGAGTTATTTTGTTTTAAAATAATTTATTACCAATTTTTAAGCAAAAATAACATTTAATTTCAAATAATTAAAGAATCGACACAATTCTAGTCTATTTCCAGTTTCCTAAAACTTCCAACATTTTGATTATCTCGAATTTTGCTGAAATTGACATCAAATTTATGAATTTTATTCACATAACATACGCCCAGCTCAAATGCTTCATAATTCATTAATTCAGTTGATGTTCCACCATACTCTTTAGGTAGCACTGACACATCCATGTGCTGTGACAATTCTTTCAAATCATTAATAAAATGTATTCGCTGAAGAACTTTTGCAGATGTAAAAGATTTTGCGATTTCTAAAATAGGTTTAAGGAATGAAGGCATTCCAATCATGAACAGCTGTTTCAGCCTTACTAATCCACTTTTACTAGCTCGAAATCCATCGTAAATTATTTGAACTGGAACTTTTCTTAATTTACTTAAGTTTACATCTCGATAATCAAAAATAGCCACAACACCGTTCAATTGTACATCCATGTCAAAAAATAAAAGCATTGGAGTTAAAAGAATTCGCCGAAAATAATCGGCATTATTAAAATCGTCAAAATATTTAAACTTTTGGACAAATATTCTTCGTCCTTCAGCATCAAGATTATTCAAAAATATCAAAGGTGATTTTGGCTTGTCTGTGAATTCATAATCAGCTTGAGTTGGATTTGAATACCAATCTGGATGTAATTTCACATATGGAACCATAAATTCAAAGCTCTCATAAACTTTCGGCATGGAAAATTTTTTGATTCTCAAACAAGCCATCAAAAGGTCATCAATGTCATCTGCAAAAAATAAAACAGCTTCAAAATTTATAAAAACTAAGCATAAGACATTCTTAAATACCATCTCCAGTGTATTTTAAATAGGGATGCTTAGCAAGCCAATTTTTAAAAAGTTCCAGAGACTGCAACGCACGATTGTCATTATTTTCAGCTTTATTTGACATTCTATTCAACTTTAGAGCACAAAACTTGAAACACAACTGAAACTTTTTTACAAAAAGATCTTATATCGCATTTCGACTGTGTCGAGAAAAATGAACTATTGGAAAATACGCTCTTAATTTTGGATTTTTTAAAAAAAAAAACATCTTCAGGGATTTCCCGGTATTTGTTATGCAGTTTTTGGTGGAGTTCTGGGTTAACCTGTTTGGTGGGATGAGTGAAATCAGACAAACCTGTTTTGACTATACATGACTATACAGTCTTAATTTAAAATTGTACTTTCTGACGACATGACTTGTTCAACGAAGTTTGGATGTCTTCAAATTTAGTCAATATTAAATAAAAGACTGTAAACTAGCGAATTTCTTCTTTATTTAATCAATTTCCAATTTTCTAAAACTTCCAACATTTTTATTTTCTTGAATTTTGTTGAAGTTCACATCAAATTTATGGATTTTATTCAGATAACCAATTCCTAACTTAAATGCTTCATAATCCAGTAACTCAGATGATGATCCTCCATATTCCTCAGGCAGAACAGACACATCCATGTGCTGTGACAATTCATTAATATCATTAATAAAATTAAATCTTTGACGAATTTTTGCGGACGTAAATTTCTTTGCAATTTCAAAAATTGGTTTGAGGAACGAAGGAAATCCGATAATATTTAGTTGTTTTAGCCGTATCACATCAAATTTACTCAATTGTAATGCATCGTAAATCATTTGAACAGGAATTTTTCTCAATTTTCCTAAATTCACATCAATACAGTCTAAAATAATTACAATGCCATTTAGCTGTGCATCCATGTCGAAAAAGAAAAGAAGCGGAGTCAAAAAATTTCTACGCAAATACTCGACATTATCAAAATGTTCAAAGTTCTTCAACTTATAGATGTAAATTCTTTGACCTTGAGCATTACGATTTTTCAAGAATATTAATGGTGAATTTGGTTTGTCAGTGAATTCATAATCAGCAGGACCTGGATTTGAGTACCAATCTGGATGAGAGTTAATGAATGGAATTGTGAATTCAAAGCTCTCAAATGTTTTCTGCATTGAGAATTTTTTGACTCTCAAGTAAAACATCAAGAGGTCATCGATATCGTCTGCAAGAATTAAATTCGGATTAGTTCTAAAGCCCTGACTAATATACGACTAGTCACTCAAGGGTTATTAATTTATAACATTCATCAAAAAGCTGGAATTTCGCTGTGAACAGCACTCAAAGTATATATTACCGTCTCCTGTATATTTAAGAAAACGATGTTTGGCAAGCCAATTCTTGAATAGTTCCAAAGACTGTAATGACCGTATGTCATTATTTTCAGTCTTATTTGACATATTAAGCACCTTAAATGCACAGAAAAATTAAATAAAACTAAAGAAAACAATTTTTTTAATTCAAATATTCACATTGGAACTGAATTTATTGCTGTTGTGTATGTTATCAAACTTTAAATTTTAATTCACAAAGAGCGTAAATGTTTTGACTCTCTCGAGATTTTAAGAGATGAGAGCAAAAAGTGGGAGAACTGAATAATGGCATTTCAGCTATAAAACATTTTTTGCTGAAAAAAAATTGATTTGAGCGGAGGAGGGAGGGAGATTAAGAAAATAACCCAAACCATACTAAAATAAGTTTGCAATTCAAAGTAAATTAAAAACACTTAATTAAATACAGTCCAGATGTTTTATTTTTACTGTAGGTCGACTTCGCTCAACAGAGTGCTTAATATATTTTGTAGCTTCCCATTAGCTATAAGCTACAGTAGCGTCCAAAAATTTGCGGACAAGCTAAAAAAAAAAGAATTTTATCGATATTTTAAAAATTACGCAATGAAAATCAACATATTATATATCATTTTAAAGGTTTTTGAATATTCTTTTACATAAGATAAGAATTAAGATGATAAAACCAATATATTTTTGTAATATTAAAAAATAACGTTTTTTTGTGAGTTCAAAAATTTGCGGACAAAAGTTTATTTTTATGAAAATTGCTCATTTCACTCATAATATTAAACTTAGTAAGCTCTATTTACTAAATTTGACTAGTATTTTGTTGGATATCCTTTAGAATCTATAACTGCTTGGCATCTCCGAGGCATAGAGTCTATAAGTTTAATGCAAACGTCAATTGGAATTGATTCCCATATTTCTTTGATTTTATCGAATAAATCATTTAAATTTGTTGGCTTTATACCCTTCATTTGACGGTCAACATGTTCCCAAAGATGTTCGATGGGGTTTAAATCTGGAGACTGAGACGGCCACTGTAAGACACGAATTTTATTCTTTTTAAAAAACTCTTGAACAGATTTTGCTGTATGTTTCGGATCGTTATCTTGCTGATATATCCAACCACGTGGCATTTTATCTTTTCCGTGAGGCAACATTATTTTCTTGCAAATATCTTTGTATTTTTCTTGATCCATTATGCCCTGAATTCTATGCAAAGGACCAATACCATCACGACTAAAACAGCCCCAAACCATAATGTTTCCACCTCCATGTTTAACAGTCGGTAGTTGATATTTTGGATCATAACGAGAGCCAATTGGACGTCTTATATACTTAATACCGTCAGAACCGAACAACATAAACTTACTCTCGTCACTAAAAAGAACTTTAGACCACTGTTGACTAGTCCAATTTAAATGCTCTTTAGCAAAATCGATTCGGGCTTTCCTATTCTTCAATGAAACCAGAGGCTTCTTAGCTGGACGTCTTCCAAATAAATTTGCGTGCCGTAAACGACGTTTAGTAGTGGAAACACTACAATCTATCCCATAAATTTGTCGCATTTGAACATTTAAATCGACAGCAGACAATCGAGGTTCTTCTTTACACAATTTTATTAGCTTTCTATCTTGACGTTCAGTAGTTTTTCGAGGTCTTCCTGTTTGTTTTCGATTCTTTGTTGATCCAGTAAGCTTGTATTTCTTCCAGATTTGTCCTACAACAGTCTTTCCAACACCATAAAGTTCAGCAGTTGTACGAAACGTATTACCTTTTTCCACAGACTTAACAATCAACTTTTTTACAGGTGAAGCTATACATTTTTTAGATCCCATGGTCTTAATTAACAACGAATTTAATTATTTTATTAACTACAATAATTATTTGTTTACACTCGATTTAAATTAACAAATAATTTTAGAAATATGACATAAACTCTGTTTTGTCCGCAAATTTTTGAACTCACAAAAAAATGTTATTTTTTAATTTTACAAAAATATATTGGTTTAATCATCTTAATCCTTATCTTATGTAAAAGAATATTCAAAAACCTTTAAAATGATATATAATATGTTGATTTTCATTGCGTAATTTTTAAAATATCGATAAAATTCTTTTTTTTTTAGCTTGTCCGCAAATTTTTGGACGCTACTGTATTATTTTAATCAATTTCTAATTTTCTAAAGCTTCCGACATTTTCATTTTCCTGAATTTTGCTAAAGTTCACATCAAATTTGTGAATTTTATTCATATAAGTTATGCCCAACTCAAATGATTTATAATCCAACAACTCAACGGAAGATCCTCCATATTCCTTAGGTAACACAGAAACATCCATATGCTTAGGAAGCTCCGTCACATCATTTAGAAAGTTTATTCTTTCTAGAATTTTTGCGGACGTAAATGATTTCGCAATTTCAAAAATTGGTTTGAGAAACGAAGGAAATCCAATAATATTTAATTGTTTGAGTCGCACCGAGCCGCATTTACTCAATTTCATCGAATCGTAAATCATTTGACCAGGAATTTTACTTAATTTTCCCAAATTTACATCCCTAAAGTCCATAATAAATACAACACCATTTAGCTGTGCATCCATTTCAAAAAAGAAAAGAAACGGAGTCAAAAAATTTCTTCGCAAATATTCGGCACTTTCAAAGTTTTCAAAGTTTTTCATCTTATAGATGCAAATTTTTCGTCCTTCGGCATTAGGATTTTTCAAAAATATTAAAGGTGAATTCGGTTTGTCTGTGAATTCATAATCAGCAGGACCTAGATTTGAGAACATATCCGGATGAGAATTGATGAACGGAATCATGAATTCAAAGCTCTCATAAGTTTTCTGCATTGAGAACTTTTTGACTCTCAAATAAAACATCAAAAGGTCATCGATATCATCTGCAAGAATTAAATTGATTGGATTATTACAGCATTAATCAATTATCTAAAGCACGACCTTAATGTGCTTAAACATACCATCTCCAGTATATTTAATGAAAGGATGCTTAACAAGCCAATTCTTGAATAGTTCCAAGGATTGTAATGCCCGAATGTCACTTTCTGAAGTTTTTTTCGACATGTATTAAAATATTTATTTTTTAATAGCTCAAATAAAATTTTCTGTTTCGATATTCACACAGCAACTGAACATTTGTAGTGAATTATTTATAGTCTCCAGTTGTCATTTGGAAAAACATTTTCTAAGTGCTTGTAATTTATTTGTTCTCTCACGAGAGACATCAATGTGTAGATAATAACGATTAATGCAATTTGCTCTGGAATTTTTGTAGGAGTCGACATAAGGTCTTGTTATTAATTTGTAATTCATGTATAGTGCTCACTCGGGACTGATTTTCTGGATTTATGTTTGGATTTTTATGATCGGAACAGTTGAACTCAAGTAAATAATAAAGGAGCTATAAGGTTTATGTGGTTCATGAATTTAATAGCATAGCAAAAACTCATGCGTGCTTATTCGAACCTTAATTTGTTGCCTATGTTAACAATATAGTAGCAAGATTCAGTTAGATAAGTATGAACAATAATAAGCTTAATTTAATTAAATTTTTTATTTTCTAGATTTTTAATTTTCTAATTTTTAGGTACAAACAATTCAACATTTTGACCAAGGTGATGGTTTCAATAGCTTTTTCGAGTACTGTACACTAAGTATAAAATCAATGTGCTCCACTCTGAAGTATAAATAAAATATGATTGTGACAGGATACCATGGGTGGCTATAGAAGCATCTTATGATGAAAATACTTATCCATCCTGAAGCCACTAATTCTTACTTAATTTATAAAAAATCAAACACTTTAAATCAATCAATTTCTAATTTCCTAAAACTTCCAACACCTTCAAACTCTTGAATTTTGTTAAAATCCACTTCAAGCTTTTGAAATGTTTTCACAAAATTGATTCCCGTCTCGAATGTTTTGCAGTCCAAAAGTTCATTTGCAGATCCGCCATAATCTTTAGGTAAGATAGACACATCCATCACTTTTGACAATTCTTCAGTATTTTGAAGGAGATTTATTCTTGTTAAAATTTTTGCAGATGTAAAGCTTTTTCCAAATTCAAAGACGGGCTTAAAAAATGAAGGCATTCCAATTAGATTAAATTGCTTGGTCCTCACTGAGCTATTTTTTGATAGTTTAAAGCAATCATAAATGCAACTCATTGGAAGTTTCTTAAAGCTGCTCAAATCCATATCCCGAAAATCGATTATGATAACAAGTCCATTAATTTGCGTTTCCTTCTCAAAAACCACAAAAAGTGGCGTCAAAAAAATATTCGGAAAAAATTCATTTTTGTCAAAATTTTTAAAATTTTTCAGTCTGTAAATCCAAATTGCACGTCCATGTGCATCCTTGTTCCTCACAAACATTAATGGTGAACTTTGATTTGTTGTAAATTCATAATCTTTTGGACCTGGATTTTCATACCATTCAGGATGTGATTTTATAAAAATAAGTGACTGCTCAAAGCATTCATATGCGCGATCCATCGCAAATTTTCTGACACGCAAAAAGAACAATAAAATTTCGTCGATGTTATCTGCAAAAAAAATAACATGTGTGAAAAACGAGAACTTGTTTTTCATTCAGGTGTTCTATTGTCTAGTGTCTAGCTAGTGGATAATAAACTTTATTAGCTTTAGCATGGACATCTTCATGGAAAAGTGTGGGAATATGAATGACTCTGTACATTTTAAAATGATTTCAAAATTGAGTAACCTGAAGGACAACTTTATACTACTTTAAGGACAATGACTGAGGATTTTGTAGAAGTCAAAGCTAACCAAATGTTAGTCAGAATCAAAATACTTTTCAATAATTTTCATTAGCAGGTTGGAGCTACTTCACTCGTGTGAACACCAAGAAAAAAAAGCTGCGACAAACAAATTGTCAAAACAACACTAACTTAGGGTCTGAAATCAAGTATATACCAATAAGTCTGCCACAGATTTTCTTTTACATAGTATTAGTCATGTAATTTGTAAAGCTTTGACACTAAAGTTGGCTCTTAATTTTAAACAAATTTAACATCAATCACAAAAGCCACAACTTACTACTTTCAATTTAATCAAATTAATCCTACGAACCTTTTCCATTATATTTTACAAACGGATGTTTTGCTAGCCAATTCTTAAACAACACTAATGACTGTTCTATGAGAGCATCGTTGTTAAAAATATCTTGAGTCATATTATTGTGATCCTTACGTGCAGAAATTTGAAATCAAACTGACTTAATAATTTTTTGGTTCTGCTTTGCATTCTGAATTTACAAAAATTGACTTGAAGAGTTTTTGTAGAGTTTTGAAGATTTGCGAAGATAAAAATGAATAACGCATGTTTTTATTATATTTTATACATCAGTAAGATTTTAGCAAATGGGATGTTTGATCTTGCGGACTGATTAAAGAAAATCAGCTGAAATTAAAAAATATGCAAATTTGTGGCATGAAAATTATAAAGCATGTTGAGTCACGTTTTGTTTTATATTTTTAAAAACTAGAATTTATTTATTTTGTTCTATATACTTCCAACATAATTGATTAGATAACGAGAGTCAGAAGTCCAGGTAAAACATCTTAAACCTATTTAGTCAATTTCCAATTTCCTAAAACTTCCAACTCCTTCAAATTCTTGAATCTTTGCAAAATTCACATTAAACTTGTTAAATTGATTGACATACTTAATGCCTTCCTCAAATTCACTAAAATCTAAAAAGTCATCAGCTGAACCTCCATATTCTTTAGGTAAGATTGACACATCCATGACTTTTTCTAGTTCTCCAACATTTTGCAGGAAATTAATTCTAGATATAACTTTTGCGGATGTGAATGTTTTGGCAATTTCAAATAGTGGTCTAAAGAATCCAGGCATTCCAATAAAATTGAACTGCTTCATCTTAGATCCAGCAATTTTCGCAACTCTGCCAGCATCAAAGACTGTTTCTAGTGACACTTTTCTAGATTTACTTCTGTCAATGTCACGAAAATCCACAATAATCACAATTCCATTAATTTGAGTCTCCAGCACAAATGACATGAAAAATGGAGTCAAGAACACATTCCTAAAAAATTTGACGTCTTTAAAGCTATCAAAATGTTTGATTCTGTAAATGTAGATGCGTCGACCTTGACTGTCACGTTTCTTCACAAACACAACTGGTGATTTTGGTTTACTTGTAAATTCATAGTCATGCGGTCCTGGATTTTCATAAAATTGCGGTCGTGATTTGACAAACTTTGCTGCAAATTCAAACGATTCGTAAGTTTGATCCATGTTGAATTTCTTCATCCGCAAGAAGTACATGAGGAAATCATCGATGTTGTCTGCAATGGGAATTATAAAAATATAAAAAATTAGTCTGCTGCCTAGAACACGTTTGGAAGATCAAGATTAAACGTGCGAAAATTCAAATTAATTTTTTTTTGTGACAAGCAACTGCACACTGTAGACACAAGGCAATGCTAAGTAGTCACTTGGAAGCCACATGTGAATTTCATAAAGCAGCTCTCGTCTCCTTTGCAGCTCGGCGTAAGTTAATATATTTTCTTAATCCAGTGTGCTAGCCTTGACATTAACGAACAAAAATGATAAAATGCAAGCTGTCTCGCCATTCTTAACACAAAATCATTTTGAATTAATAAACAATTGTCATTGAAAAGAGATTTTTAAGAATCTGTCACTTCAACGTCGGTCAAAAGATCAAAATTTATTAACATCGCTTAACATTGCTTAATGTTTATTGTCACAACTCTTACCATCTCCATCATATTTAATGAATGGATGCTTTGCAAGCCAATTTTTAAAAAGTTCCAAAGATTGTTCGGTCCGGACATCAGTTTCTTCGTTCATTGTCAACTTCTAACGTCTACAAAAGGCCGTATGATACTGAAAATCTGGTTTTTAAAAGAAGATGCTTATGTGTTATGGAAATGAGAGTCTATATCGTGTAGATGTTACTTTATTTTGTGGATATTATGAAATTTATGGAAGAAATGTTAAAGGATGATTTTAATTTGGAGGTTAACAGGAACATTTTGATTATTTATTTACCTTTTTCTTTTAGTTACATCCGGTGACATCCAAGAATATCAATTCAATAAAAACAAGACATTTTGTGTAAAGCAAATTTGACCTTGAAAATTAGATTTTTCAATACATTTATTTTTTGAAGCTAAATCTGGTTCTTGATATAATCAGCTGACTCTATATTTTTATATTCACACCGACTTTCCACTCCAATTCAACATATGCTTAACATTAAGATTCAATAGTCTTTAATTTATGTTTTAATTTTTTTTATTTCTTTGAATTTTTATCACTCTTTAATGAATACAATCGATCTTTATATGTAGATCAGTTCCTAATCTATTTCTAATTCCGTTAAGTCTTTAATTCCTTCAAACTTCTTCAATTTTTTTAAATTCACATTTAATTTATTAATTTGATTGACAAACTTTACGCCTTCCTCAAATTCACTATAATCTAATAAGTCATTCATTGTACCGCCATAATCTTCTGGTAATATTGATACATCCATGACTGTAGACAGTTCATCCATACTTGACAGGAAATTGATTCTGGATATAACTTTTGAGGATGTAAAAGCCTTTGCAATTTCGTAAATTGGCTTAAAATATGCAGGCATTCCAACTAAATTGAATTGTTTTAATCGAGATCCAGCAATTTTTGTAACTCTAGCTGCATCAAGGATAGTCTTTAATGGAATCTTCCTTGCCTTATTCATATTAATCCCTCGAAAATCAACAATAACAACAATTCCACTTAGCTGTGTCTCAACCACAAAGGACATAAAGAATGGAGTCAAAAATACATTTCGGAAAAATTTAACATCCTTGAAGCTTTCGAAATGTTTGATTCTGTAAATGTAGATCCTTCGATTTTGACTGTCTCGCTTCTTCAAAAATATGACTGGTGAATTTTCTTTTGTTGTGAATTCATAATCATGCGGTCCTGGATTCTCATAAAATTGTGGTCTTGATTTAATGAATTTTGCTCCAAACTCAAAGGATTCAAAAACGCTTTCCATTTTGTACTTTTTTGATCTCAAGAAATACATAAGAAGTTCATCGATATTGTCTGTAGAAGAAAAATTATATTGTTATTTTTATAGCCGTGGAACGAGTTTAGAAAAAAAAAAATATTCCACAATTTAAGTAGAATGTTGTTTTATTAATTTTTTGTTTGCCATTAAATTAAATCTTGACCTACCTTAAAGCTATTCTTATCTTAAGACTATAATAGAACTATCTTACTCCTATCCTTGATCTTTCCTATTTCTACCCTTCAGCTATCCTAGTCCTATTCTAGTCCTATCCTTGACCTTTTCTATTCCTATCCTTCTTAAGTCATACTTGATTAAACTTGATTATTCTTAATTCAAAACTCATATTTTTCAGAATCACAACATGGTTTTTACTAATAGCACAATATCAATTATTTAAGGTTCCTATACTTATCCACACACAGCTTAATCACTCTCACCTTCTCCTTCATATTTAATATATGGATGCTTTGCCAGCCAATTTTTAAAAACTTTCAATAATTGTTTGGTACGAGCATCATTCTCTGATATTTCATCACTCATCACGAACTTCTAACTTCTGCGAAATGTCGTTTGAAACTGACGGAATTAATAAAACAGTCTGGTTTTTTTTCTGAAAGTTACTGAATATATAATATGACTTAACAAAATATATAAAATACAAAAAGTGGACTTGCAGAGTTTTGTTGTGGACAAAAAGTAAATATCAGAGTTGAGACTTCTAAACTGACTTGGAGATGAAAAACGATTATGTTAAAGACTTGATTCATCCTCTGCATCAAGATATTATATTTTTATGGACATAAACATCTTCTGTATATAAATTAGCAGATCATATGTTTAATGACGCATCAAAATTTATTTGTTTAGAGAAGCAAAGAATTTGTTTTAGCAAGAACGAAGCTAGACTAAAATGAAAAATCATCTCTTGAAACAATGGCATGGTAAAATGTTTGTGTTCATTTATTTAAGGAGCTTCTTTTGATTTGTCAAATACGGAAGAATGTTTATGGATAATTAAATAATGCCGTCTATCTTAAGGAGTTGGGGGAGGATATGGAGCTTTTGAGGTTAAAATTTTAATTACTTTATATTCTTTATTTATTCAAAACTAAAAAATTTGTCTCAAAAAGTCATGACCTTAATTTCTGAAGAAAATTGTCAGAACAGCACATAAAACTAAAATGCTCAGATTTGCACTGATTGATATTGAACTGTTGGGAGTTGTTGATGTTGGAGCTTGAGTCGTTGGAGCTTGTGTTGTTGGTTCCTGGGTTGTGGTTGGGATATTATTTGGGCTACTCGTTGTGGTCGTAGATGTTGAAGTGCTACTGGTTGTTAAAGATGTGGTTGTTGTACTGCTGGTTGTTGGAGATGTGGTTGTTGAACTGCTGGTTGTTGGAGATGTGGTTGTTGTACTGCTGGTTGTTGTACTGCTGGTTGTTGCACTGCTGGTTGTTGGAGATGCAGTTGTTGTACTACTAGTTGTTAAAGATGTGGTTGTCGTATCCGGTTCCGTTTCCGTAGTTATTCTAGGGCTCTGAAAAGGAAAATTAAAATTCAAACCATTTATTTTGTTTAAAAATTAGCACAAAGAAGCTTTGAATCCAAACTATTGATGAAAATTTTCCAGGAACTTGCAATTGATTTTATGAAATATGATAAAATGTTTTCAAAGGCAATGAAATATGAAGTGGCAATGAGTTATGTACCCCAAAGGTTTTGGTCTATGATATTTTTTTTTAAATTTTTGTGTCAATTTGTGCCAATTTCTTAAATTTTTGAAAACATTTTTATAATAAATTTTATTAAGAATTTAATTTTAGTCCAATTAAGGTTTTCTCATCGCCCTTTTGAAAATGTTCGATCAACATCTTTAAAGATCATGTCTAACTTCTCAGATTAATCTCTTACAATTGTTGTTTCCTCATCGTTCGGATCTAATGGAAAGATAACACCCATCAGTTGAATTTGACGAGCATATTGAGGCTGTTGTTGTTGAGTCAATGCATTTGTCATCAAAAATAAAATAGATTTGAATTCATCTCCAGATAATCCATTTGCTGTTGCCATATAATCTATAAGAAGAAGCTGGTCATTTCTTGTCCTAACTGTATTAGCAACCATGGTGATCATTTGTGCTAATGAATATCTAAATGTTGAAATAGCTGTAGCTGAGTTTTTGGTCATAAATTTAACGAAAACTGGAACAATGACTTTGCTTTGTAGTGAAGCTGAGAAGACAGCTTGACGATTACTGAGAGTGTAGTTGACATTTCCACTTCCAGATCCTAAAGCTGATTCCAAATAATCAAACAATAATGTTTCATCGTTTGTGCATCCCAATGAATTTAATAAAGTTGTTTTCCATGAAGCATCAGCAGTGAGTTGGGAACGTCTCCATAAAGCTACAAATGTTTCGAAAGAATTAGGTCCTCTCATACCGTGACAAAGGATGCTTTCTAATCCTTTATGAATTGGTTGACTGAAATTTGCATAGTTGCTGACAAGTCTTAAAGTGTCTTCTAAGCACTGCTCATTTCCAGAGACACAAGCAAGGTTCATTGCGTATGATCGTCCATAGCGTTCAGGAATAATGTCATCAGGAATGACTTGATTTGCTGGAAGTTTATATTTGCCATAGAACTTAGCTGAAAGTTTCTTGATGAAGTTCTGCAATCAAAATTTTATTAATGATTAAAATAAATTGTCAAGCCTTAACAAAGCATCCACTCACATTCAAGACTGCATTTTTGTTTCCAAAGACACTATAGAGTGGATTGATATATCTATTAGCTGTGTACCATGGGAAGAAGTCATCCTCATTAACCAAATATTTTAAAATATCATAAGCAGTTTCATAGTCAGTCAAATATCCAGCAGAGACAAGTGCAAATGAATCGTCAATAAGTTGAGCTCTATTCATGACATGAATCTTATTATAATCAGCACTGCTGAGTACATTACTCAATAATTTCCAGTTGTTTGCATCATAATTGACACGATAATATCCTCGTTGTTGTTTATTGAAGACATACCAGCTCTGTGAATCATGTTCTGGAGCCAAAATATTCCACATTTCTTCTCCATCAATGAAATAGTCAGTTACTGATGTGTCATCAAAGTTTGGATTTTTGGATGTTGTATAAGTCAATGGAATATACCAGCTACTTCCATCATTAACTCTTTGTGCTTTGTTGCTAAAGAATCGTTCTTGTTTTATTCTGAATGATTGAATATCTGATTTGTAACTGACATTAATGACTGGATATCCTTTTGTTCTTTCCCATGTTCTGAATGCTCGATCAAAGTCTAACTTGTATCCAGCTCTGGAAAGGGTTTCTGTAAATGCATCCATAAGTGCTTGTGAGACTGGAGCTTTGTGGTTGCTGGAAAAAAATTGAAGATTAAGCATTTTCAAAAGGATAATAAAGTAAAAATCTTACTTGACGGTGACATATAAGTTCAATGACTGTCTGAATAATTGTTCTCCGATTGCATACTCAAACATACGAAGAACACTTCCGGCTATAATAAACAATCATTTTAAATTTAAATAAATGTCCTTAATGCTTCTTAAATGCTCATCACTTACACTTATCATAAGCAATATTATCGAACAATCCACTGATTTCTGTTGTTGTTAATGCACCAGATGTCATAGCTCTTGTTGTATTTAGAGCATCAACAATAAATGCAGATCCCTGAACTGATAGAATGTTCATGTAATCTTGCATTCTCCATTCAGGTAACCACATGTCTGTTAGTTTGTATTGTAAGTATTGAGCAAATCCTTCATTCATCCAGATGTAACTCCACCAATGACATGTGACCGCATTTCCAAAGAACTGATGAGCACTAAAAAATCATTTAAAATAATTGAATAATTTCTCAATTTTGATTAAATAAAGCTAGACTTACACTTCATGAGAAATGACTCGAACACCGCTGAAAACTTGTGAATGTGGACTGTCTTTTGGATCAACATCGTAAACTAATGCAGACGGTACGTAAGTGATTAATCCCCTAAAAGTTATGCAAATTAATTTCAGGTCAAAATTTCTATTTCAAAATTAAATAAGCTTTACCAATTTTCCATTGCACCACCTTTTCCAGGAACCATGATTGAATCAAGCTTCTCCAACTCATATTTGAATCCAACATATTCTTCAAGAGCTTTCAAAGCAGCAATTGAACTATCCAATGCTAAATCAGCCTTTTCGATTGAATCTTCACTGATGATTATTCTTTGTAAAGTTTCATTAGGTCCTTTAGTGTTTGCATTACTGATGTATGTGAAATCTGACACAACAAAGGCATTCAAGTACGAACTCATGATTGGTGATGGTTTGAAGTGAGTTGTAAATAATCCAGAACCGTCATTACTGAAAATATAGAAATAAGTTATAATTAAAATTGCCTTGTACCTAAAAAATTAAATCCTTACTCAGCAACAACATGTTCCATGGTATTAGAAAAGACATTGACTGAGAAGTGATGTGAGAATGAAAGTTCAAATACAGCCTTAAATTCTGGCTCATCGTAGCATGGGAATGCATATCGAGCTCTTGCTGGTTCAAATTGTGTAGCTGCAACGTATCTCGTTGTTCCATACATACTGTATGAAGTTTGATAGAATCCGTATGCAGCAGTTAATAAGCTCGTTGAATATTTGATGTTGACAGCAATTTTAGCACCTGAAGTCAATGCATCTTCGAAGAAAATCAAAATTGTGTCAGCTGATGGGAAAAGACGGTAGTTGGCAACCTTGATTTCTCTTCCTGATGTTCGTTCATAAGCTGTGATCTCATTTATGACTTGATTCTTTGAGTGGAAGATGATGCGATTTGTCATTTCAAGCATGACAATATCGATTCTTACTTCTCCTGTGTATGCACGATCTCCAGAATGGATGTTTCTTACATCAAGATGAATCTTGTAATACTCTGGCATTGATGTTTCCGGTAATCTCAACTGATGTCCATCAATGATACCGAATTCCCATTCATTAGCTATGGTTTTGATGATTTCCATTTGTCTTGCATTTGTGAATGCTGTCTGTTGATTCATATTGTTGGACATGGTCTTCAAAAGTGAAGCTAAGACATCTATACTCAAATGTTGTAATGTCAACAAGTAGTCAGTGAAGATTATTTGATCATCCTTAGTTCTGATTGTAGTAGCAACATTACTGAGAATTGTCTGTAGAGTCCATCCATATCGTGAAATAATGTCAAGTTCAAATTTATTTAAGAATTCAACAACAACTGGCAATGATGAGTAACTCTTTAATACTGCAGTGAATACAGCACGACGTTCTGTTTGTGTGTAATTGACTTGACTAGCTCCAGATCCAAGTGTTGATTCCAAATAGTCAGTAAGAGCATCCTTATCATCTGTACATCCCAAACCATTGATTAAAGTTGTCTTGAATGTTGTATCAGCTGTGATTTGCATCTTTCTCCAAACCTTTACAAATTCATCTTGCTTGCCAGTTCCTCTGAAACCATGACAGTACATGCTTTCTAATCCATTGGGTATTCTTATGTCATCATTGGCATATTGCTTGATAAGTTGGAAAGTGTCTTTCAAACATTGATCATTTCCGGAGTTACATGCAAGATTTGTTGCTAAATCCCGTCCATAGCGTTCAGGTAAAGCATCCTTTGGAATGGTATTGTCAGCTGGAAGTTTGTATTTGGCATAGAACTTTTCAGATAGTTTTCTGATGAAAGACTGTAAATAAAGAGAAATTTAGAAACGCAATGTCGATATTATAAAAATTTTGAAGATCAACATACGTTTAAAGCTTCATTCTTAGTTCCGAATACACTATAAAGTGGACTGATGTAACGGTTAGCTGGATACCATGGGAAATAATCATCTTCATTGACCAAATATTTCAAGATATCATAAGCTGTTTGATAATCGTTAAGATATCCAGCAATGACAAGTGCAAATGAGTCATCAATAAGTTGAGCTCTGTTCATGACATGGATCTTATCATAATCATCACTGCTGAGGACGTTGCTCAATGCAACCCAGTTTGATTCATCATAATTGACTCGATAGTAGCTTCTTTGTTGTTTATTGAAGACATACCACTCGCCAGGAACTGCATCAATAGATTTTTCTGCTTCTCCATTCAAGAAGTAGTCAGTAGCTAATGTACTGCCAAAGTTGGGGTTATTTTGAGTTCCATAATTGAGTGGAATGTACCAGCTTGATTGATCATTATTATTTAAGCTCTTCTGTTCAAAGAATCTTTCTTGTCTGACGCGGAATGAAAGAGTTTCCAAGTCATATCGAACATGAATCAATGGGAAACCAGATTGTGTCTCCCAAGTTCTAAATGCTCTCTCAAAGTCAAATGCGTTGTAGCTGTTCCTTTGGAATGTTGTCTTGAATGAGTCAATCAAGTTTTGTGAAACAGCAGGTTGATGATCACTAGAATGTTTAGAATGTGATGTTAGAATCAAATTTTGTTGAGTCACACCTTAACAAAGTATACTCACTATGTAGTGACATAAAGATTCAATGCTTGTTTGAAAAGATTCGATCCCATTGCATGTTCAAAAGTACGAAGGACGCTGGCGGCTATTGGAGCATAAAATGACTTATTAAACAATTCTAAACCTCGCTAAATTGATAGCTCTACTCACATTTATCATAAGCAATGCTGTCAAACAAATTTCCAATTTCAGTGATTGTATTAGCATCTTTAGTCATTGGACGTGTTGTAGTTCGAGCATCAACTCTAAATGCAGTTGACTGAACGGCTAAAATATTCATGAAATCAATCATTCTCCAGTCTGGTTGGAACATATCAGTCAATGTGTACTGCAAAAGTTGTGCAAAACCTTCATTAAGCCAAATGTAGCTCCACCATGAGCATGTTACGGCATTTCCGAAGAATTGATGAGCTCTGAAAAAGATTAAGAATTGAAATTCATTCTGGAGCTGGTAAAAGAAGAAACTTACAATTCGTGGGAGATAACTCTAACTCCACTGAACTTTTGTGTATGTGGGACATTGTCAGGATCTACATCATATATCATAGCATTTTCTCTGTAAATAACCATTCCCCTAGAATTAAATAAATTGAACATAAAGAAATTATTTCAGCTCTCTCAGCAGACAGACTATAAACATACCAATTCTCCATAGCACCAGACTTTCCAGGAACACCAGCTGAATCTACTTTAGGCATTTCATATTTATATCCAACATATTCTTCTAATGCCTTTAAAGCTTTAATTGAATTTTCCAGCGCATAAGGGGCCTTCTCGAGTGAGTCCTCACGGACAATAATTCTGTGAAGAGTTTCATCCTCTGTCTTAGTTGCTGAATTATCAATGTATTGCAAATCTGATACAACGAATGCATTAAGGTATGAACTCATGATTGGTGATTTCTCGAATGATGTTGTGAATGTTCCCGTTCCGTCGTTGCTAGAATTAAAATTTTTCAAATTATTATAATAAAATGCTAACGTTAAAGCTAATGGACATACTTATCAACAACAGTTTCGAATGTATTTGCAAATACAGTAACTGAGGAGTCATGAGTGAATGATAGCTCGAACACAGCCTTAAATTCTGGTTCATCATAGCATGGGAATGCATATCTAGCACCAGTTTCCTCAAATTGTGTTGTTCCTACATATCTAGTTCTTCCATACATGGTGTAAGATGTTTGATAAAAGCCAGTTGATGATGTAGCAAGACTTGTTGTGTATTTGAGATTTACTGATATCTTCGTACCGGCAGGAAGTTCATTTGCGAAATAGACGATGATTGTTTCATAAGCAGGAGTGAGACGATAATTAATGATGTCAATTATACTGTTTGTTCTTAAATTTATAGCAGTAACTGAATTAAAGACTTGATTCTTAGAATGGAATATGATACGATCAGTTTTTTCAAGGATATCAACATGAATTGTGGTATCGCCAGAGTAGGCACGGTTTCCAGTGTGAATATTTCTAACATCAAGATGAACTCTGTAGTAAGTTGGCTTAGACTTCTTTGGAAGTCTCCAGACTTGTCCTTCATCTGACACTCCACTGTCCCATTCGTTCAAAATTCTCTCGATTTGATTCATGTGTTGTAAGTATTGTGCTGACTTCTGTCTATCCAAATTGTTTGAGATAATACGTGCGAGTGACAAGAAGTTATCACCAGTCAGTTCTGATCTAGTCATTAAGAATGAAAGGAACAACATTTGATCGTCCTCATTTCTGATTGTGTTTGCCATGCTTGTAAGAAGATTCATCAATGTTGTGCGATAGCTGGAAATTGCTGCATTTTGTTCTCTTTTCAAGAATTCAATTGTGGCTGGTAAGCCTGAATAACTGGTCAAAACTGCATTGAAAACGGCCAATCTTTCTGAAGTTGTGTAATTGACACTATTTGCACTTCCCACAGAAGTATCGAGATAATCTCTGAGTGCTTCTGGATCATCAGAACATCCTAATGCATTAATCAGTGTTGATTTGAATGCTGTGTCAGCTGTGTTTGACATGATGTTCCATATTTTAGTGAACAATTCTTGTTTATCAACTCCTCTTAAACCAGTGCAGTAGATTCTCTCCAATCCATTTGGAACAAGGACACCTTCGTCAGCAAATCTAGAGAGTACATCATACGAATCTTTAAGACATTGTTCATTTCTGTGATTACAAGCAAAGTATGTTGCATAATCACGTCCATATCTTTCTGGGACGATTTCATCTGGAATTGTTCCGAGTGTTGTTAGCTTATATTTGTTGTAGAACTTGTCTGAGAGCTTGTTGAAGAATTTCTGGAAAAAAATTGAGGTTTAGTTGGGCGATACTCTTAGCTATAGTCATATACTCACATTCAACTTCTCGTTCTTATTTCCATAAACAGTGAACAAAGTATTAAGATATCGATAGCATGTATACCATGGGAAGAAGTCATCTTCTCGATCAAGATATTTGAGAATGTCATAAGCAACAGTCAAGTCAATATATCCTCCTTGTGCAAGTGCAAATGAGTCGTCAATTAATTGGACACGATTCATGATGTGGATCTTGGAATATTCAGCACTGTTCAAGGCAAAGCTCAACGATCTCCAATTAGCTGCATCGTAGTTTACACGATAGTATCCAAGTTGTTGCTTATTGAAGACATACCAGTAGCTCAAATCGAAGTTGTTGATTGGAATCGTAAGCTCTTGGACTCCATTTTCGAAGTAGTAGTTGATTGTGGTATCAAAGGTTGGACTCAAAGATGTTGCGAAATTGAGTGGAATGTACCAACTGCTTTGATCATCGGAATTGACTTTCCTGGTCTCAAAGAATCTCTCTTGAGTGAGACGGAATACTCTGGATGATGGATCATATTTAACATTGAGTAATGGATATCCTCTTTGATTCTCCCATGTTCTGAAGGCTCTGTCAAAGTCAATTTTATATGCGTTGTTTTCATTTAATGTAAGTACAATTGTGTCAATCAAGTTTTGTGAGATGACTGGCTTGTTGTTGCTGAAATTGTGTGTGTGAATATTAATTGAATTAAGGATTAGTTCATCTAGGTACATACTAAGTTTTTAGGTATTTTTGAAGAGATTTCTTGAAATTATTTTCTCCAATTGTATACAAGAACATTCTCAATACAGCACCAGCTATTGATGGACAAAATATTTATTAAACTTAGAAACATAATCAAGGATTAAAGAAACTTACATTTTTCATAAGCAACGCGATCAAACGAGTTACTGATTTCCGTGAGTGTGTTCACATCCCAAGTCATTGGTCTTGTAGTTTCTCTTGCATCATTGATGAATGCACGATTATGAATTGAGAATGCATTCATAAAGTGATGAGATCTCCATGTTGGTTCCATAATGTCAACTAGAACACGTTCGAAGAGTGTAGCAAATCCTTCATTCAACCAGATTTGATCCCACCTGAGGTGTTTTTAGGAATTAATGTAAAGGAAGTGAATAAGTAACTTGAATGTACGTTGATTTAGTTTATACTAACCATTGGCAAGTAACAGCATCACCAAAGAATTGATGAGCACTAGATAAATAGTATAACAAAAGAAAATTAAATAAAAATCCTTGCTTACTTTTAAAATAAATAAATCTTACAGTTCATGAGCAATAACAGTTACTCCACTTAATTTCAGTGAATGTGAGATGTTGTTGAAGTCTTCTTGGTATATCATTGCTGTCTCCCAGTATGTCACCATACCCCTAAAATTTAAAAGTTTGGTTAAACATTCAAATCCAAAACTGTTTAAAATTTACCAATTTTCCATTGCTGAATTTTTGTTTGGAATAGCAGCAGAGTCAACTTTTGGAAGGACATAGTCAAATCCACAATAATTTTCAAGAGTTTGTAAAGCTTTAACTGAATTTTCCAAACCATAATTAGCCTTAGAAATCGAACCAGGTTTTGTCCAAACTCTATGTAAAGTCTCTCGTGTTCCTCGAGTTTCTTCATTTGTGATGTGTGCAAAATCAGACACGACAAATGCCACAAGATATGAACTCATTAGTGGAGTTCTCTCGAATTCTGTTGTTACTGTTCCATCACCACTGAAATATTGGAAGTAATAATAATGCTCAGTATTTTTCAATTAATTTTTTGAAGAAAGCTTACTTGTCAAAGTCAATTCCGAATGTATTTGCGATAGCTGAATATGATTTGTCATGTGTGATACTCAATTCAAATGGAGTTTTGAAGCCAGGCTCTATAAGTAAAAATTACTTTAGTGATCAGAAATTATTGCCAAAATAATTGCTTACCATCATAGCAAGGAAAAGCATAACGAGCTGATGAAGGTTGGAACTGGGTTGCTGCCAAGTATCTTGTTTGTCCATTTTCTACATAAGATGTGCGGTAAAATCCAGTACTTGATGTCAATAAGTTTGCAGAATACTTGATGTTAACTGTGATTTTACTTCCAACACTCAAAATATCCATGAAATAAATTGTCAATGAATCTCCAGCAGTTTGAAGACTATAATCAAGAACTTGCACTTCAGTTCCAAATCTATCGAAAACTCTAAGTTCATTGATTGTTTGTTGCTTGGAATGGAACATGATTTTGTCAGTATTTTGCTTGATCATGATGTCAATTGAGACATCGCCAGTGAATTGTAAACCTCCATTTTGGATTTGTGGAACATTCAACTTGATTCTGTACATTTGTGGTTCTGATGTTTGTGCTAATCTCAGTTGCTGTTCTTCATCATCAATAGCTTTGAAATAATTGTTGATAAACAACAAGCTATCGCTGTATCGGTTGCTAAATATGAAGTCATGGTTCAATTGAATATTATTGGCAATATTCGTTCGAAGGTTTGCACCAAAAGTTCTGCCTGCAGCTTCAAGTTGGTCAATTGTTTGAAAAATGTGTTTTTCATCATCATAGTTAGATATGCGACGCGATGCTGTTGTTAGCCAACTGTCGAACACATTTCCGTTCCTAGAAGAACACACAAGATATTAATAATTCTCCGAGACTTACAACAGTACTTACACAGAGCGAATTTCATCATAGAAGCGAAGAATAAAGTTGAGCAAAACTTCCAGTCCAACTGAACTTCTTGACACCAAAAGGCTGTAAATTCTCGAACGTTCATGAGATCTGTAGAATGATTCAGATCCAGATCCAATTGTTGTTTCAAGTAAATCACCAATAGTCTTTGGATCTGATGAACAAATAAGAGAATCAAGATATCTAATTCGGTCATTTTGATCACTTGAAGCTTGGAACTTTCTGTAAATATTGATGAATTCAGTTTGTCTATTGAGTCCTTTAAATCCATTACAGAGAAGTGCGAGTTCAACAGGTTTTGGATTTTCTTTTGTCAATTGTGAGTGTGCGTAGTTCAAGCAGTTCTGATCACCCATTCGGCATGTCCAATCGATTGATAATTCCCTTGAAAATTTATTGAAAACTGGATCAGATGGAACATTTTCAAGTCCATTCACAACGTAGAGTCTTCTCATAATTTTTCTGACAAATCTTTTAAAAGAACCATGGAGTTGAGTTCCTTTCAAGATATAATCAAGTTTATCAAAGTGAATTGAGACTGGATACCAAGGAATGTAGTTTGTTTCACGTTCTAAATAGCTGATTACACTGAATGCAATGTCATAGGAAATGACTCCATCAAATGCGAATGTTAAGGCATCATCGACAAGTTGTGCACGGTTAAGGACATCAATTTGTTCATAATTGTCACTATTGAGGATGCTAATGATATTTTTCCAGTTATTTTCATCATAATTGACTCTGTAGAATCCAAGTTGCTGGATATTGAAGATAAACCATTGACTTCCATCAAATCCTGAAATTCCAGCTGTTGAAATATTCTTTTGAGACGTACCATCAACAAAGTAGTCAGTAAAAATGTTATTTTCAAAGTCGGGGACTGCTCCAGTTGTGTAGCTTAACGGAATGTACCAGCTACTATCATCATCTGATAATTTCTGTTCCGAAATCGACAAGTAATGTTCCTGTGTGACTTCGAATTGATTTGCGGCTGAATTGAAGGACACTGTTATCATTGGATATCCTTTTTGCAATTCCCAGGTTTTGAAGGCTCTTGTAATGTTCAGTCCAGCAATTCCACCATCATCGGCAATTATATCTTCAAACACTCCCAATAAATCTTCTGTATTAACAGGTTTATGATTACTGAAAATAGAAATAATTAACAATTAGTGATTTCAAGTGCTTGATAAAAATCTCAAAGATTAAGAATGTCTGATTTTAATTACAAAATAAACTTACTTATCAGTTAGATATTTGCTGAGTGCAGCTCTAAATAAGTCATCGCCCATTGTATATTGGAACATTCGAATCACCGCACCACCCTTATCGTAATTAATTTCTGTTGGTTTATTATTTTCTGTAGTCATTGGTTCCGTTGAATGTAATGAATCACGTCTGAATGCATTTTGTGTTTTTCTGACATTGAATTGACCGCGCATATTTTCATTTGGATATGTCAACTCGACCAGGAGATACTCGAAGAATGTTGCGAACCCTTCATTGAGCCAGATCTTATCCCACCAATCATAAGTTACTAAGTTGCCAAAGAATTGATGAGCTCTGTGGATGAAATGGATTGTTGGAATCGGAAGTTAAGCAGTGTATAGACTTACAATTCGTGAGCAGTAACACGGTACATGTCAAATATTTCACGTGGATGTGATTCTTCATTCACAATAAGAAATTGTTCTTTGTATAAGATAAGTCCCCTAGAAATGAATTCAAATTAAAGCAGTTCTTCATAAGAATATAATTATTAGTCCAACTTACCAATTTTCCATAGCTACAGACATCAAAAATGGATTCAAAAATTTTTAATCTTTCCAACAAAAACAACAATTTCATTTGAAAATTACCTCCAGCAGCAAAATCAGGAATAGCTGCAGAATACATCTTCGGAATCTCATAGACATAATTGCAATATTCCTCCAACTTTCTCAAAAATATATCAGAATTCACAAGTGACATCTTAACATTCTCAACATCTTCTTCACGAGCATAAACTCGATGTTCTGTCTTGTCGGGTCCATTGTACATGCTACGATATGCGAAATCAGAAACTACAAAAGCTAATAAATAGGAAGACATAATTGGAGTTTCATCGAATGAAGTTGTTGTTGTTCCATCGAGACTGTAAATTAAAAAAACAAAATGATAAGATTCTTAAGTGGCTGATTCTTTTGTATTTTTAGTTCCTTTACTTTTTGGTCCGAACTCCATTCATGTTTGAAATAGCTTCATAATGAGATGCATGTGTGATTGCTAACGAGAATGTAGCTTTTAATGCTGGTTCATCAAAATTTGGGAAAGCACTGCGAGCTGATGTTGACTGGAATTGAGTAGCAGCTAGGTATCTAGATTGAGCAACAATAAACAATTTTTATCAAATTAACTTAGGAATAATTGCTGTAATTCAAGTGATAAGGTTTTAATGCCAGTAGCGATAGTAAAGCACTTGAACGAGAAAATTCTTACCGAGGCAATGTCTCGCCTGTAACGTAGTATAAAGATCGATAAAATCCACCCATATCGGTTCTTAAGTTTCCGTTAAAGGAAATTTCAAGGTAAAATTCATTTCCGGCTGGAAGAACAATTTGAGCATTCTCAGGATTGATAATTAGAAACTCTTTTGAACTATCAAGAGTAAAGGTTACTTCAATAGAACTTGCGCCACTTTTTGTTAACAAATTCACATAATTGATATTTAATCCTCTATTATGTAACACAATTTGGTTTGTTTCCGTCAAAACTTTCACAAGAATTTTCACGAAACCGGTAATTGCACGATTTCCATTATTATGGACATTTGTGGTCAGTCTCAAATCATAATGAACTGGAACCACATCTTTGGGCAAGCGTCCATCATCAACAAATGGCTCAATATCATCCAATTCCTCATTTTCACTATCAAGTGATTTTTGAGGCACTGCACTTATCACTGTTATCACTACAGCCACTAGCACAATTAGTCCACTACTTTTCTTCCACTTTACCATTTTCACTTACCCGAAAAAATAAAACTGAGCTTAGGAGAAGAAAATCTGTGGCTTTTATGCCAAAATTTTCGAGTACCAAATTTATCAAGTTTGTGATAAATTCAACTGACTGATAGGGATTACATGCTTTATTACCAGTTAATAGCTTGCCACTTGAAAACGATAAGATTAAATTGAAAAAATTGTAAAAATAATTTTTTGAATGTAATCCTTCGTCATTCTAGTAATCGTCACGCGACAGTCTCGGGCTATAATTAGGCAATAAAACAATCATCGATCAAGCTTAGCGAATTACTGTCTGCAATAATAATTGAATTACTGAAGGTTTATGACATTAAAAGTGATTTATTTGTGAGAATTTTTATAATAGATACTCGAAACTTTATTGTTGAGCTGGTCATGCTCAAATTAATACTGAACATTGCGTTTAATCGAAAATTAATTAATATTTGGAGTGCAATTGCAATTTAATTGAATTGATAACAAACGGATACTAAAGGTACTTGAGAGATACAATAGAATATGATTGATAACGAACAAGCGAGAACATTCTTAATGAGTCTTTACAATTTTTAAACTATGGCTTAAAATTACTACAATTCAAATGGATATATCTGACCCATTAATTCAATTTGACGAGCATATTGAGCTTGTTGTTGTTGACTTAATGCATTCGACATTATTGACGAAATAGCTTTAATATCATTTCCAGATAAACCTTCAACTGTTGCTAGATAATCAAGTAACAGCAGTTGATCTTCTCTTGTTCTGACTGTATTTGCTACTCTAGTGATAAGTTCTGTCATTGTTTGTCTGAAGTATGGAACTGCCATAGCTGAATACTTGTTCATAAATTTAACAAAAACTGGAACTACAACAGTGCTTTGAAGTGATCCAGTAAAGACTGCTTGACGAGTACTGAGAGTGTAGTTGACATTTCCACTTCCAGATCCTAATGTTGATTCTAATAAGTCATGCAATGCTACTTCATCGTCTGTACATCCTAAAGCATTCAAAATTGTAATTTTCCACTGAGTGTTAGCTGTGACTTGTGAAACTCTCCATAAAGCTACAAACGAATCTAGTTTTCCGGTTCCTCTCATACCGTGACAAAGGATGCTTTCTAATCCTTTAGGAATTGGTTGACTGAAATTTGCATAGTTGTTGACAAGTCTTAGAGTGTCTTTTAAGCACTGCTCATTTCCAGCGACACAAGCGAGGTTCATTGCGTATGATCGTCCATAGCGTTCAGGTATGATGTCGTCAGGAATGATTTGATTTGCTGGAAGTTTATATTTGCCATAGAACTTAGCTGAAAGTTTCTTGACGAAGTTCTGGAATCAAAATTTTATTAATGATTAAAATAAATTGTCAAGCCTTAACAAAGCAACCACTCACATTCAAGACTGCATTCTTGTTTCCAAAGACACTATAGAGTGGATTGATATATCTATTGGCCGTGTACCATGGGAAGAAGTCATCCTCATTAACCAAATATTTTAAAATATCATAAGCAGTTTCATAGTCAGTCAAATATTCAGCAGAGACAAGTGCAAATGAATCGTCAATAAGTTGAGCTCTGTTCATGACATGAATCTTATTATAATCAGCACTGCTGAGTGCATTACTCAATAATTTCCAGTTGTTTGCATCATAATTGACACGATAATATCCTCGTTGTTGTTTATTGAAGACATACCAGCTCTGTGAATCATGTTGTGGAGCTAAAATATTCCACATTTCTTCTCCATCAATGAAATAGTCAGTTACTGATGTGTCATCAAAGTTTGGATTTTTGGATGTTGTATAAGTCAATGGAATATACCAGCTACTTCCATCATTAACTCTTTGTGCTTTGTTGCTGAAGAATCGTTCTTGTTTTATTCTGAATGATTGAATATCTGATTCGTAACTGACATTAATGACTGGATATCCTTTTGTTCTTTCCCATGTTCTGAATGCTCGATCGAAGTCTAACTTGTTGTATCCAGCTCTGGAAAGGGTTTCTGTAAATGCATCCATAAGTGCTTGTGAGACTGGAGCTTTGTGGTTGCTGGAAAAAGTATTGAAGATAAAGCGATTTCCAAAGGATAATAAAGTAAAAATCTTACTTGACGGTGACATATAAGTTCAATGACTGTCTGAATAATTGCTCTCCGATCGCATATTCGAACATACGAAGAACACTTCCGGCTGTAAAATTATTCATTATTATATTTTTATGTAATTCATCCAGAACAATGTCTTATACTTACACTTATCATAAGCAATCGAGTCAAATAAGCTTCCAATTTCAAAAGGTGTTGTGGCACTAGATGTCATAGCTCTTGTTGTATTACGAGCATCAGAAATAAAAGCAGTTCCTTGAACAGTTTGGATATTCATGAAATCTTGCATACGCCATTCTGGACGATATATGTCTGTCAGTTTGTATTGTAAGAATCGTGCGAATCCTTCATTCATCCAGATGTAACTCCACCAATGACATGTGACAGCATTTCCAAAGAATTGATGTGCTCTAAGTATAAAATTATGGTTACTTAATTGTGTTGACATTAAGTTAAACTTACATTTCATGAGAAATCACTACGACACCTTGAAACAACTCTGTATGTGAACTTTCAGTTGACATAGCACCAAATAGTAATATATTCGGATCATAAGTTATTAATCCCCTGAAAATTATACAAAATGAGTCATCAGATTATTTGACAAAGACATTCAATCATTACCAATTCTCCATTGCTCCATCCCATCCAGGAACCATAACTGAATCAAGCTTTTCCATTTCATACTTAAATCCAACATAGTTCTCAAGAGCTTTTAGAGCAGCAACTGAGCTTTCCAATGCCAATTTAGCCTTCTCTTTAGAATCTTCACGGACTATGACTCTTTGAAGAGTTTCATTTGGTAATTTTGTGTCTGCATTGCTTATGTAAGTGAAGTCAGAGATGATAAATGCGTTCAAGTATGAACTCATGATTGGTGATGGTTTAAAGTGTGTTGTGAATATTCCAGAACCGTCAGTACTGAAAATATGGAGATAATATGCAATTAAAAATAGCTTGGACATAAATTAATTAAATCCTTACTCAGAATGAACATGTTCCATAGTATTAGAAAAGACATTGACTGAGAAGTGATGTGAGAATGAAAGCTCAAATACAGCCTTAAATTCTGGCTCATCATAACATGGGAATGCCAATCTAGCGTGCGTTGGCTGGAATTGTGTAGCTGCAACGTATTTTGTTGTTCCATTCATACTGTAGGAAGTTTGGAAGAATCCGAATAAGTGAGCTGAAGTAGCGATAGACAAGCTCGTTGAATATTTGATGTTGACAGCAATTTTAGCACCTGAATTCAGAGCATTTTCAAAATAAATAATGATAATGTCTGCTGATGGGAAGAGACGATACCCAGAAATATTGATTTCTCTTCCTGATGTTCGTTCATAAGCTGTGATCTCATTGATGACTTGATTCTTTGAGTGGAAGATGATGCGATTTGTCATTTCAAGCATGACAATATCGATTCTTACTTCTCCTGTGTATGCACGATCTCCTGAATGTATGTTTCTTACATCAAGATGAATCTTGTAATATTCTGGCATTGATGTTTCTGGTAATCTCAACTGATGTCCATCAATGATGCCGAATTCCCATTCATTAGCTATGGTTTTGATGATTTCCATTTGTCTTGCATTTGTGAATGCTGTCTGTTGATTCATATTGTTGGACATGGTCTTCAAAAGTGAAGCTAAGACATCTATACTCAAATGTTGTAATGTCAACAAGTAGTCAGTGAAGATTATTTGATCATCCTTAGTTCTGATTGTAGTAGCAACATTGCTGAGAATTGTCTGTAGAGTCCATCCATATCGTGAAATAATGTCAAGTTCAAATTTATTTAAGAATTCAACAACAACTGGCAATGATGAGTAACTCTTTAATACTGCAGTGAATACAGCACGACGTTCTGTTTGTGTGTAATTGACTTGACTAGCTCCAGATCCAAGTGTTGATTCCAAATAGTCAGTAAGAGCATCCTTATCATCTGTACATCCCAAACCATTGATCAAAGTTGTCTTGAATGTTGTATCAGCTGTGATTTGCATCTTTCTCCAAACCTTTACAAATTCATCTTGCTTGCCAGTTCCTCTGAAACCATGACAGTACATGCTTTCTAATCCATTGGGTATTCTTATGTCATCATTGGCATATTGACGGACGAGTAAGTTCATGTCCTTCAAACATTGTTCATTACCGGAGTTACATGCAAGATTTGTTGCTAAGTCCCGTCCATAGCGTTCAGGCATAGAATCTTTTGGAATAGTATTGTCAGCTGGAAGTTTGTATTTAGCATAGAACTTCTCAGAAAGTTTTTTGACGAATGACTGCAAAGAAAAAGAAGTGGAAGTTACAATTTGGACACGATTAAAAGACTTTTCATCTTCTGTTCTGGGATGTACTTACGTTTAATGCTTCATTCTTAGATCCATAGACAGCATAAAGTGGACTAATGAAGCGATTAGCTGGATACCATGGAAAGAAGTCATCTTCATTGACCAAATATTTTAAGATATCATAAGCTGTTTGATAATCATTAAGATATCCAGCTTGAACAAGTATGAAGGAATCTTCAATGAGTTGAGCTCTGTTCATGACATGGATCCTATCATAATCATCACTGCTGAGAACGTTGCTTAATGCCACCCAATTTGATTCATCATAATTAACTCGATAATATCCTCGTTGTTGATTGTTGAAGACATACCACTCGCCAGGAACTGCATCAATTGACTTTTCTGCTTCTCCATTCAAGAAGTAGTCAGTAGCTAAAGTGCTACCAAAGTTGGGGTTATTTTGAGTTGCATAATTGACTGGAATGTACCAGCTAGATTGATCATTGTTGTTTAAGATTTTCTGTTCAAAGAATCTTTCTTGTCTGAGCCTGAATGAAAGTGTTTCCAAGTCATATCGAACATGAATCAATGGGAAACCAGATTGCGTCTCCCAAGTTCTAAATGCTCTCTCAAAATCGAAGGCATTGTAGTTATTCTTTTGGAATGTTGCTTTGAATGCATCAATCAAGTTTTGTGATTCAACTGGTTTGTGATCACTGAATGTGTAGAGTGGAATGTTGATTTTTCAGAGATACACACTTTATGAAAAACAGTAGATGATACTCACTTGGTAGTAATATAATGATTCAATGCTTCCCTAAACAGGTCTGATCCCATTGCATAATCGAACATACGAAGAACACTTGCAGCTATTAAGTATTAAGAAATTAAGCAATTTTCCAAATGTTCAGCCTATCTACTCACCTTTGTCATAAGCAATGCTGTCAAACAAATTCGCAATTTCAGTAATTGAGTTAGCATCTTTTGTCATTGCTCGTGCTGTAGTTCGAGCATCAACTCTAAATGCAGTTGCCTGCATAGCAAGAACATTCATGAAGTCAAGCATTCTCCATTCCGGCAAGAACATATCAGTCAATCTATATTGTAAGTACTGAGCAAAACCTTCATTGAGCCATAAGTAGCTCCACCATGCACATGTCGCGGCATTTCCGAAGAATTGATGTGCTCTAGGAAGGAAATATTAGAATTTAATAATAATTTATGGGAAATATAGCTTACATTTCATGAGAGATGACTCTAGCACCACTGAATTTCTGGGTATGAGGTGTGTTTTCGATATCTTCGTCATAGATCATGTAACTCTCTCTGTACATAATCATTCCCCTGAAAAGAAACTCATTTTTAATCAGAAAGACTTCAATGGCTGAACAAGCAGGAAGCTCATTTTATTGTATTTAATTTAATATTTCAGCAAGACAATATTCCGTACATACCAGTTCTCCATAGCATTGTTCTTTCCTGGCATTCCAGCTGAATCTACTTTCGCCATTTCATATTTATATCCAACATATTCTTCTAATGCTTTGAGAGCTGCAACTGAATTTTCCAGAGCATAAGAAGCCTTATTAAGTGAATCTTCGCGCACAATAATTCTGTGAAGAGTTTCATTATCCGCCTTAGTTGCTGAATTATCAATGTATTGTAAATCTGACACTACGAATGCATTGAGATATGAACTCATGATTGGTGATGGTTCAAAAGATGTTGTGAATGTTCCTGTTCCGTCGTTGCTAGAATAGAAATTCGAAGAAAATCACAAGAATTCATTTAATTGATAAAATAACTAGTAATTCATACTTTGAAACAGCAGTTCCTAATGTATTTGAGAATACAGTAACTGAGAAGTCATGAGTGAACGACAGCTCAAAGATTGCTTTAAATGATGGTTCATCGTAGCATGGGAATGCATATCTTGCACCAGTTTCCTCAAATTGTGTTGCTCCTAGGTATCTAGTTGTTCCATACATGCTGTATGATGTTTGATAGAAGCCTGTAGTTATTGTGACTAGACTGGTTGAGTATTTGAAATTAAGAGAGATTTTGGAGCCAGCCGGAAGTTCCTTAGCAAAATAGACTATGATAGTTTCATAAGCAGGAGTAAGTCTATAGCTTGTAATTTCGATTTCACTGTTTGTTCCTAAATTCATAGCAGTAATTGAGCTAAAGACTTGATTTTTAGAATGGAATATGATGCGATCAGTTTTCTTTAGGATATCAACATGCATTGTGGTATCGCCAGAGTAGGCACGATCTCCAGTGTGAATATTTCTAACATCAAGATGAACTCTGTAATAATATGGCTTACTTATTGTTTTAGGGATTCTCCAGACTTGCCCTTCATCTGATATTCCATGATCCCACTCATTCAAAATTCTTTCAATTTGATTCATGTGTTGCATATATTGTGCTGATTTTTGTCTATCCAAGTTATTTGAAGTAAGTCTTGAAAGAGACAGAATATTGTCTCCTTTAAGATCTGGTCGAGTCAACAAGAATGAGAGGAACATCTTTTGATCTTCTTCGTTTTTAATTGAATTTGCTACGTTTGTAAGAAGTGACATCAGTGGTGTACGATAACTGGAAACTACTGCATTTTGTTCTCGTTTCAAAAATTCTATGACTACAGGAAGTCCTGAATTACCTAATAGAACGGAGTTGAACACTGACAATCTCTGAGTAGTTGTATAGTTTACATTATTTCCATCGCCAATTGAAGAGTCTAGATAAGCTTTGAGCGCTATTGGATCATCAGAACATCCTAATGCATTGATCAGTGTTGATTTGAATGCTGTGTCAGCTGTGTTTGACATTATATTCCATATTTTTGTGAACAAATCTTGTTTGTCAACTCCTCTTAAACCTGCACAATAGATTCTTTCCAATCCATTTGGAACAAGGACACCTTCGTCAGCAAATCTTGAAAGTACAGCATAAGAGTCATTAAGACATTGTTCATTTCTGTTGTTACAAGCAAAGTTTATGGCATAATCACGTCCATATCTTTCTGGGACGGTTTCATCTGGGATTGTTCCGAGTGTTGTTAGCTTGTATTTGTTGTAGAACTTGTCTGATAGCTTGTTGAAGAATTTCTGGAAAAAAGAAAAAGTCTTAGTTGGGTGGTACTCTTAGCTATAGTCATATACTAACATTCAACTTCTCGTTCTTATTTCCATAAACAGTGAACAAAGTATTAAGATATCGATAACATGTATACCATGGGAAGAAGTCATCTTCTCGATCAAGATATTTTAGAATGTCATAAGCAAGAGTGAAGTCAATATAACCTCCTTGAGCTAGAGCAAATGAGTCGTCAATTAATTGGACACGATTCATGATGTGGATCTTAGAATATTCAGCACTGTTCAAGGCAAAGCTCAATGACTTCCAGTTTGCATCATCATAGTTTACTCGATAGTATCCAAGTTGTTGCTTATTGAAGACATACCAGTAGCTCAAATCGAAGTTGTTGATTGGAATTGTAAGCTCTTGAACTCCATTTTCGAAGTAGTAATTGATTGTGGTATCAAAGGTTGGACTCAAAGATGTTGCGAAATTGAGTGGAATGTACCAGCTGCTTTGATCATCGGAATTGACTTTCTTTGTCTCAAAGAATCTCTCTTGAGTAAGACGGAATACTCTGGATGATGGATCATATTTAACATTGAGTAATGGATATCCTCTTTGATTTTCCCATGTTCTGAAGGCTCTGTCAATGTCAATTTTGTATGCGTTGTTTTCATTCAATGTAAGGACAATTGTGTCAATCAAGTTTTGTGAGATGACTGGCTTGTTGTTGCTGAATATTTTAATTTTAAATATTAGTTGAATTGATGACTAGTTCATTTAAGTACTTACTAAGTTCTTAGGTATTTTTGAAGTGATTTTTTGAAATTATTTTCTCCAATTGTATACAAGAACATTCTCAATACAGCACCAGCTTTTGATGGTAAAAATGTTTATTAAACTGAGAGACATAATCAAGGATTAGAGAAACTCACACTTTTCATAAGCAATTCTATCAAATGAATTATCAATTTCCGTAAGTGTGTTCACATCCCAAGTCATTGGTCTTGTGGTTTCTCTTGCATCATTGATGAATGCACGATTATGGATAGAGAATGCATTCATAAAGTGATGAGCTCTAAATGATGGATCTATATTGTCGACAAGCAGACGTTCGAAAAGTGTAGCAAATCCTTCATTCAACCAGATCTGATCCCACCTGAAGAAATTCAAATATTAAGACAACAGCAGATAAGAGTTTAAGTAAAAAGTTTGTACAATACTTACCATTTGCAAGTAACTACATTGCCTTTAAGGTACCAAAAAATGAGCTTAATATAACAATAATCGATCAAAAGGAATGAACTCTGACTTACCAAAGAACTGATGACTCCTAAAGAAGTAAATTAAAGAGATTTTATGATTTTCAATAAAATGCTGTTGTAATCTAAAATCAAATAAACTTACAACTCATGAGCGATGATAGTCACGCCACTATACTTTGATGTGTGTGAAATGTTGCGATAGTCCTCTTGATAAATCATGGCTGTCTCCCAATAAGTAACCATACCCCTAAAATTAAAAAGCTCATTTACATACTCAATTCAAATCTTTTTAAGACCTACCAATTTTCCATAGCTGAGTTTCTTTCAGGGATTGCAGCAGAGTCAACTTTTGGAAGGACATAGTCAAAACCGCAATAGTCCTCCAATGCTTTAAGAGTTTTTACGGAAGTATCTAAGGCAAAATTGGCTTTTGAAATCGAATCAGATTTTGTCCAAACTCTATGCAGAGTCTCTCGCGTTCCTCGACTTTCTTCATTTGTAATGTATGCAAAGTCTGACACGACAAATGCAACTAGATATGAGCTCATTACTGGAGTTCTCTCGAATTCTGTTGTAACTGTTCCATCACCACTGTATTATTGGAAGTAAATTGTATATTCAGAATTCTTAAGTTAAATTTTTAAAGTAAACTTACTTGTCAAAGTCAATTCCGAATGTATTTGCGATAGCTGAATATGACTTGTCATGTGTGATACTCAATTCAAATGGAGTTTTGAAGCCAGGCTCTATAAGTAAAAATTACTTTAGTGATCAGAAATTATTGCCAAAATAATTGCTTACCATCATAGCAAGGAAAAGCATAACGAGCTGATGAAGGTTGGAACTGGGTTGCTGCCAAATATCTTGTTTGTCCATTTTCTACATAAGATGTGCGGTAAAATCCAGTACTTGATGTCAATAGATTTGCAGAATACTTGATGTTAACTGTGATTTTACTTCCAGCGCTCAAAATATCCATGAAATAAATTGTCAATGAATCTCCAGCAGTTTGAAGACTATAATCAAGAACTTGCACTTCGTTTCCAAATATATCGAAAACTCTAAGTTCATTGATTGTTTGTTGCTTGGAATGGAACATGATTTTGTCAGTATTTTGCTTGATCATGATGTCAATTGAGACATCGCCAGTGAATTGTAAACCTCCATTTTGGATTTGTGGAACATTCAACTTGATTCTGTACATTTGTGGTTCTGATGTTTGTGGCAATCTCAGTTGCTGTTCTTCGTCATCAATAGCTTTGAAATAATTGTTGATGAACAATAAGCTATCGCTGTATCGGTTGCTAAATATAAAGTCATGGTTCAATTGAATATTATTGGCAATATTCATTCGAAGGTTTGCACCAAAAGTTCTGCCTGCAGCTTCAAGTTGGTCAATTGCTTGGAAAATGAGTTTTTCATCTTCATAGTCAGAAATGCGACGCGATGCTGTTGTTAGCCAACTGTCAAACACATTTCCGTTTCTAAAATTGTGAAAAGTTTCAATTATAGTCAATTACTGTAATCTGAAGATGAATACTTACACGTAAAGGATGTCGTCATAGAAGCGAAGAATAAAGTTGAGCAAAACTTCCAGTCCAACTGAACTTCTTGACACCAAAAGGCTGTAAATTCTCGAACGTTCATGAGATCTGTAGAATGATTCAGATCCAGATCCAATTGTTGTTTCGAGTAAATCACTTAACGTTTGTGGATCTGATGTGCACAACAAAGCATCAATGTACCGTAAACGGTCATTTTGATCACTTGAAGTTTGGAACTTTCTGTAAATGTTGACGAATTCAGTTTGTCTCATAAGACCCTTAAGTCCATTGCAAAGGAGTGCAAGTTCAACAGGTTTTGGATTTTCTTTTGTCAATTGTGAGTGTGCGTAGTTCAAGCAGTTTTGATCTCCCATTTTGCATGTCCAATCGATCGCAAGTTCTCTTCCAAACTTATCCAAAACTGTGTCTGACTGAACATTTTCAAGTCCTCTAGTTACATAAAGCTTTCTAAGAAGCTTTCTAGTAAATCTCATGAATGAATGGTGCAGTGGAGTTCCTTTCAATACAAAGTTGAGTTTATCAAAGTGAATTGAGACTGGATACCAAGGAAGGTAGTTTTTTTCCCGTTCTAAATAGCTGATTACACTGAATGCAATGTCATAGGAAATCACACCATCAAATGCGAATGTTAAGGCATCATCGACAAGTTGTGCACGATTGAGGACGTGAATTTGTTCATAATTGTCACTATTGAGGATGTTAATGATCTTTCTCCAATTATTTTCGTCATAATTGACCCGATAATAGCCTAGTTGCTGGATATTGAAGATGAACCATTGACTTCCATCAAATCCGGAAATTCCAGCTGTTGAAATATTCTTTTGAGACGTGCCATCAACAAAATAATCAGTAAAGAGTGTTGATACAAAATTTGGGTTAGCTCCAGTTGTGTAGCTCAACGGAATGTACCAGCTACTATTATCTTCTGATAATTTCTGTTCTGAAATCGACAAATAATGTTCCTGTGTGACTTCAAATTGATTTGCGGCTGAGTTGAAGAATGCAGTGATCATTGGATATCCTTTTTGCAATTCCCATGTTCTAAACGCTCTTGAAATGTTGAGTTCTCGAATGTCACCAGCTATTTCTTCAAATACTTTTAATAAATCTTCAGTTGCAACAGGTTTGTGATTGCTATAAATAAAAATTGATTCATGAAGTCAAGTGTATCATAAAAGTCAGAATTTAATTGGTGGTTGTTAAGATTAGGATCCTTTGATTATCAATTTATTGTGCAATGTTTACTAACTTATCAGTCAAATATTTGTGAAGAGCACTTTGGAAGAGTTCATCGCCCATTGTGTATTGAAACATTCGAATCACGGCACCTCCTTTGTCGTAGTTAATTTCTGTTGGTTTTGGAAGTTCCGTTGTCATTGGTTGTGTCGAATGTAAGGAATCACGTCTAAATGCATTTTGGGTCGCTCTTGTATTAAAATGCCCTCGGAAACCTTCATCTGGATAGGCTAATTCAACCAGGACATATTCAAAGAAGGAAGCAAAGCCTTCATTGAGCCAGATCTTATCCCACCAATCATAAGTTACTAAGTTGCCGAAGAATTGATGAGCTCTGTTGATACAAAGATATTTTTAAAATGGAAAGGTGTGGTTATCAGGAAATCGGCTTACAATTCGTGAGCAGTAACGGTCCACATGTTGAAAATTTCACGTGGATGTGATTCTTCATTGACAATAAGGTATTGTTCTTTGTATAAGATAAGTCCCCTAGAAATGAATTCAAATTAAAGCAGTTCTTCATAAGAATATAATTAATAGTCCAACTTACCAATTTTCCATAGCTACAGACATCAAAATATGGATTCAAAAATATATAATCTTCACAAAAAGAACAAAAATTTCATTTAAAAATTACCTCCAGCAGCAAAATCAGGAATAGCTGCAGAATACATCTTTGGAATCTCATAGACATAATTGCAATATTCCTCCAACTTCCTCAAAAATATATCAGAATTCACAAGTGACATCTTAACATTCTCAACATCTTCTTCACGAGCATAAACTCGATGTTCTGTCTTGTCGGGTCCATTGTACATGCTACGATATGCGAAATCAGAAACTACAAAAGCTAATAAATAGGAAGACATGATTGGAGTTTCATCAAACGAAGTTGTTGTTGTTCCATCGAGACTGTAAATTAAAAAAACAAAAAAAAAATGATAAGATTCTCAAGTGTCTGATTCTATTGTATTTTTAGTTCCTTTACTTTTTGGTCCGAACTCCATTCATGTTTGAAATAGCTTCATAATGAGATGCATGTGTGATTGCTAACGAGAATGTAGCTTTTAAAGCTGGTTCATCAAAATTTGGGAAAGCACTGCGAGCTGATGTTGACTGGAATTGAGTAGCAGCTAGGTATCTAGATTGAGCAACAATAAACAATTTTTATCAAATTAACTTAGGAATAATTGCTGTAATTCGAGTGATAAGCTTAAAGGGTAATTTACTAATGACGTCCATTGTGGGAATAGAAGAAGTGTGGTATGTCAAGAAATATTAAACACTTAAGAAAACATTTGGTGTCAAATGATGAGGTGGTTACAAATTCATACTCTTGATGAACGTCATTGCTGCATAATCCCTTATAAGATTAGCGATAATAAGGCACTTAAAAGCTAAGATTAATTATTTTTTCACCTAGGCAATGTCTCGCCTTTAACGTAGTACAAAGATCGATAAAATCCACCCATGTCTGTCCTTAAATTTCCACTAAAAGCAATTTCAATGTTATATTCATTTCCAGCTAGGAGAAAGATGTCAGAATTGACAAGAGTAATGATAAGGAACTGATTGCTTGTGTCATGACTAAAATCAGCATCATAAACAAATGCACCATTCATTGATGTCAATCTCATGTAAGTAATGATCAATCCTCGATTATGTAACTTAATTAAATTCGTATCAGCTAAAACTTGAACTGAAATTTTCACAAATCCAACAAAAGCACGATCACCATTATTATGGACATTTGTAGTTAGCCTCAAATCATAATGAACTGGAACCACATCTTTTGGTAAGCGTCCATCATCAGCAAATGACTTAATATCATCCAATTCTTCATTATCACTATCAAATGAGGATTTATGAGGCAAAGCACTTATCACTGTTATCACTAAAGCCACTAGCACAATTAATCCACTACTTATTTTCCACTTTACCATTTTCACTTGCCCGAAAAATTAAAACTGAGCTTAGGAGAAGAAAATCTGTGACTTTTATGCCAAAATTTTCGAGTACCAAATTTATCAAATTTGTGATAAATTCAATTGACTGATAGGGATTACATTTTTAATTGGTGTGATAAGATTAATTGTTATTTGGATTAGCTTTGTCATTAGTCAATAAAGATAAAGTCATGCGAAAATCCCAAATTGTCTACAATCAGAAAAATTAACCGGTAATTTGTGACAAATTATTTTCTAAAGATAATAATTGAATCACTAAGCTTTCTGTTAATTATTAATACATAAGTGGTGGTTGATAAGGCTTCATTTGAAATCAAGCACTTGAAATTTTGATTGTACATTCTCAAAATAAATCGTTTTTGTCGTCAGATTTGAACCACTCTATACTTTTTGGCACTAATTTACATCTGGCACTAGAACACAGCTTTATGTAGCATAATATTTAATAAAAATACAGCTCAAACAAAAATATGCAGCTGGACGTTGCATTTAAAAATACAGCTGTAAATTTTTCTTTACTTCATCTATTAACAACAGCTGTATTTTATAAGCACTACATAAAGCTGTGTTTTAGTACCAATTGTGAATTGGTGCCAAAAAGTATAGAGTATTTGAACTAAAGATGCAAGACAGATCGCAATTCTGATTTGAACAAGGAAAATGAGCGAGTGATTATTTTTTGAAGCAATAAACTTAAACGCATTTTTGAAATTAATATTGAATAATGTATTTTAAAGTTATGAACTGTTATAAAGGCTTGATTGAATTTTCATTAAATTCCTTTAACCGGAAATTATAGGTTAAGTTTTCACAATGAAAAATCAAAGGCTTACAACAAACTTATTCAACCCTGCTTGTCTACCCACGCAAGTTAACAATTGCCGCAGCATATATAAGGGAGAGAATTTTCGCTTTTTGAGAGAAAAACATTCAAGAAGAGAAAAAAAAGAGAACAAAAAACAGACACGATCGTTGTCCGCACTTCATTTGTGCTTGAAATATCGTCACCGCAAGAGGGAGATTTGGATAAACGTTAGGAAAATTTGCCTATTGTGTTTTAAAGTCAAAACAAAGTTGTGTAAGTATATTTTATAATTTTTTAAAGGATAAAAAACAAATAACTATTATTATGAATAGTAATAGTCCAAAAATAGATAAATTAGTACAAAATGTGACAAAACGTGATGTGATAGTAAAGAAGAAGTTTAAATTTTTTTAAAATCCATTAAATAATGACCTGTAATTTCAATTTTCCAAAAAACCCGTGCAAGAGAAGCAACAAGTTAAGTGTAAAAAAGAAATATTTTCCGACTTTCTGAGAGGGAAGCAATAATGACTTATTTTTTCTTTATATGAAGTTGTATTAGTATTTTTTCAACTTTTTCTTGGTTCCATGCTATACGCTATACGTCTGTATTGCGTTTTTTCTTCTTTTCTTTTGCTGATTTTTGAACACATTTATATTTTTTCCTTATCATTACCCTTCAGCAGCATCAATGTCACGTAATTTAGTTTTCTTTGAGGGCCGCAAAAATGGGGATGCAAAGCGTCAAAGTAAGTTTAAATAATTAATTTTAATCATAAATCATTAATTATATGTTAACTTTTACTATGATTTGATTAGTTGACGAATTCAAAAAGTTTAGGAATGCAAGAATTCCGTATCACTTAAATTTGAATGCTCAAAACTCCAACTGTAAGTTGATGACGTAATTTTTTTCTATCTATAATACTACAATGATGATGATGATTCTTCTTTTGCAGGCAGTTTATGCCTTTTCCCGCGTAAATTTATCATCAAATCTTTTTGTGTAGTTAAAAGCTTGTGTGTTTGCTGCTGCTCTCATGCCAACAAGAGCTTACTAGCTTTAAATAATACAAGAGAAAGTCAGATTGCGTCTGAAGATAAATCGATAAAGGCGATAATGTTTCAAAATAATGGAGTCGAAAAGGAAGTGTGTTTCAAAAGCTTGTTGGAATTTGCTCAAGAACTGGCTAAAGGTGATCGCAAGCTTACAACATTAGGCGAAACGGCAAGATTCCAGTTCTTCGCAACTCTTCCTGCAGTAAAGAATAACTTGATCAACTATGGGATTCCAACTAGCAACGATGACTTTGACACTTCTAAATTTAAAATCTTGGAAATTCAACGCTTAAATGTGCTTTTTGAGGTTGATACGATAAGTGCATGTATTATTTGGCTTCGCGAGTTTCAGTTGTTCCTTAATAATGCACAGTTCTCGCTTGCATTAGTGGTTTATGCTTAAAATAAACATCTATTTAATTTTTCTAAGCCTGATACAACGGTAAGTTAAACAGCGTGGTTTAGATTATATTTCTGTATTGCGTGTTTTCTTAAATATTTTTACATCACCAGCGCTCGACACTGTTCCCTGATGTATTTTCCAGGATTAAAACAAAACAAGATCTGTCGTTACCTTATCTTATCCAATATCCAGTGAAAGAAATTAAATGTTATCGACTCTTTCAATTTTTACTTTAACAAATTCCATAAAATTCATTGAAATGAATTGAAGCTGTAATCAATAGACACACATCTAAAACATTCTTAAATAATTTTGTACTACAAAAGTTAAATTAGTGAAGAATAAAAATCAGCCCTTTGATGAACGTAAATTAGGGGTTCCAGAATTCCCGTTCCCGTAAGATTTCGGGAATGATGCCCGGGAACGGGAATATTCCCGGGAATCAACAAAAAAAAAAGTTAAAAGCTACACTTACACCATGTATTTTCTTTAGGTTTTTAAATCAAATTTAAATTCTATTTGTTTTGATTGTCAAATTGATTCTTTTGACAATAATTTCCGTTTGAAATTTAATTCTTTTTGGTTGTAGAACAATTCTTAAAGTACGATTTTAACTGGTCTAGCAATCTAGTGCGATTTTTTGAGACAATATTATTGGAGATTGAAAAGTTACGTTCAGCTCTTGTAGATGTTGGTGGATTCCAGAAATATTAATTTCCAGCACGTTTTTTTTATTTTGGAAAAATTACTTTAATCCAATGTCATTTAAGTTCATTACAAGATATATAGATGGGCTCATACAGAGTATATTTGACCATACTCGACCATACTATTTTTTGTGTACTTATACAAACAAAAATTTTTAAAATTTTCTATTTTCAAGTTTTCATTTAAATATCGACAGATGCAACAACATTTGACTTAAGTCAGTTATTTTAAATTATAGCAAAGCATTTGCAATACTCCTGTATCAACAAAACTTAACAGAAAGTTGAAAATTTTGCAAAACAAAAATTGAAAATTTTCTTTTATAGTGTTAGTGTTTTTAGAAAATTCAAATTTTTGACGTTTAAAAACTGCGATATTTTTGTATGAGCACATCTATATATCTTGGTTCATTATTTTATGGACATCATGCATTTAAAAAATATTTTTAAATACTTTTTCTCTTCGTTTTTCATAAATATATGTTTTTGATTAAAAAAACATCAAATTTGGTGTCCATCAAGTAGAACGGTTAGGCTAGATAAAAATATTTCGTTTATTTTATTTGATTAAGAAACATTTGCACAAATTACTGACCAAGTTTAAACAATTTTCGTTAAGCCTTGTCAGATTTACAGTCGAAAGTGTTAAAAGTAAAAAATCGGCCCTAGCTCCGTTTTCAGATGCTCATATCTCAGAACTGGCAACTTCACAAAATTTAAAAAAGTTATTTTTCTGCTTTCACAAAATACATAGCACAAAAAACCCATATATAGTCCATCACTCAATTCGTTAGGTCACCGTTCTACTTGATGGACACTCAAACTCTTAAATTCTTTAACGAATGTTTTCATTATTATAATTTTTTTCTTTAAATTGTAGTTTTTTTCATGGAAAATACAAAATAAAAAAAAACTAATTTGAATTGTCGGTTTTTTTGGTATGAAAACGGGAATTCCCGGGAATATTCCCGATTTTAGAACCCCTAAACGTAATGTCTATAAATTTTATATTACTGTCTTATTGTATGACGTTTAGACTCGTTTGACTTTAGTTCATTTCTTTATCTTCAATGCACAACAAGAAAAAGCATCATAGACTTAGTCATCGTTTACATCGCATCCGAAGAGAGATGATCACGGGCGAGCATAAAGTTTCTCTCAGAGACAAAGAGACAAAATCATAATTTAAACGTTCGAGTTCAGTTTATTCCTGACTGTCAGTGCGAGCAGAACAAAATGAATTTTTATTTATTCCTAACAATTTTTTTCGCTTCAATATTGTTTTGTTGCTGTCCACCACCTCCACCAGTCATTAAAAACACAAGAGCTGAAGGATGTTTTGATGGTAGATGTGGCTCACATTGTTCATACGATGGTGCTAAGCTATTTCCATCAGACAATCTCAATCAAATCGGAAAGTGCCGAATGTTAAGCTGCAATAAGAAATTCGAAGTCACAGTCAAGGGTTGCTTCCTAAATATTAGTGGAAGACACACAGTTGCTGATGCAGATATCAATAGGCCGTACCCAGAGTGTTGCGGCAGAATCATACAGACAATGAAGTGGTAGAGCAAGTGTGAGGGTCAAAAGTTATCGGAACTGAAAAAAACGTAGCAAAAATATTTTTAAGTAGTCAGTATAAATTTAAGAGCATCAACATGAAGACATACTTTTTGCTAATATTTATATTACCACTGTCCACATTTGGCTATTTACATCAATTGACCGAGCACAAAGAGAAATTAATGGCCAATAACACCAGGAACCAAAAGTGTCGAGCTGATAATCGAACTTGTATTTACTTTTGCGATTTTCAAGGCGAAAAAATATTTCCTGGCGAGATAATCAGTCAGGCTGGAAAGTGCCGACAGCTGCGATGTGATGAGAAGAATTTTAGTTTATATATTAAGACCTGCTATATGCATAGGTCAACACAAGTTAAAACATTTGTGCCTAATGGACAGTTTATATATACAGGAGAGAATCTTAGATTAAAGTATCCTGATTGCTGTGGAAAAGTTGTAAATTTGTTGGAAGAAAATTCTGATAGTAAGGGATCTTATAGAGAATTTTCATTAGTTTTAGGATTAGTGTTGTGCTTAATTGTAGGTTATTTAAGAGTCGTTTGATTGAGGTGTATTATTTAAGGTTGGGGAACATGGTGTAGACAATTAAGGGTCTTCCAAGGGTCTGGAATTTCAAGAATTTAATTTTAATGTAAAATAAGTCTAACCTCTCCTAGCCTTTGAAAATTAAGACCCGCTTGCAAAAATTACACTCGCTTACAAATTAATTTCTAACCGAAAAATCTTTTTGTATTGAGTTGTCACAAATCATTGGAACCCCCCTTAATTAAAAAAAATTTACATCATTTATGAATGACCCCCAAAACTTTTTAAATCTAAGGGGTCGTTCACTAATTATTATTTTTTCCAAAAAACATCAATGGAATTCTCAGAAATTCTTTTATTTGAAATCTTGCACCCCCCCCCCTTGGTTACGTAATAAATTCACAGCCCTTAAGAACATACTTAAAATCAATAATCAATTTAAACTCATTTTTAAAAAGGTTTTCAAAATAATGTAAAAAGTAAAAAGAAACTCCAAAAATGTCAATCGAAATGTCAAATGTTATCAGCCTCAAAATTCATTAAACGTAGTAAATAAGATGAAAAATATTCTCAATAATAAGTTTATTCATTCAGACTAAGTTTGTATTTACAACTAACAACATGAAATTGCAGTCACTGCTGATATTTCTACTGCTTATAATCGCAACAAGCTTAGGCTATAGTGAAAAGCCGATGGCACGTAATACAAAGAGAAGTGACTGTAGAGGTGAAGGTGGTTGCATTTATTATTGTGAATTTCAAGGCGAGAAAATTCCTCCTGGCAATTCAATCACACAGAAAGGAAAGTGTCGACAACTGAGGTGTGATCGTGACTTTAATGTGTTTATTAAGACATGCTACATGCATAGAGCATCACAAATGACAATGTTTGCACCGAATGGACAATTTCAATATTTGGGAGAGGATTTAAGAGAAGAATATCCAGATTGTTGTGGTTATGTGGATAGAAATTTTGATGAAACTTAAATGATGGGGGAAGGGGGGTCCATGATTGATGATGTGCTGAAACCGAGGGGAGAACAAAATGATGGGAAATTTTCAGCAAAATCCTACCACGATGAGGAGTTTCCCGCCAAAAATTATGAAAGAAGATCGTTGATCATAACTTTTCCCATCAGGTTGTTTTCCCCTTGGTTGTAATCCAAGGTAAGAAACTTCTTCGATACTTTGTGGTGATTTTGAAAATTTGTAAGATCTTACAGGTTTAGGGGGGGTGTGGGTGGGTGTGAAGGGGTGGTGTTTCTTAAGGACCCCCTCATAAGCTACGTACCTGAAATGATCAAAATAACTCTAAATTTGCATATATTACCTAAATCTACCATTGATCAAAAAGTACTGAAGGGTGGGGGGGGGGGGGGTGTAGCTAGCAAAAAAAAATAAATTTTTTGAAAAAATGACGTTTCTCATCTTTATTCAGTTTTATTAAGATTATACATAAAATATTGTTAAAATAGAGAATAAAACATATTTAAATAAATTTTTATCAACAAAACATAACTTTCGTTATTATTATTATTATCATCATAATTCACATGCCAATATATTTTTTAAATCAATGAGAACCCTTGAGTTTGCTGTATAGCTTGCAGTAACTTGTACTTCATTTTACCTTTCGAACTATATCGTGGCAAGTCCATTAAACTAGCACAAACATGAGCAACTGGTAAGCAGTGATCGTCTTGCACTGGCTGAATATATATTTTAATTCCTTTCATCCCTTGAATAGGAATACGATCAGATCCGGTGAGAAAAAGGAGAAACTTCTTCTTATCTTCAGGTGAGAGCTCATGAAAAACTTCCCAGAAATATCGAATAGTTGGATCGTTAGCTGTATATCCATTCTTGTACTCTGCGTACTGCTCAAACTCTTCCCAATTATAGTCTTCATTTCCAACAATTGCAGCCATAAGTTCGTGGGGCTTGAATAATTTCATTACTCGTCCGCCACAAACTTTCATAAAGCCATCGTAAAATCCACGAAATTGCTTTTCTACAGACTTATTAAATATATAGTCTACATAGAGATCAATGTATTCTTTTCTGTGGATGAGAAATAAGAATAATCATGTAGAGCAGGCACCAAAAATGCATCATTAGACTTGGAAACACTCAAAAAAAAAGCTTTAAAATTGCCTAAGCAGACAGTTTTATACTTTAATTGTTCTTTTGTCTGTAAAACCTAACCAGATCATGTTCTGTGATCCCATTCAATCTAGTTATTATCCCCCAACTCATACTTACTTGTTAGCCTGCGTAACTGGGATATTTGATCCATTCTCCTTAAGCTCAATTGTCTTTGTTTCTCCAAATATATTTCTGGTAATCTCGAAACTCAAGCAGAACACATCTTCAACATCATCATTCTGATAATCCAACAAACTTTGCATAGATTTCCAAAGCATTGGTGATAGTTCCTTCATATCATCAAATTCTGGTGTCTCATTCAACAACTTTTTGTACAATGCAAGTGGAAATGTTAAATTAATGATTGTAAAGTTGTAAATGGCAAGTCCACAAAGAATTCCAACAAGCTGATAAGTTGATTCTCCTTCAAATGGATTCTCAGAGAACCAGAGACATCTTGATTCTTCATAATATTCAAACATTCCATATTTTGTGTCTAACACGTCTTTTAATAAAAGCATAAAAAATTCCTTACGAACACCGCCAGTGTCTTCAGCTTCCTCGCCAACAAATTTAACTTTCATTGGTTTCTTAAGATCAGCACTTGTGAACCTTTGCAATTCTCTAATCGTATCCTCGACAATATTTTCTCTCGAGACATTCAAGATTGAATAGACATTTTGCATTGGAACAGCACCAAAAATTGAGAATATGCTTTGATTCGCTGCATATTGCATGGCTGCATGCATCTGAAGTGCTTGATCAGTTTGTAATAAAACATGCTTGGCATTGGCATCAAATAAGAATGGATAATTGCACAGATAGAATGAATTCTGATTTGGATCTGCGCACCATGAAAAATAATCTTGTCGGATCTCAAAAACATCGGTAATCTCTTGAACATGAAATAAGTCATAAGGCACTTTCTCTTTGCGTTGTTGATGATTTGTGTGGAATAATAATGACAGCATGTTAAGTGCAATAAAGAAGTTATTCTCAAATTGTACTTGTTTGCCTTGTCCAACAACCTTGGAAGTGTCAAAGTGAATGAAATATTTAACAACATCCTTAAAAATGTCAACTAAACGCTCAAAGTAGTCACATGATGTTAAGGCATACCATCCAGTGATTACTTTTCTCGGCACTTGTTCTAAGCTTAAAATTGTCTTACAAAATGGCGTATGAAGTTTCGCATAATGTTTAGAATTAACAAATTCATGATATAATGGAAGCGTAAGGTAGATCCTTAATGTTTCTACGTCCGGTGGGTTAGCGGAAAGTGAGTTGAGTAAGTCACTTGTAATTGATTCCCAAATTAGATGCTTTAATGATTCATGCTCGATTTTTCTAATATGTTCGAAAGCTAATTCAGCAATTTTAAGATCAACTCCATGATGTTTGGATGTACAGTATAAATGACCATTATTTTCTAGCAAGAAGCTGGCATTAAAGCATGCAAGACTTTTGAATATTACTTCTACAGCTGTAAGCACTTCCATATCAACACTTTCATCAGATTTTGCACATTCAATTGCTAATTCAGGAGTTAATTGCCAAATTTGTCGTTCGCTTGGATGAAGACGGAAGTCAACTTCTGAAAACGATGAAGCTGCAGCTAATGATACAAGACAATGATCACCACCAGCATAAATGCTCTTTATTCCTAATTCAGAGTCTGGTGAAATTCCAACTTCTGACAACCACGGACCATTGACAATTTGAGGAATGCATGACTTGTTGTAATTTCCTGACCCAAGTTGACCATTGGCTGCTAGTCCAAAAGCATAAACCTTCTTACGAGATGGCAATAAAGTCAATGTGTGTCTTCGTCCACAAGCTATTTGATTAACAGTCGATCCCATCAATTCGAGAACTTTTTTAGGCAATAACTCATTCCCATATGAACCATGACCAAGTTGCCCAAAGGCACTACTTCCACAGCTGAACACACCACCATCAAGTGTGAGAAAAACAGAAAAATCATCACCACAACTGATATATCTAACATTTTGAGCACGAAGAGTTCGTAACGGTGTTGGAAATGGCTTATTGACTGTATCAGCAAGTCCTAACTGTCCAAAAAGGTTCTTTCCAAAGCCAAAAATGCTTCCAGATTTTGAAATTACAAAACTATGATTCGCACCGCATATTACCATGGCTATTGGAATTCCTAGCAATGATTTTACTAATGTTGGCATCGTTACTTTTTCAGTCTCATATCCTAGTCCACATTGGCCATATGAATTAGATCCGAAACTATATAATTCTCCAGCATTTGTTAAAGCCAATGTATGGAACTGTCCACAAGCAATTTGAACAATATGCTTAGTGGCTAGTGACTTGACAATTTTTGGCGTTTGAAGGAAATCAACAGAAGTGTTGTTATCAGAGTATCCACATTGGCCCAAAGTATTAAGTCCCCAGACGAAAATCTGTCCCCATTCGTTAATCGCTGCTGAGTGTTGCTGTAAAAATATTGATTATTAGAAAAAAAAAATAGATTTAAGTATTTTGGTGTTTTACAAAGCCACAGCAAATTTGGGTAATGTTATAGTTTTCCAGTGCTTCTATCAATTCTGTAATTGAATAAATAAATTATTAAAAGCCAATTCTGAAAATTTGGAATATCGAAGAATCAAATTTCTATAGCTAGTAATTGAACTACTAAGAAAAAGCACAGGAAATTTCCAGTATTACATACGAAATTGCAACATACGAGGTCTTTTTCTAGAAGATTCCTGCCTAGTAATTCCCAACTGTCCAAACTCATTGTCACCGCAGGAAAAAACTTTGCCGCTGTTCGTGAGAAGAAGTGTGTGCTAAAAATAGATTAAAAATGTTGTATCACTTAATAATGTCCGCATTTGATGTAATAATCATAATCAGCACGAATTTCAAAGTCAACGGCTTATCAATCGAGTGTAATACATTTAATGCAGTGTTTCTGAAGACTGAAGACTTTTTGGACTGCGACACAGTTAACCGACTAAGTGTAAATTTTGAAATACATTGCAGTATTTAATGCAACACATTAGAGTCGTGGACCATTATTTGAGAAGCACTGATATAATGTAATACATATGGTGAAAAACAATTAATACTGGATCACTAACCTGGCCTCCTAAAGCTGCTTGTTTGAGGTTTTCAGACTCTTCCCATTGCATCCTTTGTGGTGTGTTGTATGACTCGATGTCATCGCTACTCAGTCCTGGAAGATGACAATAATTTTAAGCTGTATTATGCCATGTATGGATAAAAATCAATTAACTTACCTAATTCATTATTTACATCACTTCCCCAAACATACAGTGCCATTTCTATGCTGTTAATTTGTCAAATTTCAAAACTAAAATTTCTTTATGGATTTTGAGGAACTGTGGATGATGAAATTTCGACAATAAAGAAATCAAAATTTAAAATATTTTAAAAATGTTCACGTTCTCGATGAGTTTGAAGATTAAATCGGATATTTTATGATGTCTTGAGTTGTATACTTTACAATCCTTACCTTTGGTTCATTATTCAATTATTAATTAACGTAGAAAATAACAAAATTAATTTTTTAACAAAAATTTAACTTTATTGTTTTGATGAAATTAGAGAGGTTGTTGAGTGCCACAGTTTGCTAGAACATTCGTGAAAAAAATGTAAACATTGAAAATTTGTTCGAGAAGGTTTTTATTAATTAAACTTGTAATACGCATTCTTTAAATTACGTTATACTATATTCAGTTTAAGTGCTATGCAGGCATTTAGTTTAAGTTGAATTTGATTATTAAATAAGTCATTAAACGAAGAAAAATCAAGAAATGGCTGAAAACATTGAAGAAGAGGAAAAATCCGATGAAGTAAAATCATCATGTTTAATAAAGTTTCAAGCTACAGATCAACTACCTTTTTCGACACTAGAATGCTCACTGGATCTTCGAAGACCACCATCAAATTGGTTGAATGGACAGATCAAAAACCCCAAATCTGCTAATTATTATAAATTCTCATCGTTTAAAATGGCTTTTGACTTCTTTGAGGAAACTGGAAGTGTCGATGTCATATCAGATTCAGAAAATATCAAGAACTTGTTGAAAATTGCTTATGATCCAAATGGAATGTTGTCTTATTTTGTTCATAGAGTTGGAAATACTCTACTTATTGACGATTTTAATCTACACCGGTATTTAATGTGGTCATCAGAGAAAGATTGGAGCTGGTTGCGTTCATTTATCTTTGAAAATATACTGACTAGAATGAAAGACAAGTCAATTCCCATTCAGCAAAAGACGAAGCAATTTCTGGAACAAAAGAATCTTTTGTCAAAGTTCCTGTATTACTCAATTGAAGATGCTCAAAAAACTGAGGAAAAGGAATATGTTCCATGCTTATCATTCAGTAATGCATTGCTGCCGCAAGCAAAACCAGAAGATATTCCAGACAATCATCAATATTCTAGAAATGTTTTATGGAATTTTGAAGACATACGAATGTTGATCGGAAGTGACATGCAAATTTTTGGCAATCAGTCAAGGCCTTGCATAAGGTATGGATGTGAAACTATTGATTTTTAAATTCTTTTCATCATCTCTTCTTATTTCATGCAGTTTACGTCTCAGAGACATGAAGGAGCCAATTTCAATTTTAACAGGTATTGATTTTTGGCTGGATAATTTGATGTGTAACGTTCCTGAAATCTTCATGTGCTATCATTTGAACGGAATTGTCCAGAGATATGAGCTTATTAAAACTGAGGATTTACCTAATATGGAAGACAGTCGGTTCTCACCAAAAGTCATTAGGAATGTCGCACATAATATACTTAGCTTTTTGAAAACTAATGCGACTAAGGCTGGGTAAGTTCATTACTTTTATGAATCATACTTTTGAATAATGACAAAATTAATTCCACTTTTAGTCACACTTACTGGCTCTTTAAGGCTAAAAATGATGATGTCGTAAAGTTATATGACTTAACAACACTCGAATTACTCGCACAGGAAAAGCAGAACACAAGCAATGAAAGCGAAAACAAAAGCGATGACGATAATGAAAAGAAAGAGGATCAAAATCCATTTACAGTGCCTGTGGGAATATTATTGTATACAGTAGCACGTAATATGAAATATTCAAATGAGAAGCTTACAACGAAACAGGCTGGAAATATTAAGCAACTTCTTGACAATTGCTTGAAGCTTTTACCTAAAGAGAAATATCCACAAATCATAACAACTTCTCATTACATCTTATCTGATATTCAAATCCAAGCTGGATTAGATCCAATGAATCCAGTAATTCCATACAATGAAGATCAATCTGATTCCGATGAAGGAAATGAGGAATTTGAATATGAAGGTGAAGAGTCTGAGGATGATTTGGATCCAAAAGGAACTGATTTATGTCCACCAGCTATGCAAAATATAAAAGAAACTATGAGTGAAAATCTAGGAAGTAACAGCAGTCATGGACATCAATCAGTTCCACTACAACTTGGTAATATTTATGAAAGATCACAAGAATCACTGAAAAATATTATGGCTGGACTTCAAGCATTAAAATACTTCCAAAGTGATGTCTCGTTGGCACAAGAAAAGCAAAGACAAAAGGAACAAATCATTCATGAAGAACAGAATCCAAATCTCCTTCAAAATCCAGAAATTCCAATTCCAATGGGATGGAATGAAGACAGAAAGTCAAGATCAAGTTCAAAACGTGGAGATTCTCCAACGGAAAGTGAAAGTAACAATTCTACAAATGGAAATATCAATCTTGACTCAAAATCTTTATTAATGCGTGGCAGTCCTAATGTTAAGTCATGGAATACACATTTAAAGGTGCTGCTTTTTGAAAAGGCTTCTCTCGCTTATGCTTGCCTTGCTGAAGATTTTTATAATAGCAAAAACTATGGTGCAACTTTAAAAAGCCTTAGATATTCAATATCTTGTGAAAATATTGTTAAGAAATACGTGCCAACATTGACTACTCAAAAAAGTGTACTTTATGGACGTGCTGGTGATTGTTACTTCCAAATGAGTAAGAGCTATGATAAAATTACTAATTACATTGATGAATTTGTGAATGAGAGTGAAATGGACAGAGATTTTTGGAAGGAACTAGAAAAGGAACAAAATGACAAAGAAACCGAAGATGATTTCCAACTTCCAAATGAGAATGAAGAGAAGCTTCTAGAATTGAGCTGTCAATGCTATGAGACAAGCTTAATTGACACAAATCAATCACAAATTGAGCTTGTCAGACGTCTTGGAAATGTAAGATTTAATTTTTGCATCCAATTTCAGAATTTTTATTAATATTTTCTTTTAAGGCTTACAACGAACTCGGAGTGGCACTAATGCACAAGGCACAACGACTTTACAGCTCGTACATGGACACAAAGAAGGCAAATACAGACTCAGACATAAACAATGAGGATGCGATCGACACCAAAGAGATGAGTTACCGAGAAGTAGCAAAGAAGTCATACGATTATCTTATGAAGGCAGTCACACTATTTGATGGAGTAAAGGATAATATAAATTTGATAGTTTGTCACTTGAATTTGGGAAGATTTTTCAGATTGTCAGCACATATTAACATGTTTTATGAAACTACATCGCTCAAGTCATTTCAAATGCAAAAGAAGATGTATTATCAGGCATTCGATAGTTATAATCAGGCATTGAGTATACTTAGACATAGGAAAGAGAATCCGGATCTTTGGGATCATGTTTCATGGGAATTGTCAACAGCAACATTCAATTTAGCTAAGGAAATGCAAGAGAACTCAAGTTACGATGGAAGTGCCGAAGATTTAGAACGAGAAGTTCTCGACATTTTAACAAAGGCACTAAAGTATTGTGATATTGAGACTAATAGTTCCAGACAAGTTCTTTATATCTTTCGTGCCGGCTTAATTCATCAACGCTTAGCTAGCTTCTATCATCAGTCTTTAAGGATGATTACAGATGAAACAAAACGCAAAAATTTATTACAATTATGTCGCCTTCATTATGAAAAAGCTGCCAATTTACTAGCATCACTTAATGAATTCAAAGATTACTTCAAAGTTCAAGTCGAAAGGATTGCATTGAGTGAATTCTTAGCTGAAGAGTCAGTCAGCAATCAAACAAAGATTAAAAATCTTCAAAGTGCATTGACTCATTTTATTGACACTTCAAAGATGTTAAAAGACATGTCAAGCATCAAATTGGTAATTGATTCCGACGAAGTTTTATCATTGTTGGAACTGTTTGAGAAGCGATTACAATTTGTTCTCAAATCCTTAACAAAATTGACAATGGCTGGTAAGAAAGTTGATCAAAAAGCTGAGATTTACAAGAAAATGTTTGGACTTACATTGCGAAGTAATCAGAAATTGGATTTAATGGATTTAAATAATCATCTTATAAAAGTTCTCGAAAACATAAATGCAGTCAATCAGCAAATTGGCAAGTGGAAGAGCTCTTGAGGATAATGAGATTGTTTAACTTCTATTTGAGAATAAAAGATAGCTTTAACAAAGTACTTAAACGGAGTGTTTTAAAGTTAATTAAGCTTTTCATTTAATCTGCAATCAAACAAAAAGTTTTTCTTTTGTTTCAGTTTGAAGCGTAAGCTGTCAGGATGTTAGTGCATTTATTCTCATTACATTTTCGTCAATGAAATTTTGTTTTATAATTTTTATGAATTGTTTTACAGAAGATATTAGATTAGGCCAACACAGGACAACGGTACCCGTTTTTCGATATTTGGCACCTTATTTTTCGAAATATGACAAATTGTGTTCGAAAATGATTTGTTTACATTTGAAATTGAAACTTTATTCCTGTAATTTTAACGTTATTTGTTGTTTTTTTAGCTTCTTAAATAGTTTAAGTCTATTACTAGTCGTCTAATAATGTTATTAAAGGTATATTGGAATATCAAAAAGCATTAATTGAAGTAAAATTCGCAATTTTGTACTTCGAATGTTTTCGAACATATTCTTTTGTAAACAAATTCGTGAAAAAAAAGTGCGGGAAAATTTCAAATTGCTGATAATATAACGGATGTGGATCTCATTATCTTGTGTTGTGGATTAAGTTTTTGACTAGTTTGAATAGAATGTCTGGGAATATCAGAAAATTCTTATATCAAGCAAAAATATCATCGTAGTTATCTTTGAAATGTTGTGAAAATTGACTTCATTTTAGTTGCAATTGAAAAATTTATTGAAATAGAAATAAAAACAGTTCGCGCTTCATTAAGAAACTTACAGCTACAGTTTTTAAACTACAAGGTAAGTTGAAATTAAGTTATCACTTATTACTTTAATGACATACTCTAATTTCAATGAAGAGCTATATCTGTACTTCATAATTAATGCTCAGATCTAGATTTCTGTGGATCACATAAATCTGCATGACAAGACACTTGACAACAGTATCTGGTTTCTATCTAGACCTAAAATCGACCAATTAAAAATATTTAAATTCCAAAAAAAAACCTTTAAAAAACCCTTTCGACATGCTTACAATCAACCTTGAATATTTCCGTTCTAGTATTTTACTCCCACTCATTCACATATAAAGTACTCCATGTGATTCTTTTAAAGTGTTTTCATGTGATTACGACTAAAGGTGAGAATAAAACGATGCAAGAAGTGCAATTTCATTTCATGAAAAGCTTTTTGCTGTTTCTTTTTTGTGTGTAATGAGAAAAAAATTCAGACTTAAAAGGATTTGTATGTACAATGCATTGTTTGCGAACGGATAAGATATGGTGGATGGTTCAATGTTTTCTTTTTTACAAATTTAATTTAGGAATAAAGCCGGCAAAAATAATAATAATTTTGATGAGGAAAACATTGGAATGAAAACATTGAGGGGTTGGGGGGTTGTTTTGGGTGATTTTTATGATTTGGGATTTTAGGGATGTTAAAATGATTTTTGAGGATTTTGAAGTTTTTGTGGTCTAGCTTGGAATGTATGAGAATTGATTAATTTCTTAAAATCTTAAAAATTGATCAACAAACATTCAAAAATCTACCGCAAATGTTTTCAAAACACCTTCAATGCTGCATGCCACATTGTTTACCAAAACAATAAAATGGATGTTTATGAGTTTTGCACTTGCGCATCTTATCGACTTCAGGTTCGAAATAAAAAAAAAATTAGAAGGAAAAATATTCAATCTAAACTTCATTGATTGTAAAGATTTATTTTGTTTATCGCTAAACTAAGCTTCTTAAGGCATTTTTATAATCATAAAACTGTTGGTAAAGATTTCAAAATTTAATTTTTTCACGTAAAATAATCGTCAATATTAATCTAAAGTCATCAAAAAGGCTGAAAAAGTAAAGTAGAAAAAAAAGTATAAAGCTACACAGACAGAAATAAGAGAGACGAGAGTGTCTACATATATAGTTGCAAAACTTGTTCGGATAACAAAGCAATCCGATTTAATCGGAACATAACATTCTCTCCACGAATCGTGCAATACATATATTATTTTAAAGTGTCTGCCTCTTATTGAGGAATCAAAAAAAAATAAATAAGGAAAAAATTCTTGTCACCAAAAAAAAGTTTCAGTTTTTCACGGCCAACAAAAAAAAACCTTATTTTCTAAATCTGCTGTGCATTTTTGTATCGTAAGGCATCCATTACATTCTAATCTATATTGACTGAACATTTGTGACGGTGCCTTTAAAAAAAAATATTTTTACAATAAAGTCGAATTTCTCTCTCAAATTCGCGAGCAGCAGCAGCAGCAAAAAAAAGTGTCGTAAAGTGAAAAAAAAGTGAAGTGGATGAAAAGTGGTGGAAAATTTTCTTTATTTTTCTGAAGCAGTGTGAAGCCCGTGTCCGTTTGTGTGTGAAAGAAACTTAAGATACATAATTAAAGGATTATTTTAGTGACTCGACTCTCTTTTTGCATAGAAAATATTGCAATTTTTGAGAAAGAAAAACAAATCTTATTTTTGACAAAGAATTGAAATCTAAAATTAGATTTTTTTTTATAACAAACGAGATTTATTTTCGGGTAAGAATCATTTTTTTTGCATAATTTTTTTTTTCACATTTTTTTTTCATGAAAAACCTTCGACGAGTTTTGCATGCTTTTTTAATGTTGTCTGGTTTTCCTTTTTTTTGTTTTGCGAAATATTTTTTTTCGACGACTTTTTCCCGTCGACACAGCAAAAAGAAGAAAAAGACCGGAAAAAATATGAATGCAATGCCGATGGTGACGTAATTGTTCTTTTTACATCTGAAATCTCTCGAAAATAGAAATAAAAATATAATTAATGATAAAATAGGGAGCAATTGTTGTTAACAGCACAGAATGCTGGTTGTGTGCTAGACCGGTTAAAGAACTTTTTTTAATGCATATTCAGTTTTTTACTACATTTTTACGTTTTGCTGTTGTGTGTGTAGCCGTAGAATAAAAACATAGAGACAAAGACGTCTGTGAGGAAAAAAGAAGAAGTTCAGTTTTTTTATATTCGTATAAAGTGGGAAAACACCTGCACACCTGCAATGCTGTGCTTGTTTTAATATTTTTTTTACGTCTTCTTTTCTTTCTTTCATAAAGCTAAAGTAAATAATCGCACATTTAAGCAACACTGAACAAAAATGGCATGCAATATTGACATTGAAATTCGATTTTCCAGAACAAAACATTATTTTTTGTGTGGTGCTTGATTTTCCTTGCCGTAATTGAATTTTTTTTTTCATTGCCAAATTTTACGTTTTTTTTCGTGTGGTGTTTATGAGGTTTTAGATTTGATTTGTCTTGCGGTCTGGATTGAATTATGATTAAGGTTTCTTTTAGGTTTGATCACAAAATTCAATGTTTTATGGAACAACTAATCTTCTTTTCCTGTCTCAAATCAATATGAATTCAATTCTAATTTCAAGATATTCCAAGTTATTCGCTTAGTTTGATGAATCTTGTGACCTTGGTTTAAATACTGCAAGTTTCAGAAGGTTTTGACAGTTTCAATCTTAAAATATTACAATAATGTCTTTATAACTTAAGTTTGAAGCTAAAATATTAAAATTTGAACGCAACTTGACTCTACTTTACGCTAACCAAGGGGATAGAACTGATGAATTGATCAAAAATAATCAAGAATGATTAAAAATGATCAAAATTGACCAAAAATGATCAAAATTTACCAAAATTGATCAAAATGTAATAATTATTAGTTCCGCACCTTTGGAACGGAAACCTCTTATGAACCTCAATTGTGCTTGACATGGTTGATGAATTGAACTGCTCTTACGACTTAATTCTCACTTTTATTCAAACTTAATCGTTAAGCCACACTATTTGTTTATCTTTAGAAGAAACAAGACAAAACAGTACAAATTTCAATCCAGTACACTTAACTCCAACCCTCTTTAAAAGTCAACAAATTATATCAAATAGTTTCAAATGAATCACATCAACCTATGATTTTATCAAGGATATGATTCACATAATTCCATATAAAATTGTACATTTACAACAAAAGTCATGAATGCAGTCAATCCATAAAAAAGCCACAATTATATTTTATGGCAATTAATTTTTCTTCCACTTTATTGACTCTTGTGGCCGGCATTTGTCTCATTTTATTTATTATTTCAATGTCTTCATGTCACGTGACTCTCATTTCTAAATTCCTCAAATTTCATCTCAAAATGCGTTCAAAACTGTTTTCTATAAATAAAAATCCGATAACTCGCTTCTCATTCTCATGTTTCGTGTTTTGATATTAATACATTGACATATCACGTGCCACACATAAGCTTCTTCTTCTGCTTTACTGTGAGCTATTCTCAATTTTAGAAAAAAAAAGAGTTATCCAACTTTTATGAATGTCAGGGCTTGTTTTTTTTTTTGATGAACGAAAAAAAAAGAATCTACAACATTAGTCCATAAAGCAATTAATCACAAACAACAAGCTGAATTTTTATTTTATTTTTTCGTTATGGCGAATGCATAAAAAAGTCATAACTTGCTTCCATATTTTTATTTTATTGATTTTACTACTTTACATGTTGAAAATTAACGATGCAATGGGGAGGACTCAAGTGGGAGACTCTTAATTTAATTATGAAGTTTTCACATTTGTCTTGCTGCTGTTGTTATTGTATTTTTTTGAGGAACTATTTCGTGTAGTGTCATTAATTATGGTCGAATGTTTTGATGATTTCCATATTTTTTTGAGGTGTTTATGTGAGTGATAATTATTGGAACGAGGTTTAGTTGAATTACAGAAAATCATAATTATCATAATTTAGGGGATATGATTATGTGCTGTAAGCATTAATTGTTGTGTTTTTAAATGAAATGACTGATGGGGAGTTGAGTTTAAGTATGAATGTGGTTTGAATTGTGGGCGTGAAGTAGGGCCGAGAACCATATCGACACAGTTCAAAAGTTATACCTAATTTATGTCATAATTATGTCAGCTACAAAAACACTTAGTTTGAATTTTGTCACCCTTGGGAACACTATGAACCAGTATAGCTGATTTTGGTCCAAATCTCGGCCAAACT